GCGGCTGCAATGTTGAAGCGTGCGTGCGTGCGCGTCGTCGTGGCAGGACGAGGCGGACAGTCTGAATCGACAGCCCGGATGAATGTATAGACGACATAGTGACAGCACACAGCGTACGCAGTAAAGACTGAAGATCCATGGGAACACGAACGAACGACTGGCTGAGCGCGGTCTTGGCGGCGTGCGCAGTTCATTACGAATATCTGCAAAAGACGTGAAGCCAAGGCCAGGAACACGAGCTGGCAGATATCCAATATTGTTGAGGCGCGGCTTGGCTCTTGTCTATCCTCTGCACGACCTGCCACGATGCCGGGGGGCGCGTGCAGGAACAGCATCAGCATCAGAGAGTCAGAGTCAGCGATCCAGAGAAAATGCCATCCATTGCCTCATTCTCACCAGCGTGTTTCGAGGTCCAAGGCGGGTCCTCCCATCTCTTGGCGGCCAGAGCTCCGATCGTGAAACGAATGTCCCGACTCGGACAGCCGGGGGTCCCCCGTGCGCCTTTTGGCTCTCGCCTTTCCATACAGAGTGCGTCGGTCTGGCTGTTCTTCACACAGGCTTGACGAAGCAGCAGTGTGTGGCGTTGACACAGGCATACATCACACACACGGGAGGGAGGCAGCGGTCCGCAGCGTGCGTTAGTCGAGGCTAAGAGACAAGACACGCGCGCGCAGGCGCCTTTCCGCCAGGATCCGAAGTCTTTGGTGTTCCTAGACCTGCTTCATCTTCTTCACCTTACACTAGCTGAGAACATCCTGCAGCAGGCCTCTACCCTTCTGTCGTATCTCGACGATTCGATCAGTCGCAGCGATGCAGAACAGAACCAGGCGCGCAGAGTGTTCCAGCCAGCCGCCTGAAGCAAGCTTTGAACAGGCATATGCATGGGCGGGCTATTAATATTTCCCGATTCATAACAATGACAGGGCCCTGCCTGCCCCTGCACCCCTGAAGCCCCGAACACTGAGCGTCCAGCAGCAGCAGCGTCACCCCCCCATCACCATGACCGATTCTCAAATCCATGCAGTGCTCCGGCCTACCGTGCGTGGGTGATCGACGTCGAGATGGCCCCCATGGACCATTGTTCAGATAAGGAAGCCCAAAAGAATGAATGAAGGAAGGAAAATCTCTTCCCAGCACGGCCCTCTCGAGACCGCGAGGGATGCGCGGCCCTGGTGTCCCTGGCGGCCCCCCGATTGGCCTTTTGGACCGTCTCCTGTCTTGAAGTCTTCAACTTTCCTTGCCTTTCTTCCTCCTTGGCACATATTCACTTCTTGGCATCTTGGCACGGCTGCGCCCGAACTGCTGTCTTCGCCCAAGACCGTGACGGTCGTGATCCAGGAGTACCCCTCGGGCCCCAAAATACCTCGCGGCTTGTATCACATCACACTGATGGGACTGCCCCTTGACACCGTCGTGAGGTCTCTCGCCCGCGGCCGTGTACAATCATTGCCGGAACCGTCACTATCGCGACCTTCTGGCCTGCAGATGCGTCTACACTCAGCAGCAAGCCCCAGTGGGCTGAGACGGTAGACGCCCTCAACCTGCTCTTCAACCGCCATCTTGCTGCATCTTGCCTGCCATCGCGCCGCCGTCTGCCGGGGACCCAGAGACAGGCCGGCCCCCTGGCATGAGTATCCAAAACCCCCTTCCTCTTCTGGCGAACCGTCGTCGCCCAACTGGGTCACCCTGTGCAGGGCCGTGGGGGTATCTTCCTTGGGCCGCCACCCAAACGCCAGCCCGCCCACGTTCTTCCTTCTTCCCAAAGAGCCTCAACGGGTACGTAGCGCTGGGCAAGGCATGGCAGTCTTGGTATTCCTACAGCCATGTATTTCTGCCCACAGCCAACTCACGGCCTGCCGCCAAAGAGTCGACGCAACCATATGTTACCCGCTGTGCGCGGTATCGCCGCCGCATTGGATCTTCATATCAGTGGATCCCGTCCGCCCATCCCTCTCACACTACGCGGCTATCCAAAACTCTACAACCCTTGGTGTGTGTCTATGGTGTCGTGAAGCGGGTCTCCCGTCTTAACTTTTGCCTCAAGCCCAAATTTGGTATCTGAAGAGGCGCTGAGCGTTGCTGCTGTCTCGTACGCACAGAAGCTGGCTGACGCAACAGAGGGCCCTACATTCGTGCAAACGCCTGGGGAGGGGGGGGGAGGGAGTACACACCTCACGCACCCACATCACCCATCCACGCAAGCAGTAGGAAGAACAGAGTTGGGAGGAAGAGAGACAAGGCTCCAGTCGGCTCCAGTCGGGCTCTCCAACCCCTCAAACAAGGGTGCCCAGAACCACACATCTCCATCTACCGGACCTGTCTCGTCTCATACGCACACACTTTGGTGTATTTTTGTTTTCCCTCTACGTCTCTCACCTTCACTCACAGACGGACTGGCTCCACCGGACTGATACCCCGTTTTGCTAACCAAGTCAAGTGTAGCTATTCTAAGAAGCCCTTGCTTAGTCTGATTTCCTCCCAAGACTTGGGACCTCTCGAGCCACCGAGATATATCATCCCGTCCGAGACCTAATTTCACAGACAACCCTCCGGAGCTGGAATCCCCTTGTCAGCGACATCAAGTTCTTTTCTTCCGTTGTATTTCTGTTTGCATTTATCTTCCTCCCCCGTCACCACCATCGTCAACTTCTCTTTTCATCACCTCTACCCGGTTTCCTTACATCTCACAACAACTCTCGACACTCACTCTCGAGCGAACGACTTATTCTCTGCGAGATTCGGCGTGCGTCTTTCAACCTGTTTCCTGCTTCGACCGGTCCGATTTGAAATCACACTGCGAGCGAGCATCCACCAACTGCAAAAAAAAAAAAAAAAAAACACCCTTAAAACATCAACACATTCACACACAATGGATCGAAGGGATCCAGTCCACCCGGGCCAACACTCGGCCTGGACCGAATCAGAGGTGTCGACGCGCAAGAACTCAGCGGAATGGCAAACATCAAGGCCAAACTCCCCCAAGCTGGCACCACTGGACCTGACATTCAACGACGAGAAGCGCGGCCACGGTAAGGAGAAGGATGAGGGCTACAGCAACTCCATCACACCGGTAGTCGAGAAGGGCGCCTCCCACGGTCACGGCCATGGTGAGCATGGTCACATCGACATCAACGACCCCAACAGACCACGGATGGCTTTCAAGGCTCGCCTGCACCACTTCACCTGGGCATGGTACACCCTCACGATGAGCACGGGCGGTCTCTCGCTACTCATCTTCGCCCAGCCTCACCAGTTCCCCGGCCTGAGGCAAATCGGCACGGTCGTCTACGTTATCAACATCATCCTTTTCGTCCTCGTCTGCTCAGCCATGCTGGCGAGATTCTTCCTGTACCCCGGTGACATGAAGAAGTCGTTGACTCATGAGCGTGAGGGCTTCTTCTTCCCCACGTTCTTCCTCTCCATCGCGACGCTCATCACGAGTACAAACCGATACGCGATCCCCGAGAACGACGAGACCCTCGTCTGGGCCATCCAAGTCGCCTTCTGGGGCTATGTCATTGTCACCCTCATGTTGGCCATCGGCCAGTACAGCTTCGTCTTCGCCAGGCACAACTTCGGTCTGCAGACCATGATGCCCACGTGGATTCTTCCCATCTTCCCCATCATGCTTTCAGGCACCATCGCCTCCGTCATTGCCGACACTCAGCCTGAGATCGCGGCCGTCCCCATCGTCGTCGCCGGTCTCACCTGCCAGGGTCTTGGTCTGTCCGTTGCCGTCCTCATGTACGCCCACATGGTCGGCCGCCTCATGTCCGCCGGCCTGCCCAACCGCGAGCACCGCCCCGGTCTGTTCATGAACGTGGGCCCGCCGGCTTTCACCGCCCTCGCCCTCATTGGCATGGCTAACGGCCTCCCCAACAACCTCGACCCCGACCGTGATGGCATTCTTATCGATGTCGGCATCATCAGGACCATCGCTCTCATGAGCGCCATCTTCCTCTGGGCCCTCGCCGCCTGGTGGTTCGGCATCGCCATCATCGCGGTCGTCTCGTCCCCTCCTGTCTACTTCCACCTGGGATGGTGGGCCATGGTCTTCCCTAACACCGGCTTCACGCTCGCGACAATCACTATCGGCAACCAGCTGGGCAACGAAGCCGTTCTATGGTTCGCCACCGCCATGTCTCTTGTCCTCCTCGGCACCTACTTCTTCGTCCTCTACCACCACGTCCGAGCCGTCGTCATCCAAGACATCATGTACACGATGAGAGACGAGGACTTCAACGACCACTAAACTCACACCGTCTTCACATCTTTTTCATCACTGGGAAAGGAGGAAACAGCGGTGGGAAGCGGTTTGTTTGGCTGGACAGCTCACCGAGCGTTCACCGAGGAGAAAAGAAAAAACACGAGGTTTGGAACGAGAAAAAAGGTTACCAGGATAATCGTGGCACGGATCTACGGATGTGTGCCTGCGCAGTCGTGGGCCAGGGTGGCTCACTGTTCATGCTTCAAATGTTCATAGCGCCAGAACTGACTCTGGGAGGTTTTGCAAATTATTTCCGCTCTGGCCAAAAACGAGCGAGAGGCGGCGTCATTTTTAATCATGTGTGTGTTTATCTTTGGTTTTTTTTAGGGGCATATTCCAGCGTGGAACGAACAACAATAGCGCGCGCGCTCATATCAAGCGTAGTCTCATTTTTTTCAAAGAATGGATTCTCTTTTCCTTGAATACCCTTTACGGTCTTTACTCCCGTTTGTTCGATACTCATTTTTGTAACTTTTGCGCACGAGGCATTGGATCATCATCATTCATACCAGTTTTGGGGCTTCTTTGATAGACTTTGGGCACACATAGACTGGGGGAGCGAGAGGTTTAGGGCTGGGCCAGATTGGACGGCTGAACAGGACACCTTTAGAAGAAACACTTGACGAACAAGAATGCAAGTCATCCCCGCTAAAACACTTTGCTCTGACCCCTTTTTGTCCCCCTCCCAGTGTGTGTGTGTGTGTTTTGTGTTTTGTGAAATTGTAAGCCAGAATCAGACCACGAAGAAGGTGGTCTTTGGCACCCGCTTAGTAACTAACACCTCGCCATACATCACACCATCGCAGTACGCTTCCCCGACGAAACGATACGTGTTCTCCTGCCTCGTAGTCGTCCCATCTCCGGACGGTCTCAGGACGTACGGGATCCGAGAACCGAGCAGTATCACCACCACATCGCCCGGACGTGCGTCGGCCGGGCCCATGCCCACGTAACCCTGCCGCCGCGTCGTGAAGGGACGTTTGCCCGTCATCTTGTCCATGTTTTCGCCGTACATGGCCTGGCCAGGGCTTCGAGCGAAGAATTCCTCGAAGCGCTCCTGCCGGTCTTCTGGCGTGAGCGTCTCGTACTCGGTAAGGGTTGTCAGGACGCTTATGCAGTCTTCATAGTCGCTTTTGTCGGTCAAGTTGGCTCTGTGGTAGGTTCTTGTTAGGGTCCAGTACAGGTCACCAATGGGCGCCCGCCACACTGCTTCATCCTGCCTTTCTTGACTTTCGTATACACCATGCTGCAGGCTCTTTGCGGCTGATTTCTCGCAAAAGGCCTTGATCGTCTGGAGATGCGCCGCGCGAGCCGCGTGACCTTCCTCCCACTCCCATACCTCACCCGTCTCTTCGATTATGTCGACTGCATAACCGCATATCCCGAGCATAGACGAGTCGTCCGTGTGCACGATCTCGACAGTGCTGTCTCCCGCCGCAGCCGTAAGGAACTTCTCGGCATCGTCGTAGATGGCCGTGAAGGAGCGAGTCAGTCCGGGTCGCCAATCCGGGACCCAGGACGGCAGGCCGTCAATGTCCTTTGGCATCTGCGAGAAGGAGAGGATCTCGACGCGACCTGCCTGGATGAGAGCGCGGGCTGTCTCGACGAAGGTGGGATGGCAGTCTGGGCGTTTGTAGTCCGGGGTAATGCCAAGGCGATCTGCGTCCACGGCGATGCTTAGGAGACCATGGATCCTGTCTCTGGGGAGGGTCGCCTGGGCGTTGCCGTCGATGTATGTCTTTCTCAGGAGGTGGAAGAGATCATCTCCGGGCCCCGCGCCTTTGACGTAGTTGCGCTGTCTACGGCGGATGGCCAATAGGGGGCCAACACGGCGATCTTGAGCAGTGAGAAGGAGTTGGTGCTGTTGTCGAGGGAGCTCATTCTGCTCAGCAACTCTACCGAAGCAGTGGTCGAATATCATTCCAGCCAGAAAAAACAGGTCAACATCCACTACCTTTGAGCCGCACACAAACACTGTGTCAGGGGATAGGGCCTGCTCCTGAATGATCCATACTCGGCCAAACCAAAGCCTGTCGTTCCAGGCTATGACGGCCTGAAGAAGCTTAGTGACCATGGGCAGAGCTTTGGCAATCAGAGCTTGGAATCTCCTCGTCAGTTCATCCTCCGGGTCACGATTCTCCAGCAGAGGTCTCAGCAGTGGCAAGCGCTCTCTGTTGAAGTAACTCTCGATATCCAACTCGCGCGCACCTCGCCCGATCTCCTCCCAACAATCCATGAGGGCGTCAGACTCGTCCTGCGCTGGCCCGAGCCACACGAGGACCTGCTGCGCTTTGCTGTAGATTTGCGTCATCAGCGGAACCTGTTCAGTCTTCTCCGCGGCATCGTCCTGGTTGATGCATATCTGATCGATCCAAATCGTGACCTTCTCGTCTCTACTTCGAAGGTGTCGCAGAGCCGCATCGAGCGAGGCCGTGATGCCGAGGCGCGACCCTGAGATTTCGATGGTGTGCGTCTTGTCTGGGCCCCCCCAGGTGTACGAGAGTGCCTTGAATAGCCGCGGCGTGGCAACCGGGGTGCTGGAGATTTCGCACACGAGCGGGCTCGAGAAGTGGGCGTCGCTGTCGCCTTCGTCTGTTCGGATTGCAGCAGCAGATGCAGGTTCAGGTCCTATTCCTGACGAGGGATAGAGTTCGAGAAGTCTGATGTGTGTCGATGCCGACGGCAGGATCGCCCGGTCGTCGTTGTAGGTGAAAGGGACAGGGGCATGCGGCTCCGGAAAAGACGGCACGGAAGACATGGTTGCCGTGTGCGCTGGGACCAGACTGCGCGGCTATTCGAGACAAGGAACGCCCATGCACGATTGTTTGATAGCGTTTAGGTGGCAAGGTCGTTCTTTTAAAGTACTCGAGGAATCCTGCCTCGGTAATGGGCTGGGGCTGGGTATCCTGGGCTTCCAGATTGGGTGCGGAGATGGAGACTATTGATGGCGCTACTGCAGCTGTCATCCATCATCAAGCAACTCCTGCAGGCACGACTAGGTAAGATATACATAGCCATGCCTTTGAATCCATCACAGTGAACAATGCAAGAGATCCTTTCTTACGAACGGTTCACGGCTCTCGCCAAATGAAAGGTATCATTTTGTGGTTTATGTGGGTTGAAGTCTTCAGATGAAGTTCCCATAACCCATAGACACTCATCAGACCCTTGCGAACTCATGAATAGGACAAATCGTGCCAGAAAATTGTCTCACTTGAAGAAAAGCGACAGTGATGAATCCTCAACGGTATATGAAACAATGTGATTATGTGTTATCCATCTTGTCCAAGGCAGTCAAATGCTTGAATTCGAACTGGAAGTCAACATTGTGAATACAATCTAACACTTTTTCAACGACGCTTGAGTGATAATAAAAGTTCTGGACGTATATCCCCAGTAGTAACACTTCATATCACGGAACCGGCTGCTTGAGTGTTTGAGTGTTCAATATTAGAACAGAAGAGAGGCCCGATTTTCCATACATCACAAGACTTAGTGAGCGGAGTTCGAATTATTCAAGAGAACGGAGCAAGTCAGAGGCCCTAACTTAAAGCAAGAACATACTGGGACGCCTTCTCTGCAGTAGACGTGGTGTTAGTGAAAAACAGTTCGGTGTGATAGTCTATCTAGCTTTGGAAAGTGTGAAGAATTATCAAAGTCACTTTTGTGTTAGCTGGTCATTGCTGACGACAGACCGTGATTCTCGTTATTATGAGACATGGTAAGATCACCTCTCAGGTGGCTGTCACGGAACCTACCCATTGGTTCACCTCAGAAACTGTCTTACCTGCGGGAGCTTCCCGTCTGCCGTTCGACATTCGACATGGCATCTCGCCAAAGAGTCGGTGAATTAAGATCTACGTGCAACGCCAGGAGCGACTCAAGTAGCAGTCTACAGAAACAAACGATACCTGGACTCTGTGTCTACCCATTATGAGAGGATATTTATTCGACATGTCCACTTTTCAAGCCCCGATTGCTCTGCATACCCGATGAAGGAACTCGTTGGCAATGTAGACCTTACAATTAACATTTGTGTTGCTCATGATTTTGATGACCATTAATCCCCATGTCTTGGAGGCAACGAAACCAAAATATGCGAGACTTGAGAACTTCTAGCTCGATGAAAAGGATCGGATGGTCGTACGTTATGTGAGACAGGCGGATCCAGACCCGTGCCAAGACTCGCTTTAGGATGTGTGCTGCGGAGCTGAACCTCATGTTCTACGGAGCTGAATTTCGTGGCTGGCTCAAATGCATCCATGATTCTACCAGCATGAGACATGGGGAACGGTCCCCCGCAAAAGCTCGACGTGGTATAATTCACCTATATAAACCTATCTAGAACGACTGAATTATGTTTACGTTTGGCCAGAGGTTCTTTCACACTCGGTCAATTCTTCTGTCAACTGCTTCTCATCATCATGAATACCTCTAATAACGTGCATACGAACCCTTCTTATGGGGGGTCGAGCTTCCACTGCCGTGTGGGGAAACCGCCACTGCCGCCGAAGCCAACGAAGTCATGGGGGTATCCAACTCCAGGCGTACAATCTCCAACGGCGGCCATGGTCATGACCAAGGACTATTTCATTGAGTACGTAGAGGCTGGTCGAAACTGTGACATGGAGCGCTTATGGATATTGTCTTAGCAACAATAAGTTCGACGGGATCCTAGACGACGGTGAATACGACTACGTTGTCGTCGGCTCGGGCTGCACTGCTCTGGCTTTCATCCAGGAAGCGCTTACGATTAACCCGCACGCACGCATTCTTTGCCTGGAGCGAGGAGGTTTGTGATCCCCCTGCGGCAACGCTGCAAGTTCTCATGCTGAACGATGGTAGAATTCTGGCTTCCCGCTCATTTCCAAAATCTTCCGCTCCCATTCAAAACCGTGCTGGGTGGGCCATCAGAGACCTTCCCATGGACGCTATCCAAGAAGACTTTCAGTGATCCACTGCTTAAATACTGCCATGGATCTTGCCCCTTCTTTGGGGGACGATCATTGTTCTGGTCCGCTTGGTCTCCTCAGCCCAAGGTAGAGGACATGCGAGACTTTCCAAAGGAGATGGTCGATTCAACCAAGAAGCCGGAGTTCTGGGATCGTGCTAGGGACCTTCTTCACGTTACAGGGGCCGACAAGATCGGAGATTCCGTGTATTCGGGTCTTCAGCGAGAAATTGACCAGAGACTGAAGGACCGCCTACGAGAAGTCAAGACCGCCGAATACAGCGAGCCTGCTCAGCTTGCAGTCGGCCGGGCCTCTGTGACCTCTAACCTTCGGTTCAACAAGTTTTCCACACCTGCGCCATTGTTAAAGATATACGAGGAGCAAAAGTCCAAGAATGCGGCGTCTCTCGATATTCTCCTGAACTGCACTGTCAAAACGCTAGGTGCGGTTGACGATGATGGAGGCCATGTTCATGCGATCGAAACCACTCGAGGAACGATTACATGGCAAGGCGACAATACGAAAGTGATTCTCTGTGCAGGTGTAAGCAATTCAAGCTGATGCTGGTCCGCGTTCTGAGCTAACACTTATTCAAAGGCTTTCCCTGCCGCAACCATACTCCTCAACAGCTTCTCGGAATGCCGCAAAACCGTTGGTAAGCGGGTGTCAGGCCATTTCTTGACGCACATAGTTGCGCGAGCACCGCTATCTGCGTTCAAGTGGCATCCTGTGGGCAGCAAACCTAAGGATCGCAGACTGGAGATCGCCGCCCACTATCTGGCCGGCAAGGATCCGACCAGCGGCCAGCAGTATCATGTCCAGATCACAGCTATTCAGAGCCCGCACCCGAAAGAGGATGCAGAGGATGCGGCTCGCGAATGCCCGGACTACGCCGCTGCCGCGACTTATGAGCAGCTGGAACACTCAACAGAGCATGTCGTCTTTGTGTGTGCGACCCTCGGCGAATTTTCCGAGCTCAACCAGGAGAACTGGTTTAAGATGGACCCTAGCAACCCGGATGTGACTACGAACATGAAGCTGCAATACACCCTCACCAAGTCCGACCGACATCTTTGGGATACTATGGATGAAGCGACCTACCAAACAATTGAGCAGATGGCCACCCCGGACGGGTCCGAATCGCCCGCTGAGGGTCTCGAGTACTGGCATATCGACGAACATGAGCCCAACAAAGGATCGTGGAAGCCGGCTCATCCGAAACAATCAGAGATCCGTATCCCAGGCATTGTCCATGAGACGAGCACCGCCTTCATGGGTTCAGACCCATCGGATGGCAGTTCAGTTGGACCAAAATATAACGTTCATGGTTTTCCAAACGTGTATGTCACTGGCGGTGCTCTGTTCCCGACCGCAGGAAGCTGGAACCCGACCCTGACGATGTGTGGGTTTGCTCAGGATCTGGCGAGGCAGCTGGAGAAGGGACGCCACTAAAATTGGCATCAAGGGTCTAAGATCGTTCAAAATTGTCTGTAGTCTTCATGAAAAACTTGTCTTGAATGAAATTGGAGGGTTTGAATCATGTTCTAAACCACATGGTATGGAGGACGTGAGCTCATATGAGGAGTCAGTCCCACATCGAGATGGCGAGACCCTGAATTCCCCGCGACGAATCCCTGCAACTTGGCTTGCATGCCGCGTGGATACCGCACCCGTAGGTAGCCACACCAAGATGGATATTCTGTGGGCCATGGCATTTTAGTGAGTCCAACCAGCAGCCTCAGTGACACATTGTCGGAACCAGCTCAGGTGAGGACACGAGGACGGTTGAGTTGATTGATGATGGGTGGGCGATGAGGGGGTGGTTTGTGACCATGCATAAAAAGGCATAGGGGACAATTGTGCAACGTGCGATGATAGGTATGAATGTAGTCTGCTTTATGAACACAAGTCATCAGCAGCAGAGCATGTCACTGTAGGATGCAAAACCCAGTGACAGCTCATAGCAGTGACAGACAGCAGTGACAGTGACAGTGACAGGCGGCGGAGTGACTCGTCCCTGAACAAAGCTGAAAATGCCATGTTTTGAAAGATGGAGCTTTGGCCCCACTGCGGACACAGCTCCGTGGTGTCTGATTCGGCAATCTGGGCTGCTAGCGCGAGCATGAAAAAAATTCAGACTGGCCCCGGTGGATTGGCCGAATAACGAGATTAGTCATCGTCCCAGGTTCACGCTTGCTTTTTCTCTTGTTTGTCACCACCAACCACCAGCAAAAATTCAGCAGGCCCTGCAGGCCCTGTTTTTTTTTTTTTTTTTTTTTTTTCCTTCCTTGCTGCTGCTGTTGCTTCCTCGCCCATCGCCAGGTTCTTCCCTCACACCGCCCTGCGGATGTTCGTCACCATCTTCATCCTCTCCCGGGAATCTCGGACGGTATAGGAAACCACCCGCCATCTGGACAGGTCGACACACGAGGTGCCAATGTCGTCGGAGCAGGATTACCAGGACCTCTTCGGCCCGCAGGCCAAAAAGGCGAAACGGGGACGGGTAAGTCATGTCACCACCATCTTTTCTGTTCCTTGTCGTTGGTTCCATCTCCAACTCGTCTTTGCCGTCCGATAACATCTAAACATCGCCACGATTCAGCCGTCTCTCGCGCCATCAGCTGACGTTTCCTTCGAGGAACAGCTCCAGACCGACAAATCGGCCAATGCCATCCGGATCCGCGACAACCAGCGACGGTCACGCGCCCGGCATAAAGAGTTTGTCGACGAGCTGCAGCGAAAGGTCCAGGAATACGAGAAGCGGGGGATCGAGGCTTCAGTGCAGATGCAGAAGGCCGCCCGCGACGTGTCCATCGAGAACGCGCGCTTGAAATCTTTGCTCGCCAGCAGAGGTGTTTCGGGCGAACAGGTGGAGGCGTACTTGAGGTCCTTTGACGACGACAACAAAGGCTCACCAGCGGCACCACCCGGAGTTCCTCTCCCGACGGGCATTCAGGGCGAGCAGGCGGACGCTTTCATGAGGAATTTCGACGACGATACCAAAGCATCGCCTGCTGCACCCCTGCCAGCGACGCTGCCTCCCATCCTCAGCAACCCCGTCACCCTCGAACCATCGACGCAACTCCCGCCTTTGCAGGAGCATTTCAGCAAGGCGAGGTTCCCGCCCGAACCTGAGCCCGAGACGAACGGCACCAAGAGGAAATACGGCGAGGCTTTGATGCCACCGGTTCTTACCCTGACGCCTACCCCGGACGTGCAGCAAAGCTCCCCGCTCGACAAGCTGACCATGCTTGCCAACGCGAGCCTTAACAGGGTCACGCAGCTGGCCCCGAAGCAGAAATTTCAAGAGTCTGCAAGGAGCCCCCATTACTACGACAGGAGGAGCCAGACGCCTCCCCGTCCGTCAGAATCACATCATCCCCCGCAGGCATCTCCACATGAAATGTCATGCAACGCCGCAGCGCAAATTATCGCCGACATGCAGGGCTACGGCGACCAGCGCACCGCCCGCATAGCTCTGGGATGCCGCTCCCAGGAGGACGAGTGCTTCGTAAAGAACACGGCCGTCTTTCGCGCCCTCGACCACCGGTGACGCGATTTCGTACAATCGTGATCCGCTTTTTTCGATGCGGGATTGATCAAAAATATCGTGCCGATTTGACCGGGATCACTTCAGCTCTCTCCACTCCGCGGAGGCCGGCTCCCTAATCCCGTCCAAAGCCGCCCGCGGCAATCACGACACCCCCGAGCAGCGCACGGCGCCGGGGGCAGGGATTCCCGTAACCGTGTCCACCGAATCGGCGATGAACAACCCCGTCCATACCCCGACATAATCCGGCTTGTTTGTCTCCATCGGCGTTCGTCGGAAGGCATCATGGAGATCGGAAATGTCTTCGAAAACCCCATTGTTGCCACCTCACACAGCTCGAGAGAGGTCAGAAATGACCAAAGAGAATTGTGTCTCGTCACGTCGTCGCTTTGGAGATGGATGGATCGTGCCGTCATGGATCGCTGCTGTGCAATGCTTCGGTTAACCTCGCTGGCGCGGCTTTTCGCAACTGCTTAGCCGATCTATGGTCACGCCGTGCATCGAATGCAATGGGCTCATCGTGCTTTGCGCAATTGTACTATCAAAAAGAAAATAATGATGTAATGTAAATAGCTTCGCTGAGTCGGCCGCCGCGTCGGGGCCAGCGTCGTCAATCAAAAAGCGTGTATACTTGTTAAGCCCTGCTTTCGGCCATCTGATAACCGACTTTTGCGGTCCCCTTGCTACTGCTTTGCCTGTCCAATGAAGGCGACGGTCTGAAAACTGCGACCCTGCCAACAAGGCGAGTTTTGCCGCCTAGGCATACCGTTGGGCTTCCATAGCCTGGCTATGCCTACAGGCATCCGAAGTTTCGCATACAAATATGAGACCACCGCAGGACCTTGATCATCGCTCATCATGAAATCAAACCTCACACGATTGAGACATGGCCGAATTTGCAAAACCTCGACAAGCTCCCCGCGCCCCTGCCCGCGCCCATCAGCGGAGACAACATCACAGTCTGGGCGAACGTGACTGGGAGCAGGCCCTGGATAACACTGGCCATCGATGGGCTCTTGAGGCCATAGGCTACCGCGGCCGACGACACCACAATGATGCTCACCTGCTCATGAAGCTTTTTCTAGCTCTTCCGCAGATTGTGAATCCAACCCCGGAGCTGCCAACCTACATTCGCGATCCGTATCGTGGGATTCGTGAAGTTAGATATGAAAACCGGTTTGCGGACCATTTGGGTCCGGGCTTGCTGCCTCCTCCTCCACGGGCCGAGACGCCTTTTCGAGCAGAGACGGTTGGAACGGATGATCCAGGGGTTGAGATGGGTGACTCAGGGAGTCGACAGCAAGCGACCGGGATAAGACGTAGGAACGGAGGAGCCTCAGATGTGGCTGACGATTCGGCGGAAACGACAGCCACGAATCAGAGAGGTTTTACCAAGCGCATCAGAAAGATTGCCGTTGAAAAGAAACCAGATCCTGACGCGCTGATTTGGGAGGAAATCAATGCGTCACTTGAGCCCATGCTTGACAGCCTCGACGAGGACCATCTTTACCTCTTTCTCAGCTCCGGGAGTTCGGATTTTTGCAGAATATCACTGTTATCTCTAGGTAACGATAAACGACCGGTTAAACAGTGGAACTTGATACGGCAGGCTGCATACGCCCGTCGCGGCAGATGGAATTGGCCGCTTTTGCGTGGGAAACCGCGACTTGATTTAGTAGAGGTAGGTTTACTCGAAAAGACCCAGAATGACGCATTGAAGGTCAGCTCGAACTTGAATGTCTAACCTCCTGAATAGATCCGACCACTTGCGCCTCATCCCTCCCACGTCGGAGACCTTTGTGGACTTTATCAAGTCGTGAGCCTCGAGGAGATGATCAGGGAGCTTGAAAAGAAAGTCGTCGCATACGGGTCTGTGGACTACACCCCAGGTCACGAGGTTGTAGAGAGATGCTTCTACGATGCAAGACTTAGGCTTCCCAGTCATAGCGAGTACTGTCACAGCCACGCCGGCTGGAGGGACGACGAATATATCGACCCCGACAGGGTTTATTATTGTGGCATTAAGGAGCAACTAGAACATTTGGAGGAGGTTTCTAAGCTCAAGGCCGCTCCACTGTGGTCTGCTACTTTAGACAACCCACTCCTGGCAGCTGGTAACTCCCTTTTCCCTGCGGGTGTGGTCAAATCTTCCAGGTTCGTCGCAAATCTATTCTTCTCCGTGCCCCTGGCGTCCTCTGGTTTAGGTGCTCATCATTGAGTTGAAGTGAAATCCGCGAAGAAATGTCAACAGCTCGGGACTCTGGCCACATTCGCGGTCTTGCTCAGATCAAGTTTACAGGCCTTCGTGTCATGTGGCCAGAAGATGAACCAGGTTTTGTCTTCACCAGAACATGCTGCGGAGGCGTTTTGCTTTCCTGCCTAGGAGTCCTCGGGTTCCGCGTCGCCTATGGAGATTGGGGGACAGCGTACACAGCTGGCGCGTATTACGTGGCGTTGGCAGGGATTGTTCTGGCCTGGTTTGGACGCCAAGGATTTATTGATATCTTGGGAAAATGACGGATTGATTGTCGTTCCTGACGAACATGTCTTGAAGTCGATTGATCATAGCTCAGCCTGAGAACACTGTTTCGTAGATTCAAAAGGAAACTAGAAGGCCATAGTCGTGCCCCGATCCAAGACTCAGAGGGTCCCAATTTTGAATATCTAACGTGAAATCTCAGTCTAGATATCTATTGAGGTCCCAAAGTATGTATTTAGTGTGCTCATTGGTAGCGTGGTCCCGTGATCTGGCAAGACTGATTCTTCGTGATCATCATGGATTGAAAGACGTAGTAGTTATTTTCCACGACGACAATGAACTTACTACCTGATGGCCACAAATCACGGTGCTGTATGATCTCCACTCGTTTGAATGAACAGCCTGCTCAACATCCAGCGCGCTTCGGGTCGCAATGCATGCGACCAGACCAACCTGCATGCAGGCGCACCACAAGGCATAATCCTGCCATGAACCAAACTGGCGGTTAGAGGTATTTTGACATATTTATTTCAGCAAATGGCAGGAACCGTAACTGCTGCGCATTTGAAACGCCTCTCCACTCCAGTTCGCTTTGCTCTCTTTTCGCATCCTCAAATCTTTCTCGGCCTACAACTTCGGCATTTTGTGCGCATTCCAATCATGACTCATTCGGCCATGGAAATCGCGAATCTACCAGCTGTTCATCTAAAAGATCGTCGTTATCAATGGGCTCCAAATGGGGGTCTGTTATTAGATCCCCAAGAGGAAGAGCTTGAAGAAGGACAGACAGAGCGCAGGGCTTTCGCGAGGCTGGTGCCTGCTGTGCTCGCTTGGGTGCCTGGTTTGCTTCTTCAGCCGAGCGCAAGACTTGAGCTCCCAGTATCTGAGAGGTCAAGCTCAGAGACTTTTGCCAGGAGGTTGATTGACCATCGCGACAGCTTTCAGCGGGCTGAGGCGCGTGCCGTCCCAGATCCAACGGTACTAGACCAATCTGTGGATAGTCCTTCATCAGCGGGCGACGACGAACTCCAATCGCCTTCGGTTCCCAGCGCAACTGAGAATAAGTACGAAAACCGGGAACATGCAGGACTCCGGCAACGACGAGCACCTCCTGACGGATCAAACAAGCCCTCTGAACCTGCACTTCTGGACCCAGTGGCTGCTAATAGGGAAAGGACCAGAGAAGCTCTTGATCCGCTCTTCTCATCAGCACCGTGTATCTTGCTTTGCACTGGAAAGGAAGAAGATTGCAAAATCGATCCGATTCACGTTGGCGAGTCAGGTGATAGAGTCAGCCACTGGAGAACGATCCAGCAAGCCGTTCGAAAACGACAACCTCGCTGGAGGCGGTACTGCGGAGCTCCAAAGCTTCAATGGGCACGAGTGAGTATCCTATACAAAAGATTGCAAAGTATTTCAGTTCTAACTAGGTTCCTTCGTTGGAGATAAGAATAGTCGGCCGCCACCCACCAGACGAGGGATCACTCACTGGAGAATTGTTGCCAATCAATGCCGCACATGTCATTCAAAATTTAGAGAATGACCTCAATGGCTGCGACGCGGATATTATACCGACTAATAACTGGGATCGTGGTTACGATTCCACAAATGTCATAGAGAGGAAATACAAGAAGAACTGGCCTGCCGGTATCTCAGTTCGAGATGATAAGCCAATGGCCCAAGCTACTGAAAACCCCTGGCCTGGCTTCTGCGAACGACTGCCTCATTGAAGGTTCTATATATTCTTCCAAGGAAGTTGAATTTCTCCTCACTACGTCGCCCTTGAAAGCACTCCTAAACAACGGTATAGGGATATTATACTGCGAAATTTCTTTTCAGGAGGGGGTTGGTATGGGCTCCATAGCGTGGGCGAAATCTGGTTTGGGGGATACTGGATAAAAGATACGCCAAACCTCACCGACCAAATTAAGCTGACAATATCCAGACGCACCAAGATATTCACGTTCTTCTGCACCGTGGTTTTATTTTGGGGACTGAATCATGGTGTGGACTGGATGACAGCGTACACTGCCGGTGCTTTTTTCGTGGCCGTGGTTGGATACGCATCGAAGTCTGCACGAAGCGCATGAACTCTGTATCCCTGAGATGTATCAACATGACAATTGGAGACATGGCTCTCATTCCATGCCATCCGAATTACCCACTAGAGCAATGACACAAACGCCACTGCATTTGCAAACTTCGGAGTTCCAAAAACTGCGTGAATATACATCAACTGGATCTGCATTCCTCCTCCAGCATCTTTCCAACCTTTCAATGAGTCGTATCGATTGAGAGCCGGTCTGATGTCGCTCATGTCTCAATTGGGCACACATCAACTTTTCGAGTTTCAATACAGTAAACCTCTAATGCCCGCAAGAGGCCGAGCTTTCCCTCAAGTGATGTGACGGCGCGTCACCTCACATTATGGTCGTGTCCAAATTTCTCGACGGGCCAGCATCTTTGGCCAAATGCGGCTCAGTCTTGCGGATTTTCTATGGCTGACAGCGTACGACCGAAGGTCTCCACGGAGCTTACAAAGTACGATTCGTATTATTGTACGCCTGGCGATTGAGAAATATGAACTAAATTTCTCTTTCTGTTTTAGTAAGGCAGCTAGCTACCTTGACGCCAGCCTGACAGTGGTGAGTTGTCACACGGGGCCAAATCTGGATTTCAAAACCCGCAAATATCTCGGCAAAAATGAACTCGATCCAACTGGTGTCCAGACTTCACGGAGACGGCTGCGACTTCCGGTGTCTATGGAGTTTCTTTAGCTTGGCAAAGAGGGGTAATCGATGCAAACATGCGTTTTCCCAACTTGTCCACAGCGACCAACAGATGAGGAAGTAGGCCCGAGCCGACAACGCCAACTGACCCTGGTCGATGCACGACGAATCCCTAGTGCAGGAATGTCTTCAATGATAGAAACAGTTCCAACCACGGCCCCGCCTACCCATGTTCCCCGTGCGATAAGTGGGCAGACGACTGCCCCGTCGCTGACGCTGCCGTGACTGAACATTGCCAATGGCCGTCAAAAAGACGACTAATCCCTCCTCAGAGATCTGTTGATTTCCTCTTGTATTTCTCCTATTTCTTTTTCTTGGCCAAAAGCCTTCATGAGACACTCGACGGCCCGTATCTGCAAATTTGAACCTGCAAGACCGACGTCCACCGAGACGAGAACACAACCAACATGGCCGACTCGACGACTGGCCCACCGGCCGCGGAGCCCCAAAGTCCCTCTGCAAACACCGCAAATACCGCGAACGCCGCAGCTTCGCCATCCGCCTCTCCTGTCGCAACCCCCCCGGCTGCAACCCTTCCAACAGGATCAGCCCAGCCTGCCGTGACTGATGAGGGCGAGGCAACCAGGAATGAGTCTGCGACCATCCCTGCCGAACCGAACTCAAATGCCATCACCTCAACTGAACCCCCTCTGACCATTTCAGAACCATCTGCGTCTGAGCCAAACGAGATCGCTCCTGCTGAAGAAGTTCCGGTCAGTTGAAGTTGAAATTGTGAGTGCCTGAGGTGGGCAAAGAGCTGATTTATGATTGTCAGACTGACGACGATGGTAATTCTATTTACGAGAGGATGTAAGGGACAAAGGCGGATGTCGAAAATGCAGCACTGACTGATCATACTACCGATTGCAGTTCTTCTTACAGTGCATCGCTAGTGTCCAGTGCAATTAACTACCCCATTGAATACGGCCGTAGATTCCACTCTTTCAGGGAAGGAGGTGAGTGTGCAGAGTGATCAATACATTGGGAATATTCACTGATGTGTCAGTTTATGTGCTTCCCAACGATACCGTAAGAGTTTGTGTCGCCTGCAAGCCATTAGATTACGTTGCTAACCTTAATGTTCTCAGCTGGAAATGGAGAGACTCAACGTCACTCACAACATGGTAGTCAGGGCCATTGGGGATAGGCTTTATCTGGCTCCCTTGGAGAAGGAAAAGATTCATAAGATCCTAGATGTAGGAACTGGTACTGGAATCTGTATGTGTCTTGAAGAAAAGGCAATCCGTTGACCTTCTTGCTCATCTCTATCATCATCCAGGGGCTATTGAAATGGGGGATTTTTTTCCCAACGCGGAGGTCAGTTTTGGTCGCACTGTCAATATCCCTTCCCCACAGCCACTAACTTCAAGCAGGTCTTCGGGAACGACTTGAGCCCTATCCAGCCTGATTGGTAATAAAGAGCACCAGTCATGCTTCTAGAGACGCGATTAACAAGTTTTCTTCAAGGGTCCCTCCGAATGTCAAGTTCTTCGTTGAAGATGTGGAGAGTCCATGGATCGAAGACGAGATGTATGATTTCATCTTCGTACGACATATGCTGGTTTCCATCGCAGACTGGCCGAAGCTAGTCAGGAATGTTTATGAGTAAGTCGGTGCTAATCATCGCCCCATTAAGCGCGTCTCTAACATAGGATGGCACTGTAGTCATCTGAATCCTGGAGGCTGGGCCGAATTCCAAGACATGGACGGCCAGTACTACTCCCAAGACGGCACTCTCACCGAAGATCACGAAACGCGTAAGTGGAACAAGCAGTTTGTGGATGCCTGCGAAGGGATGGGCAGAACCAGTCGGCCAGGACCACAGCTCAAGGGCTGGGTCACGGATGCAGGGTTCCAGCGCATTACTCACTACAAGTTCAAGTGCCCAATGGGGCCGTGGCCTGTTGATCCTCATTACCAGGACGTTGGAACGCTCAATTTGTATCAGCTGCTAGACGGTTTAGAAGGGTTCACGTTGAAACTCTTCTGTGACTACTTGGGCCATACCAAGGAACAAGTCTTCGTTATGATGGCTAAGGTCCGCAAGGAGCTACAAGATCCGTCTCTTCATGCGATTTTTGACCAGTTAGTTATACATTCCCTGAGGTGTACGATATCAGAATTTACTAACACCTCTCAAGTCATGTAGTCTTCGCACAAAAGCCTGAGACCAGCGACGAGGAGAACGGCGATGCGTAGTCTGACCACATTGACATTGCAATTGAATCGAATAGAATGCGCTGCTTTCTGTTACTTTCTTGTGATTTATCGCGAGCTTATCACATTTGTCTCTAAAAAGAGCCCAAGATTACATTTCATCGGCATTGATCTTGTGATATTTCACTGGCCCATTGGGCGTCACTCCCCTCCCAGGGACCATGTTGATATTGGGTGAATTTAAAACACATCAAGGTTAAGTGCAAATTTGAAGACGCGTGCATGGAGCTATATTCTGGCCATGGGGCTTCAGCATTCCACTTCCAGCTCTCTGCCATGAACCATGAGCAGGTGCACTCAAAAGTGGAACATTGCCATTCATTGAGTAGATGCTCAGGTACGGACCATTGAATCTTCCAAAGATAGCTTGAACCAACGAGCCATATTTAAGCCTATTGATCTCTAACCTCATGGCAGTGATATTCGGACATATTCTTTGATGATTTTAAAGAGATTTCTCGTGATCGTTACTACTAAATCGGTCAATCTAGCGGAAGTAGACCGAAGACTGAGCTTGAAATTTTATATCAAGGATTGAAGGCTTTTAGTCCTGTTTCTGACTGGGTGACGCAAAGTTTTGCGAATTCCGCCATAGTAGACATATGCAACCTTGCTACGATTTAAATTCATGATTTATAGTGTCACAACGCGACTCCGCCCATGGCTATCGATGACGCAAGTACTTTCATTGATGTTCAGAGTATTTGTTTTGCCCCCTCTAGAAGAGCGAAATGCTGATCTTCTGGCCCCTGTCTGTGTTAATTGGATCAACCCCCGCAATCACCCCATCAGCTATGAATGTTGACCCTTCACCTATGCGAACTTTCAATGGATTGCCCAACAAAGAGATAATCTCGGCTTGAACCACGACCCCGTTTGACCAGGTCATGTCGACCTCGAAGCCACCACGAGCAATCCACCCTCTGAAGCTACCGCTAGATAAGCCTTGACCCGCAGGGGGGATGGCCGGTCCGAGGTGGACGACGCCAGCATGGCTCTGTAGAAACATCTCGACGATGGCTGCCGTGAAGCCAGAATTGCCATCGATCTGAAAGTAGCTGCCGTTCCGGCTAAACAAGTTGTTGTGGACCCATCGGGATAGGAGTTCCATGGCGTTTTTCAACGCATTCGTCGCATCGAAAAGACGTGCGTGAAGCAAGCTTGCCCAAGTCACCGCCCAGCTGTTTCCTCCTCCGCCGTTGTCCATCCGATGACGCAGCAGCTTGTACGCCATGTCTGCATATTCTGGTGTCGTGAGTGGCGTGACCCAGGTTCCCGGGTGGGCGCAGACAAGGGGTGAGAAGTGACGATGGCCCGGTTGGTTCTCCCGGTACTCCCGGGAGTACTCGAGCAGTTGGCCGAACGAGCCCGCAACAGGAGGTTGGATCTTGTCTCGAAAGGATCTGGCGCGATCAGCTCCTTCATCAGAGCTAAGAGCTTCAGATATCTCAAGAAAGCCGGACATGATTTCCCACATGATTGCTCGATCGTTCATAGCCCCTGCATCAATCCCCGTAGTCTCTCCAGCCACGGTCATATTCTCTGGTATGTAGTAAGAGTTCTCAGGGGAGCAGCTGGGATTCGTGATCCGCCAGTCGTCTCGCTCCGTAGCCCAGCTATAGATGAAGTCCATTGCGCCCTTCAAGATCGGCAAGATGCGGTCACGCGCGTATGTCGTGTCTCCAGTAAATCTGAAGTATTCAATAGCTTCAAATGCGAGCCAGGCACCCCCAAGCGGGTAAGGTGCTGCGATTGTGATAGCATGGAACGGCGTGCAGTCGCCCGTGATGTCAGTGTTGTGATGACAGCACCACCCGTCGGCTCCATACATGCCTTTTGCGACTTCACTGCCAGTCACAGCTAGCCGATCGAGAAAGTCAACCACCGGCCCCGCAATCTCTGGCAAGTTCAGGGGCTGCGCAGGCCAGTAGTTCATCTCCAGGTTGACGTTGATGGTGAACTTGCTGTCCCAGGGCGGTCCAAAGTCCCTGTTCCAGATGCCTTGGAGGTTGGCCGGGAGAGATCCAGGGCGGGATGATTGAATCAGGAGGTATTTTCCAATATTGAATTGAAGCGCCATAAGTTCGGGGTCAGCCGTAATGTTACTTCCTCGCTTCCAGTTCTTAAGGCGGGCAACTGTGTCTTTGGTGCCAATGTCTTGTGATGTGCCGAAGTCGATTGAGGTACGGTCGTAATATAGCTTGTAGTCCTCCATGGCTTCGTGTTGGATTGCTTTGTAGCCAGCCTCCTGGGATGTTTCCAGTCGGTCGTTGACTATAGTCTCCAATTGTTCCATCGTTAAATCTGGATGTCTGAAGGCCGTTTCGGCTGTGTAAATGATGAAAACTTCCGTTGCATTTCTGATGTGCAAGGCCGTCCCATTGCTGATGATATCGCCAACTCCTGTCCAAAGAGATTAGTAGCCGCATAAAACAGGCTCTTGATGTTATCAAAGCTCACCGTCGGGAAGCAATATCTGAGCTTGAGACGCAAAGCGGTAGGTGTCGTCTTCCTCCCCAGTCCCATGTAGTTTGAGGATTCTTGCGGCAGCATCCGCCGTCAATTCAGTAACGTTTCTATCTCTTGACAAAGAGACGTCGAGGCTAAGAGACCTGGAGTTGTTGCAAGAAATCCTAAAAGCCAAAACATCCTTTGGGCCATTTCCAAACGCCTCCCTGGTATACTCCACTCCGCCGAAGACGTAGCTCAGAGACGAGAGTCCGTTCGAAATGTCCAGTGAATGTCTGTAACCTGATGTCTCGTTCAGAGTATGATTGAAGTCAAGTCTTAGTTCCCCTGCCGGCTGGTATCGTCGCATGTCATCGTACTCGGGGGTGAAGTTGGCAACCCAGTTCTGGTCAGCTTCTGTTAGGCGTCCATCAAGAATCTGCTCTCGAAGAGGCTCCAGTGCGGCGAGTGCTGTTGCTGGTATCTTATCCATCGGCCCTCCACTCCAGATGGATTCTTCATTGAGACGAATGAGCTCCTTGTCAGTGTAGCCATGAATCATGGCTCCCAAGCGACCGTTGCCGATGGGGAGGGCCTCATAGAAGTCTCGAAGGGCTGGTTGGCTATACCATAGTGTGTGCGATGCTTCAGACGAGGCACTAGCCAGCCAGCTCAGAGCTAGCAGCATGCAAGCAGCGACTGGCGAAATTGCATTCATGATGCCCCACCAAATTGGAGTGAAGAAGCAATTGATACAACTCAACATATCATGCCTCCAATTGAAGTATCCCCGATACTTGTGTAATTTATTCTCCACTGAGAATTGGCACCAGATCATCCTCGGGGTATCATTAGAGCAACCTCTGCATGAATATTTCGCCGCAGATGACCCTGCTGACCTGCCCGCTTCTTGGCATCGAGGCGGCGCATATCTCTTTCCTCTTTGAGGACGGAGTCTAGCTTCCTCGCAACCATTGTGGCATTTCCTCTTGGGCTCTGTGATTGAATCACATCACCATTGTGGCCGGTTAGCTAGTCCAACTTAGGTCGACAACACATGCGTCAAGGTCTCCGTCACGCCTTACTGCACCCGCGCAAAGACGAACATGATTTGCACCACAGTCGGCCCTGAATAGCAGCTTTCCAACAACCTGCAGCTCTTTGCTTATACAGCTTTCCTAAAGCAGGTGCACCGGATCCCCGGGTACGTACACTGCGATACTGGATAGAGCCGACCGAGGTGGTTTACTGCTTTCTCTCCTTCTGCAAAACCTGAGTGGGACAAAATTTTCGTGGGCGTGGCTTTTCAAATGCCATAAGGATGATCTCAAACCTCATTGAAACCGGCTTACACGCCGCAAGAACTCCCTGTAGTCTCCAGATGAGCTGTTATTCCACTTTTAGGCCGATGGTAGCTGAACATGCGACCTGTTGTATGTAAGGCCTTTGGTCTCCGAGCGGACTGGAAGGATTTGCCCGTACATCAAACCCCTTTTGAGAAGGCTTTGATACTGGTTCTTTTGCCAAGCCACAGCCGTCCAACCCATAAGGGTTCAACCAGGCAAGGTGCCTCAACCAAGTGGGCTTCACCATTCGGAGATACCTCAATCGTCACCTGCTTAGTTGAACGTCGGCTCTTGGTTTTCGGTTAGCAACTCGCTGGCCTGCGAAAGCCAATCTCTTCCCGTTTTTTCTCTACTCTGCTTTTCAGTTCTCCCACCTACAAACATCAGACAGTACCGCCGCTGCCAACACTGACCTCTGATACTGAGTGATACTATGCTCAGAATCAATACTCAATTACGACCTACTACGGAAATACCTGACTCAAGAAAACAACATGGACCGAGCCGACAAAAACATGACGAAGACTGCTGGTGATCAAAAAGCCAAGATTCTACAACTTCCTGTAGAGTTGGTGCTGATGATCACAGGGGAACTGCCGCTGCACGCAAGGTTTCTTCTATCGAGAACATGCATCGCTTTAAGGGTTTTGACTGCCAGAGACTGTAACGAAGCAATAGTCCGGCTTAAATTTCAAAAGCGTTACGACTTTTGGTTCGAGGTTGCGTACAGCCTTCCCGACTACTGGCCATGCAAAGTGTGCTGCAGGCTCCATAGGATGGACACATCTGACTTGCCTCAGCACGGGTCAGTCCCTTCATGTCAAAAGGGCGAAGTTCGAGAGTTTGATTGTCTGTATAAGCTGCGACTGACTCATGTGCTACTTGCCCTGAAGCTCTCTCGGCGAGGGGATGTAAACCAGGAGTACCTCAGGAAGATGATGGCTCCTTTCACGTTGAGAAAGGGTGCGCTGATGAATCGGTCCCTGCACCGCTACCAAGCCACGCCAAAGGTTGTCAACGGCCGGTTCCTCCTGAAGACGGAGTGGACGTTCCAGCGCCACAATTACGAGCGAGTCGTCCTCGACGTACTGGACGAATTCTGCGCGGGAGGCATCTGTTCTCATTTGTTTGTCAGCCCAGATTGGTCGTGGATGAAGCGGATTTGCCGCGGAAATCGGCTCAACTACAGTTACTTCTCGGACATTTCGTTCGAACGCAATATTCGCAAGGCTGAAAATGCGCGAAAGGAGACACGAGGCTACTGTCGGAACTGTCACACATACTATACGATTCGTATCGACAAAGACGCGGCCATCGTTTGTGCGTACTGCGACCTGGGCGGCAGTGGCAATGTCAGAAGCTTGTGGGAAGCGCACTCTAAGGAATACCGGTGGGTGCGAAAACCTGGTCCGCCAAGAGCTACCAAAGATTTGTTTGAGCTTTGAGGAAGGCTTTGGAATGGTAAAAGTGTCATATGAGGGGGCGGATACGAGGTTATGTCTTTCAAATAAGTCCTCAAGTGGCCATAGAGGTTTCTCTCTGAGTCATCCTGGCCCTCGATATTTCACTGTCAGAGTCATACGGCAGTCAAAACGGTGCACCCACAAGCGGCAAACTGTGAAAGAAAAGGTAAGAAGGAAAGAAGGAAGAAGGCCGCCCTGGAGTTCTGGCTGCTGTTTAGGCAAACTATCGTTGGGGATAGCATTTCATGTAGCGCTCAATGAGTTCGCTTGTTTTCAACGTGTTGCGCTAGACGCCGGAACATCTCTAGTTAGTCAAACGTCATGAGTGATTCGGTCCTGCGAACCCAAAGATAAATAGCTTTAAAAGTGTTAATACGTATTGGAGTTTTTGTCTCGTGTAAAGATGAGTTACATATTCCAAGTAAGATGAAGAAGTTTTAGCAAAATTATGTCATTGAAGTTTGCTAGTGTTATCGTCAGGCTAAGCCCGTCAATAAGCACTGACTGTGAGTACTCATGGCAAGGTAAGAAGATGACTCTGTCGAATATTTCTCCCGCTAACGTACTCCGAAGGCATTGTTTTGGATCCCAAACTCACGTTTCCAGATACTAGAAAATAAACAGCCTAGCAAAGAAGGTTATGCCCAGACGAATTCTATCTTATTGCGCAGTCACCAAGTGGAACGTGGCTTCAAGCGATTGGAGACTGATACACTGGTAACGAGTCGTATTGCGGGAGGTATGTTCCTATTTAAGAAGAGCCCCGAAAATTGTAACCCAGAGTTTAGGTATTCGGGCGGTCTTCGGTGCAAGGAAACCCCCGATGCGGCGGCCTGCAACCGGCGGACAGCCCCGGAAGACCCACGCGCCCCGCGGTAGAGCTGCCGCACTGACACTCGCTGAAAATACCCCGCATCCCGTCATCACCTGCGTCCACTTTCTTCAGCACCTTCACCAAGCTCTACTTAGCTCCCGCAGGACTTGCATATAATAGCCGCGACCTATCCTGAACGATCATCTTCCTCAAAGGCGCAGCTTCCGGCTAACAAGATGGCATCCGAAGGTCTTAGAATCGGCTTCGTGCCGGAGCACTTCTCCACGCCCCTCTACTTCGCCAAAGAGCACTTTGGTCTCAACGCCACCCTGGTCCCGTTCCCCTCCGGTACAGGCCACATGATCACCGCTCTCCGCGGGGGCGAGATTGACATCGGTATTGGTTTGACGGAGGGCTGGATTGCCGGCCTGGGCAAGGAGGATGCTCCCGGTGACGGAGGCTACCGCCTCGTGGGCACCTACGTCGACACGCCGCTCTGTAAGTCACCTCCATCTCACAATATATGCATCCGGTCACTGAGACAACACTTAGGCTGGGCCATCTCGACCGGCGCCAAACGCCCCGAGATCACCTCCGTCGCCTCCCTCAAGGGCGGCAAGATCGGCGTCTCGCGCATCGGCTCCGGCAGCCAGATCATGGGCTTCGTGCTCGCGGACCAGCAAGGCTGGCTGACGCCGGCCACGCCGCAGCCCTTCTCGGACACGGTGATTCTCAACAACTTTGAGAACCTGCGCAACGCCGTCAACTCGGGCGCGGCCGACTTCTTCATGTGGGAGCACTTCACGTCCAAGCGGTACTACGACTCGGGCGAGATCCGCCGCGTTAGCGAGATCTACACGCCCTGGAGCAGCTGGAAGATTGTCGCGTCGACGGCGCTGGCGAAAGAGGGCGGGAAGCTGGACCCCCGGATCAAGGACCTGTTCGCGAAGCTCGACAAGGGCGTGAAGCACTTTAACGAGAACCAGGACGAGGCGGTCAAGTATATCAGCACGCATCTGGATTACTCTGAGGAGGATGCGAGGGAGTGGTTGAAGACGGTCAAGTTCACGGATGGGGTCGGGGGCGTCAAGCCTGAGGTTGTGAATAACTGCGTGGACATCTTGAGGAAGGCTGGTGTTCTGGCTGAGGGCAAGGGAAGACAGCCAGACGCTATGGTTGTGAGGGATTAGGAGCCGCAAGGCACACAATAAAGACTGCCAGTCAAAGTTAAATGCGAATTCATCTCGACGGATCGTCGTGCCAGTTGAGTTGCAGCAGGGCAGAACAACTCCTCAACAGCAGTGAGCGTCATGAAGAGCGAGCATACTTGGGCTCAATTGAAATCCTGACTGATGATGCTAGGGTATCTACCACTTCCATCGTATGATTCTTCCACCATTATCATGCCCCTGAACTTTCCACGCGGATCCCCACTCAAGCCTTGTTCTTTCTTCTCCTGCCCTTGCCCTGCAACAACTCGCGTTTCTCCTGCTTGCGCGTCTCCTTGTCTTTCGTTCCGATGACGCCCTTCTCAGAGCCACAAGGCCACTTCGCGAGCGCAGCAGCCTCATCTTCTTCGCTCCACTCACGGGGCAAGACGGCAAAGACAAGGTATGAAGTGTGCGTCTTCAGCTCGGGCTCCGCGCGGTGAATGACGCGGCCTTGGAGCCACGGCTTGACGTTGCTCGCCTCCTCGGGTGTGGCGTTTCCGTTCGTGGTGTTCGCCGAAGGGTCGACGTCCATCGCTGGCGAGTCTTCGGCGGAGTTGGGGTCCGCCGGGTTGTGGAATTCTCTCGTGCGCTTCTCGATTTCACGCAGCTTGCCCACTGCCTCGGTGACGTCGCGCGCTTGTGGGGGAATGCCTCTCTCGGGCTGACCCAGGCCGGCGCGGTCTCGGATGACGTTGAATTTCTTGTTAGAGATTTCAATCATGTCGATGTCCACCCAGCCGAGGGTTCGCATGGTGGTGACCGTCCTCGTGACCTGCTCGATGCATGGGGAGAATGTGCAGATGTAGACGGACTTCTTGGGGTTCAACGGCGACACCCACTCGGCTGTATCTGTGTCGCCCTCCTTCGTTGGCGCCGGTTTCCTCCGCGACAGGTGAGGGAGTGCCTCCCAGGGCGCGGGTAAGTCGAGGAAGACGGCGTCGGCCTCGGGACTCTGTCCGTCGACCAGGAATCCACCATTGTAGACGTCGCGATGTGTAAGCTGCACGATACCCTCCAAGCCGTGCTCGACAATCTCCTCCTGCATCTTCTCGTATCGGTCCTTGTTGAACTCGAAGCTGTAAACCTTGCCCTTGCGCTGGGTCTCGTTTTCGGGGTAGCCGCTGTAGACGGCGCGAGCTGAGGCGTGCGAGAAGGAACCGCTTCCCGCGCCAGCTTCGATCAATCGGCTGCCGGGACGGGCACGTATGCGCTGGAGGATGTAGCTGTAGTCGGGAGTGTAGACGACCTGCGTGCGGTGCGGCAGGCCCGCGGTCCAGAGCTCGGCGGTGGGTTGAAGGATGTGAACGAAGCCACTTGCTGCGGCAACGGCCTTCTTCACGGGCGCGGCGGAGTCCTCGTCGGCCGCATCGGCAGCAGGCGTCGATGCGCCATCGGTCTCGTCTTCCTTTCTCTTGCGCTTGCGACCGCGCGAGCCGGTGTCCACATTCGAAGCGCGGATCTGAGAGCCCCAGGGGACATTAATTAGAGTCGAATGAGGAAAGGAGCCGAATCGTGTGTTGAGAACTGCGCCCTCAGCGTAGCCATCGACGGCGCCGGTGGAGTCCTGGAGGATCAAGGGAACTAGGTTGTCGCGGGAGAGCTGGACGATGGCGATGGAATTGGCCGATGTCCGCGCGCCAGGCTCGAGAAATGGTGATGGCTTCGCCATTGTGACAGGTAAGCGCCGCAAGGCTGGTTGGCTTTGGATGGCCTGGTCTTGGATTGTGGCGGTTGGGGAGAAAAGCAGGCCGACGTTGGTGCAGGGAGACGGCACCCAAGAAAACTTCGCGCGAGGCTGATAAGCCGATAAAAAAAAAGAAAAAAAAAAAGGAAAAATCAATTGGAGAATGTCAAGTGTGGCTTGACGCGGGGCAGATGTGGCTGGTGCTGCTTTCAGCCAGTCAGACAGTGACTCACCGCCTGGGGTCCTGCAAGGCTGAGGATGGTGTCACACTCTTTTTTCCAAATAGGCGACTTGGCTTTCTTACACCCCGCCCTGCGACCATCCCTTCCCTTTTCTAAGTGACTCAACCCCAGCCCTCCGCCCTCCCGCATCCCGCATCCCGAACCGCACCCTCGACTGCACCTCAGCTGGTGTCCCTTCACATGACCCTCCTTCTTCTTTAAACCCCCCTGTTCTGCGTTTAGTCCTGGATGAATCGCTTCCTTAGACTCACCAGACTTTCTTTTCGACTCTCCACTCAGATACCCAGATTTCGATTCTCCAGGTCCTGCGCAACCATCGCGACAATGGAGGCGTTGAAGTTGCACAACTCTCTGAGGCCCGGCCAGCCGGTGCCCTTCGTTCCGATCAAGCCAGGAAAGGTGTCCTGGTACGCTTGCGGTCCTACAGTTTACGACAAGAGCCATCTGGGCCATGCTCGCAACTATGTCTCCACTGACATTATCCGGCGCATCATGATGCACTACTTCGGTGCTGACGTGCAGTTCGTCATGAACATCACCGATGTTGACGACAAGGCAAGCTCTCTACATGCATTCATCCCTGCTATTATACATATTTACTGACAATTGCGCATACAGATTATCATCAAGGCCCGCAGACAACGCCTGCTCGAGCTCGAGAAACAAAAGAAGTACGCGGAGGAGGAGCTCTACAACCTGGCCTTGACTGCCTTCCGCGCCTACGCGGAGAAGAGCTTGCCTCTCCTTGCCACATCCGACGGCCAACCCCTCGACGAGAACAGCTACCTCGAGCGAAGAGGTAGCGCATACGGTAAGGTTTTGGCGGGCGGCACGCTCACTGGAGAGGGCAAGCCTGGCGACGACGAGGCCAAGACGAAGATGCATATCAGCAACATGGATGCTGCGGCGTTTGCAATCAAAGACAAGAAGTTCTACCCGGGAATTGACGAAATCCTGCTGCCGTACCTTGACTCGTTGTACAAGGAGACAATCGACACCAGTGATCAGACCATCTTCACCGACCTGACCCAGAGCATGGAGAAGCTCTTCTTCGACGACATGGATGCGCTCAACTGCTTGCGCCCCGACGTTATCACGAGAGTCACCGAGTACGTACCTCAGATTGCGGCCTTTGTAGAGCGCATTGCGGACAAGGGCTTCGCCTACGAGTCTGACGGTTCCGTCTACTTCGATATTACGGCTTTCGAGAAGGCAGGCAACACCTACGCGAGGTTGCGCCCTGGAAACCGGAACGACAAGTCATTGCAGGAGGACGGAGAGGGAGCGCTGTCAAAGAACCTGGGCGAGAAGCGCAACGAGGGCGACTTTGCGCTCTGGAAGAAGTCGAAGAAGGGAGAGCCGTACTGGCCCAGCAGGTGGGGTCAGGGTCGTCCCGGCTGGCACATTGAGTGCTCCGTGATGGCCTCTGACATCCTCGGCGCGCAGATGGATATTCACTCTGGTGGTATCGATCTGGCCTTCCCCCACCACGACAACGAGTTGGCTCAGTCCGAGGCTTTCTACTGCGAGAAGGAGAAGGGCGAGCACACCTGGGTCAACAACTTCCTGCATATGGGTCACCTTTCCATCTCTGGATCCAAAATGTCCAAGTCCCTGAAGAACTTCCAGACCATCCAAGACGCACTTGCGACAACGTACTCTGCCCGAGGAATGCGCATTGTGTTCCTCATGGGCAAGTGGAACGATGGTGTCGAAATTTCTCCCGACATGAGAGCGCAGGCATCAAGTTGGGAGGCCACCGTGAACGTGAGTATCTTTCTCTCATCAGCACCCAAATAGTACTAATTATTGGCAGAACTTCTTCTCCAACGTCAAGGCGCTCGTTGCCGATGTCAGCGCATCGACCGAGGGCGTCGAGTCCCTTTCCATTGCCGAGAAGCCCACCGACGGGTTGTTGGCTGAGCTCGAGAAGGCCAAGACCGATCTGCACACCGCCCTTACAAACTCTTTTGATACCCCCCAGGCGATGCGCGTCATCCAGGAATTGGTCAGCGAGGCAAACAAGGTCATTGTTGCTCAGGACGCCGAGGCGAAGCTGCCCGAGCTTGTGGCTATTGGCCAGTGGATCACCAAGATCCTGGGCATCTTTGGTCTTGACGAGAACGCCAAGGCGCCTTATGACGGCCTTGGATGGGCTCCTTCCGCCAAGAAGAACGTCGACCCCGAAGCTGCGGTGCAGCCGTATGCCGCGGTCTGGAAGAAGGTCAAGGCGGACATCGAAGCGTTGAAGGTGTCGTCGGACTCCGTTTCCAGCCTGCTCAGCCAGGACCCTGATGCCGAATTCGCATCCATTTCACAGAAGGGCGTTCGCGACTCCGAACAGCTCGCGCTTCCATACCTGCGTGCTGTCTCTAGGTTGCGTGACGAGCTGCGCCGTATCGTCTCGTCGGTCTCTCCCGACATCAAGAAGGCCATTCTCTCGCTGACGGATCGTATTCGTGACGAGGACCTGACCGTGCTTGGCGTCTCACTGGACGACAGGCCGGACGGCAAGTCGTCTCTGATCAAGTTCATCGACGCCAGTGAGTTGATTGCTGCCAGAAACGAGAAGCTGGCCCGGGAGGCCGAGAAGGCACGAGCTAAGGAGGAAGCCAAGCGCGCGCGCGAGCAAGTGGAGAAGGAGAAGTGGGAGAAGGCCAAGCTCCCCCACACGGAGATGTTCAAGGGAGATGAGAAGTACTCGGAGTGGGACGCCGAGGGGCTTCCCACCAAGCTCAAGGACGGCAGTGACGTGCCCAAGAGCCAGCTGAAGAAGCTGCAGAAGGAGTGGCAGAGGCAAAAGAAGGCCCACGAAGAGTGGCAGGCCAAGTTTGGCGGAGCAAAAGCATAGACGGGTTGGCGCTGTTACTGCGATCGTGTTGCATCTTTTGCCGGAGGGCAGTCAACGATACACCTAGGGGAATATGTTCAAAGCGGACGGGGCAGAATAAATGCCCATCGCAAAGTAGAGTTCGCGGATAGGCGCACCATGAGATTATCACAGTCTTACTCTTCTGCGGATGGAATAAAGGATGCATACTGACACGCCGTTATCCTGGTGTTGGAGCCATTGCCCGTGGGCAAGGTGAGATGATTTGAGTGTGACCAAGCCACCGTGAGCCGGCGTGGTAGATGAGCTGCGCTACCTATAATGGTAGTTGTGGTGGCTGGCTGTTGGAGTGTGGGAGTGTGAGTGGACACCAGGACCCCTGACCGTCTGGACCCTGCCAAGACGGGGGGCTTCCGATGATGCACGATCCCGCCCATCGCCAAGACAGACGATCAGCCTGACAGGTCTCGGCCACCACGCAGGGCGATCGGAATCTTGAATAGACCTCATCGCTTGCTGTTCTGAGATGTGTCCTTTTGAACGCTCATCATCATGTCATGAGGTCCAGCTTATGGAGCAGAATTCGTAAGATCAGCAGAGACAGCATTAAGCAAGAGGATAAGCTAGACAAGGGGTCAAAAGGAAAGGCGGGGGTTGAGGGAGGGAGGGAGGGAACCTGTGCTCGGCATGGCTGAGCTTGTCTACTGCCGAAGATACATGCAAGTTCCAAGGCAAAGGGCCAAACCTTGGGAAGACGAAAAGGAGGCGGGAGGGAGAACATGCCTCGGATGGAGCCGTCAAGGTTCGGTCCCCTCCTTCACTGGGGCGGTCTGGATCCCACGGTCCCCGAAGTCTGGAATCGCCGTCGTGGTGGTGAGGGGATTTGGAAAGGCTAGAGAAAGGGCCGCGTTCCAATAGTACGGCATAATGAAGCACAAACACCACCCACCTCCCGAGAGACACACACAGAGAGATGGGAGGGATCTAGCTACCCCTCACGATGACGCCACCCCCGGTTAGGTTCTTCTCTTGTTTTCATCGCATCAAAGAAACTCGTCGGATGGTTTTTGAGACACCCGCTGCACGAGCCATCTTTTACACGTCATGTTGGCGAGAAGAATAACGGGTACGAAGGAGGGGGGAAAAGGAGCTGGAGCTGGAGCTGGAGCTGGAGCTTGGTCACCGCCGTCGTCTCAAATGCAGGGTATCGAACAAGCTTCTGTATCTCATCGAATGCCATCGATCGATTGGAGGGGGACCTGGGCTCTGTGGTCCAATTGACTGGCCCGAGTCTGTCTGGACGGCGGTTACTGGGCCCCAGATCAGATGCTTGGGAAAAGGGGGTTTTTTGTTTCTGCGTTACACGGCATGGAGCTTTGTTTGCCGATGTGCCGGTTTGCCGCGTCCGCAACAAGCTTTCTTCGCAGCTCTTTGCGTGGGTCTTTTTCTTTGGTTCAGCCCGGCAGGGGGTGGGCAGGGTCGCTGACGCATTGAAGATGCCGAATTCCCCGGGAAAGGCGGGGCTTCGTGCTGCTTTAGCTGCTGGCGGCTTAACCGGATGGCGACAAGCTTCGCTACTCCCGAACATCTCAAATTCCCCCCAGAGCCAAGTTTTGGTAGGTCATTACCTCCAGGCTTTTCAGCTGTGTTCGTCCAGTGAGGTACGTAAACAGGACTGTCTCAGCCAATCGCGCCGTTTCAACAGCCGTAGCCTCTGCTTGTTTTCGATGTGAAATCCGGGTGTGAGGGGTGGTGTCATACTCATCGCATTGATGGTTTCGCTCGCTTGCTTGCTTCTCCTCTGGCAGCTGAGTTTGATCTTCCCAGCTTCATGTCGGATTACTCTGCGAATCACGGATCCTCGTCCGAGGACAGGTGTCAAAGTAAGGCGAGGAAGCCCACTCGAAAGCTCGCGTTGGTTCGTTCGTTCGTCCATGTAATGCGGCCTCCGTCTCCTCTCCACATCGAGAGCTGCCGATATCCCGAGCGACCCCGCCAAAACTTCCAAGCTGAACGGGCTTTTACGTCAGGCCATGTTTGGGCAAGGTGCGCTCTTCGTCAGCCCGCAACGGAACTCGACGTCAGTAGGTATCAAGTAAAGCTCCAATCGGGCTAGACAGCCACCAGTGACAAGCAAGACAAGACACCGCCTCCTTTGACGTCGTCCCTCCCCGCAAGGGTTTAGTGGGCGGACGGCGTTTAGTTCAGGCCTCCCGTCTGTTTCTCTCCAGGGACGCGGGCCGGGCGTGGGATATGCCATTTTGCATGGACAACGGGGGAGCTAGACCAGACGGTGGCGGGGATTTCTGTACACACTTGCGGTGACCTTTGAGACGGTGGAGAGCTAGCTAGCTACCTTGTTGTCTACGTCGAGGAAGATCGGACCCTCCACCCCCTTGCTACGTATACATGTCATTGAGGCGTGGGCAACTGGGTAGGGTGGGATGTTGAAGATCAGGGGCTTTTGGGTTTAGGCTCTCTCTCGCTCTCTCTCGCTTTGCTCGAAATAGAGCACCCCATAGCTTTGTAGCTGGGACCCCTCCTCATACCCATGACGATCACATGAGAAGCTTGGGGGGATAAGAACCCCTCGAGCTGCCCCTCCTTCTTGTGTTTGGGAGGTAGCAACATTCCAACGCAACTCAATTGACTTCAACAACTTTGCACCTTTCCATAAACCACCAACCACCACTTCAACCTACTCAAAATGTTCGGATTCGGCGAGGCCAAGGAACACCGCGATGCCGTCTACGGCGAGCACGAGGCTAAGCTCTCCCACGAGGTTGTCGCCGGCGGCGCTGCCTTTGAGGCTATGAAGCTCTTCGAGGACCGCCAGCGCAAGAACGGTACGTTGCCCTCATACAATCTCTCTGCCTCGTTGTAGGTGTTGAGCAATTTGCTAACGTCGGATATGTTCACAGGCGAGCCCGTCAAGCACCAGTTCGCCAAGGAGATGCTCGCCGGCATCGCCGGCGCCGAGGTCGACAAGCTCTTCGAGACCAAGGGCCTCGACTACCTCGACCGCGAGAAGGCCAAGAGGCACGCCGAGAAGCAGGCCGAGCACCTGTACCAGGAGCAGTACGGCGACATGGACGAGTACAACCCGTGAGTTGAGCCACCAAGCATTAGAGATATGGGATGGTGAATACTGACTACGCCTGGCAGTGAGCGCCGTGGACGCCACCAGCACATGGAGTACTAAGAAGCATGATGTAACGGCCGGATGGGATATTTAGTATGACGAAATGAAACTATTTGGAACATACACGAAGTTCATACCAATGTGATGAGTGCCAATTACAGACAATGTGATGCGTGCCATTTCAGATTGACCTATCCCGTTTACACGTCGTCCATTTCGAAGCTATCTCCATACCCCACGTCGAGCATGTGAGCACATCGACTGAAACGACATTTCCAGCATTGCGGAGAGCTTTACGGCTTGAGAATTCACCTCTCCTAACCAGACTTTCACTCATGTTGCCATCGTCAATGGATACAGGGACCCCAACCTGACCTAGCCAACACTACAAAACGGAAGCAATAGCCACCGGGTCCCGAGCTTATCATTGATTCAAGATGCCAAAGCATGGTTTGTTCAGTCTGCTCAGACATGCAAATAGGTATCAATAAGCTAAAATCACAAATGTACAGCTACACACCGATACTCAGTTATCCCACGGTTTAGACATTGAGCCTGAAGCAGTAGCGACCCCACCATACGAACCCTTCCCTTCAGCCGCATTGCCAGCAATAATCTCAAATAATCTTTCACGCTCCTTTTGAAGCGCCTCCCTCGTCTCATCAAGCCGTCTCTCACGCTCCCTCCCGTCCCTCATCAACCTCTCGTGCCGGTCCCTGGTCTCATGCAGGAATCGGCTCAGCGTCTGCGTACATCTTTCCACCGACATCCTCGACTTCTTGATCTCGTCATGGAACGCCATATCCGTGAAGATGTTGTCAAACAACACATCCCCCATGAGGTTTCCGTGATTGATATTAACAGGCGGCAGATCCCCGATATACGGCGTCATCCGCTGCGCCTGCATCACCAGCATCTTCGCCTCCTGCGTCGCCGACTCGGCACGCTGCAGCGCGCTCCGCTCCATCATATCCGACATCGTCCCGCCCCCAAACATATCCATCCGCGAATGGCTCAGCGCATCGTCTATATTCCTCAGCGCGTCCCCCATCCGCTTCATCGCGTCCATCAACAGCTTGATCGCATGCTGCTCCGCCTCCGCCTTGCTCCTCGTGTCCTGGTACGCCCGCATCGCCCGCGAGGCCTCCTGCTCCCTGGCGTCCTCCTCCGGGTACCCGGTCGTCGGCCCCGCGAAGATGGCCTCGTACAGACTGTCCAGCTCCCGCTGCGCCTCCTCGTGTGTGCGTGCGGCCTCCTCCAGCGGCTGTCGCGCGCGCGTCGCCTCGTCGAGCTGCGTGCGCAGGTTCTTGTTGATCTCCTTCTCGCGGTGCTCCTCCTGCAGCACGTCAAAGTACTCGCGCTCCTCGCGCGCGGCCTTCTCGTCGAACTTGTCGCGCTTGCCGACGGCCTTGTGCACGAAGCGCCGCATGACGCTGTCGCGGTACTTTTCGTGGTCCTTGAGCTCCTTGCGCCGCCGCGTGTCGAGCTCCTTGACGTGCTTGTCGGAGGCGGCGAGCTGGTGCTCGAGGTCGGCGATGAGGCGGCGCTGCTGGGCCAGGTCGGGCACGGCGTGGTTGGTGGAGGAGAGGGTGAACAGGAGCTCGCGGTTTTTGACGGCCGCTTGCCGGATTTTGGATTCGAGGTCGGCGGTGGACATCATGCCGGTGGCCATCCTGATGGGAACGTGTTGGTTGATGAATTTGATGGCGGTGTCGTAGATGATGATGCCGTGATGTGATTGAGTGTCGTAGGTATTGAGCGGTGTAAATGAGGGTGTTGTGAGATTACGGAGGATGTATTAGGTCTAAGTCAGGGGTATCGTTAAATTTGACAAGAAAATCACGACGGCAATTGAGTGTATCTTCGAGATGTTAAAAGAGGATTTTGCCTCGTCGTAATTCTTTATGGTGAGATGCTAAACACGAATGACTCTTCCATCGCAAGGGGGGATGGCGTCCTTATGAGAACCACAAGAACCACGAGAACCCAGGAAGTAGACCGTCGCCCGTCGCCCAGCAATCCTTGGTGGCGCATATCCAAATGGCGTGCCAAGATCAAATCAACGGCACGAAGGATTGGAGCAAAACATCAAGAGTGTAATAGCATGAGAACACAAGGTCGGACCATGACATCAGACACCACACGCGCCAAGGGTCCGGCTGCCTCTGCGGCGCGGCACACGGAACACCACACCCAAATGCGGGGAGCCTACACCTTTTTTTCACTGTAAGGCATGGACCGGACGCTGGACTTTCTCCCTGATTGACGGGGATCATCGGTGCTTGTAGGGCTGCGCCACGGACCGAGACGGCGGGACAAGACACTTAGGCGCCCAGGCGCTGTAGACTGTGTGACTGAGCAGCAAATCATTACGGATACAAGTTCGCCTTATTTCTGCCTGTTTGTCCACTTTCTCACAGGCAAACGCGGATGATCTCCGTGTAATCTGCATCACCGCGGAGGTTTATGAGTGGCTCGATACGGCTGGGATTGGACTGCCAAGGCTAAAGGATTCGCCCGGGTAAGCTTGCTAAGGAAGCCTAGTTTCTTCGATATCGCGGATCATGATGAAAGGGCTTGTGGCTGGTGAGGCGATCGGGGGCGAGCAGGGATCTTCGTTCCTGACGGTGAAGCAGACACGGCATAGTGCCAGAGGTTGGGCCTGAGAGTGAGGGCATCGTGGCTTTTGCAGCTACATCGGATTTTCCTTTTTTAATCATTGAGGCAAAAGATGCCTTCGTAATTCTGTAAGTTACTGGGTTACTCAGAATGTCCGATGAACAATAGCATTATGGATGGTAACATTGGCCAAGTGAGGCATTTCAATGTCTCTTTTCTTCCGCGCTAGAAATACAACCAACGCAACCATTTTTCGAGCCCGAAAATGCCCAATTTCATGCGCGCTTGAACGGTCAACACCACGGTAACCCACCGCGACCGCCTTATTTCACTCTCCTAACGACCTCAGACAATCAAAGTGGACGGCAACGCTTCAGGTCAGCCTCGTTGGCCCGCCAATAGTGCAAATGTCGCCGCCACGTGGGCGAATGACAGCTGGCGCTGGCGATGCCAGCGAGGCTCACGATATCCACCATCCCTGACGTCTCGCAAGGGTCAACCTCGTTGGCTTCATCATGCCATATGCGCCAATCATGAATGTTGGCCCTGCCCAACACACCATGATAACGACATAATGGCAACAAGAGACATTGGGTCATTGGACGTGTTAAATTGAGGCCATCGCCGGAGGGGGGAATTGTTCTGGCGTTGCCAAGAGTCATGCGAAAAAAACATTCGCGCCGTCGCCGGCTCGCGATACCTTTAATTCCTGTCTACTAATGTTAAACCAACCCTGCCTGTGGCCAATTCCTCGTCTATAATAAAAACGCCAATTACATACTAATACAGTGACCAGAAGAACCAACACAAGACTTTTTCACCGCCCTTCTACCGCCTCGGGGTCATAGTTGCGCCCACTCACGTCCTCATCATGGCTCTCGAGCTGAATCGCCCCCTTCTTCCTCGGCTCAGTGACTAGTGACAACGCAGCCCACGTCAGCCCAGCAAGCAGCGAGACATAGAACCACGGCAGCCCCCTCCAGGGCCCCTTCTTCTCCAGCCCGACGGTGAACGTCCACGCCAGGGCCGGGCCGCCGAGCGGGGAGCCCAGCGTGTCGACCATGCTGATGAGCGCGTACAGCCGCGACGTGTGCGCCTGGTCGACAAACTCGGTGATCATGGCGCGCACCAGCGGCCAGCTCGCGGAGCCGAAGGTCGTGACCGACAGGCCCGCCAGGAACACCACAATCTCCCAGCTGCAGCCCTCGATGAAGCCGCCGAGCGCGATCATCAGATACGAGCCCTTGGCGAGCAGCGCGTCCTTGCCGAAGCCCGAGCAGCGGAAGCGGCCGCGCGGGTTCGTCAGCACCTTGGACAGCCAGGGGAGGATGAAGAGGATGCCGAGGTGGAGGAAGCTGAGCGGCGACAGCAGGAAGGACGTCTGCGCGAGCGTCCAGCCGAAGTGCTTGCTGACGTACTGCGAGAGCGTGCTGGAGTGCGAGGCGTGCAGCGCGCTGGCGAGCAGGGAGGGCACGAGGCAGAGGAGGATGTTGCGGTTGCGGAGGATGCTCATGGACTGCTGCAGCTCGCGCAGGCCGTTGGCGAAGGAGTCGCGGACGGCGTGGGCGAGGGGGACCTGGGGTGTTTGGGGGCCGTCGCCGGCCTTGACGCGGAGGGTCTCGGGGAGGAGGGCGCAGATGAGGAAGATGGGCGGGGTGAAGAGGAAGACGAGCTTGATGGGCAGCCAAGGGCCGTACTGCTCCATGAGGTAGCCGGCGGTGACGGGGCCGATGAGGCCGCCGAGCACGGCGCCGACGGAGAGGTAGACGAAGTTGGAGGCGCGGTCCTTCTCGGTACTGATGTCGGCGGCGATAGCGTACACATTGTTGAACATGACGACGATGCCCCCGCCGATGACGCCGAAGACCATGCCGACGAAGAGGAAGTAGATGTTGGCCTCTGGGAAGAAGGAGAGCATCAGGGGCGCCCAGCTGAAGGTGAGGACGGTGCCGAAGTAGGCGAGCAAGAGCACCGCTTTGCGTCCGATTCTGAAATGTGTTGGCATGCTTATGATATGCGTACATTGGGGTGCAACAACTCACCTATCCGAAAGAATACCGTAGGGAAAAGCGACGAGCATGTTGATAATAGCGCCAAGCAGCGACTGCCACCCAAACAGCCACGCCATGTCCTTCTGCACCGGGTCCACCTTGCACTTCATCTCGGGGATCGTCTCCGAGTGCGGCAGCCGGTAGTGCTTGTGACAGATGTCGTCCTCGATGAGCCGCAGCATGGGGATCATGAGCAGCGTCCCACTCGTCGTGATGGAGAACTTTAGCAGCGCCAGCATGAGGATGACGGCGCGCGGCGAGCGCACCTGGAACCGCAGCAGCGCGTCGTTGATGCGCACCCCGACGGCCCAGAGCGCGCTCCCCATGGCGCTGCTGCCGTTGCCGCCGCCGGCCCAGCCCCCGAGCCCCGGGGGCGACCTGCTCCATTTCGACCGCGTCTGGTCAAAGGCCCGGACCGGCGCGGCGTCGGCGGGCAGGCCTTCTAGGTCGGCGAACTCGGCACCCATGAGGTGTGCGGCCTCCACTTCGTCTGACAAACGTGGCATTCTCACTTTTTGTAGAAGCCGGGTTGCTGGAGTAGCAAACCCTGAGCCACTGGGATTAGAATAAGAATATAGAAGAAAGGGGAAAGGGAAAGTGATGATCTTGAGCGTACAAAGGAAAAATGTCAAAGGGAGCGGATGTGAGGAAAGGGGGAATCAGTGCAAGCTGACGACGCATCTGGAGATTCAAATTCCATCGCCAAGCTCTCTCTCCAGTTTCAGCTGCGCCCGCGGCGCGCGGGTGCCAGCTTTGGCCCCGAAGCTTGCCGGAGCAGGCCTCGCAGGGCGATCTGGGTTATCTCAGGATGTTGGTCGGCGACCCCTGAGTCGCGATATGGCAATACTTCTGTCGGGGTGTAGAATGACCCGATATGAGAGTATCTCACTAACACAAGCTTCCACAAGCCAATCTGCAAGCTCCGCTGATCCCCCAAATTCACGCGTATTCGCCTAAGCAATGACAGCTTATTTTAGCACTGGTCAGCTCCCTAGCAGGGGCCTACCGTGCTGCCGGGCTCGCTGAACGCGCCGGACCGACACTTTTTAAGCAGCCGGTCCGCAGCGGAGGTTAAAGCTTGCTGTTCCGTTCTCTCCGGTGCACTCTGGTAGCTCCCACGGTGCTCTATGAAGCTTCCGTGGAGCGATGCGGTATTTTGTAGGCATGAAGCTGGTTGATTTTCATCTGTCCAAAATCTAGTGTCATGAAAGAGCGCATGGAAGCGGAAACGATGCTATTGAGATGAGATGTCTGGGCAGTGTTCACCACCCCGGACATTTACACCATTTGCTTTCATAATGGTAGCTTTGCCTGGCTAACGGCGATACATTGCGCTGCACTTGTAGCAGGATAATGAGCGCGCGAGAAGAGATAAGAAACCAACTATTGATTAAGCGTGCGGCGATAAACATGAGACTTTGAGATTTACGGTCACAGTAGGAAGTGGTTTCGGTAAGTCCATGTAGGGAACGCATTGAGATTGTCCAGGTGCCAGCCGAAAGCCTGCCAAATTAGAGAGAGAGAAAAAAGAGAGAAAAAAAAAAGCCCCTTATGAGTATTCTCACCGATTCTCAAACACAGGGAAACACATCGGTACTATCACCAAGTGATGTAAAACATTCTGATATTGCTTTTCATATTCCAATCTTAGACCAATCTCTTTTATCATTACCCTAGCTAAACAAATAAGCTCACATCGACTGTCCGCCTTTGACGTGTATTATTGATATCCAGTCGACCCATGAAATTGGATGGGTGTTTCATTCGTCAAAAATCTCCCGGATTGACTGTGACGAAGATCCTCTCCGAGGCATTTTTTTTTCCAGAAATCCCGTGATTGATGCCCCGTCGTCATGCGTCTCGGTTCCATAGTCGTACCAAGCACGGATGATCATCGTGTACTTATCCGGGCACAAGATTGAGTACTCTGTTCTGTCGGAACAGTTCGCACACTTTTCTTTGAACTCTTTACCAATATTACAAACCGGGTACCAGAAGCTCTCGTCGAAGGGTGTCTGGGGATATAAACGATATTTCTGCGCGAGATTCCACTCTCTCAAAGAGCTGTACATGAAAGCTATGATCATGTGATAACAAACTAGCGGCGCCCGTCTGATTTGCCCATGTACGTCTTCAAAGTGGCACTCGCCGCCGCTTTTGAATATCCATTCTTTCCTCAAAAGATACCCACCAGAGATGATCTTTGGCATGGCCGCGAAGTACTGAAGGTGGCCACGATCGTCGGGTTGACGGTTCCGGGTGAATGGAGTCATGAGCTTCTCGAGATACCCCTGGTGAATGTTCCCGAGCCGAGATAACTTCAAAGCTGTTTGGACGTGTTGAGGACGTACTTTATACGGATTAAGGCTTATAGCTAGCGACCGGTTCTGCGGCGTTAAAACACAGGGAGGCACAACATTGCATGTCTGTGGCACGTCCGCGTGGTTGATTCGATGCATTCTATGGCAATTTTGGCACACGGAATGGTTGGGCGAGTCGAATGCAATCTTGCCCCAGAATACGAGCTTTTTTACGAAAAGAAGTTGGCGAAGGAATTGTTTCCAGTCCCTGTGAGCGAGGGCTCGAAAGCGGGCGCAGGTCCTTGAGAGGATCGCCACAGTGACAATATCGAGGTAGCCGATGATGTCCAGAAGGAGCTCTGAGGGTAGTCGAAGGAGATGCGCTCGTGCGACTGTCTTAATAGAACGAGTGTTGCTGAGATCGAACCCGCTGGGGGCTGTCGCGTTGTCGATATTTACCATGCTGGGCGTGGACTTGAGTGGTAACTTGTCAACCTGCTTCAACTAGGATTCGCAAAGAAAATGGAATCTATCACACATATAAGCAATCTCTGCGATCAATCTCCGATTGCCGAACAGAGTTTATTACATATTTGCGGGCCTACAGTGCAAAAGTTGAAAACACTACAGCACCAACCTTGAGAACCAATAGGCTATCCACCTATGCGTCTTTGGTTGGTGATGTGGCGCAAACTTTGATGTATACGCTCCAGGTTGGATAGACCTACAAGCAATTGTGAACATCACAGCCGAGCAGAGCCTAGAGTGGTTGGCATTGGGATTCAAGTTGACGAATTCGAAATTCATGATAAGATTTGACAGAATCAGTGACCTAGGCAGGCAAGTACCCTCCTTTTCATCAGCACCACAATCTCTGGGTGATGGGTTTTCTGTACTTACTTGGTATTCTATTGGCGAAACCAGAAGCATAACCTACCTGAGTTTCGTCACTGTATTTTACTGTTCGACAAAGTGCAACAACAGTCCTCAAAGCGTCAAAGACTCTTACGAACACTCAAACTGTAGTGTGAAGGGGTCAAGTAAGCTTCTTTTGCAACAAATCATTATTATTAAAACTACTAGTATCAAACCTCAGATAAGGTAGTGTGCAGTCAGAAGACAACTATCTTATTTATTATAAAGTCTCCTAATGGAGGGGAAAGCGGGCCTTTCGTACCAATCCCTATTTAGAAAATACCGATCACCCTCGAATCCATAATCGTACCAAGATCTGATAATTACGGTGTACCAATTTGGACACCATATCGCGTACTCCACCTTGCATTCGTAGCATCTGTTACTGAAGCCAAGCCCGATAAGACTGATAGCAGACCGGAAGTCGGCCTCAAATTCGGGCTCCCGTAATTTGTTTGGTCTTTCCCAGTCGAGATAATGTCTCTCATTCAAACTGTGCGCAATGCCCAAGTGTGGGCAGACGAGCGGAGTTCCCTTCAGTTGCTTGTTGATGGCAAACATTTCCTTGTTCCAGGGATACTCGCAACCGCGGCTGTCGAAGATGCTCTGGAATGTCCATTGCTTCTGCAGAAGGATATTTCCATCGACGATCTTTGGCACGGCGCGGTAGTGCCTGAGACAGTTGCCCTTGAGGGCGCGGTGATATATGCTGTACGGCGCCATGATCCTCTTGAGGTATCCTTGGTTGATGTTACCGAGCCGAGAAAGCTTTAGGGCCATTTGCGCATGCTCCGAGCGCATCTGATATGGATCGAGTGAACTACCGCCAGCCCCACGACCGTTTCTTTGGCAAGGTGGTGTCCATTTTTTATATGGCAAATACCTTTGGTTGATGGGTTCTATTCTGTGACATGAGGGGCAGAACCAGTGGTTTGGCATATCGTGGACGATTCTTAACGAGAAATAATCCTTCTCGTAGTCCCACCATCCTCGAAATATGGGTGCCCTATCCGTATCGAGAACGATCCGGAACGAGGCGCAAGTTCTTGACAGAATCGCCTTGTCGAAGACTCCGAGGTGTTCGATTATTTGCAGCATAAGCTCCACAGGTAGTTGTAAAATAGCTGAGTTAATGTTGCTTGTTCTGCTTGTTGTTTTGTCGCGAGCTTGACGCAGGCCTATGTTGGTCTCGGCGTCCGCCATTGTTGATTGGGATAAAGATTATTCGAAACGAGATTTAATCAAATTGCGCGGTAGTGAGAAAAGGGAGAAGAACTGAAGTCCTAGAGCAGCTTTGGGGTTCGTTTTCTTTCTTCGACTAGGATGAAAGAGACCACCTTTGTGGACCATGGGTCTGTCTCCGATTTCATCATTCTGATTCTTTCCTGATAACAAAGTTTAGAAATCTGGCGGATATTTGTGCTCTTTGGGCCTGCGCGTGTATTCTGTCAACTTTTACCTGTATGAACCTGGCGGAAACATACACGAGGACCAGGATGGATCACGTAGAAACCTCTATAGCTATGCTACGGAGGATATAAAGGACTGCCAGCTGCCTTTTGGAGTTTTCCTATACCATGACAACTAATCATTCCGTTACCTCAACACCAAGATGTGCCTGTCATCCTCACTGAGCTATATCACAAACCTTTCCAACCGCCTTGGGGGCGGTTCCAACCCCACTGTCACCGCCCAGAAGCATGATGCTGAAGTCGGCATGTCTCTTAGCGGAAGACGTAGCCCTCATACGGCAGGCTTGGCTCATTCCGAACCGCAAGATTCAAAGGATTCTAGGCAGCTATCAGAAACCAGGGTAATAGGGGACGATCTACCGCCAAAATTAGCCACGCAAATTCTTGAGTGTGTGGTAGCCCAGAAGGATGGCTACCCGTTAGCTCCTCTTGCGGCAGTCTGCAAACTATGGAACCAGATACTTGAGCCTCATCTGTTTGCAGAGGTGACCTTCTGTCTGACGAACGCCAGCATTCTGTCCGGCGACATCGCCCCCGACACCCTGGCAAACACCATTCGAGGCTCGCGACTGCTGTGTTTGAAAAAGCTACGCCTTGTGATAGACGTGGATCTATCGAGTTTCACGACAATTGTCGATTACCCACGGCGTCGAATGAGACTGGGGGCTGACTTTGCGGATGTGATGGATGGTTTCTTCGACACAATGGCCGGTTGGAAGCGCGACGCATCGTTCGACTTGGATATCCACGAGGAGCAGTCATGCGGCCATCATCTCAATCATTTGGGAAGCAAACTCGCTCAGGGTACCCTGCGAACAGTTCACTGCGTCCGTTCTCTGCTGCATCTGGAATTCAACTGCGATCGATGTCGGTGTTGTTCCTATCGGGGACTCTTGTCATATCTATGCTCGGCCATGAAAGGATCAGATCACTTGAAAGAGATATCGTACGGCTACCAAGAGCGGGTTCGTCGCAACCGCTCGATGCAATACGAGCGCTGGGACTTCCTGCCGCCTGCCGTGGAATCACTCACCGTTCGTGACATGGACGAGCAAGGATACTGGTGTCGTCCGTCGACAGTTTTCAGAACATCTCTTCTCAGCGCCAGGCATCAACTCAGGACCTTTTGTTGCTCAAATGCTATGGACGCAAGTCCTCTCAAGGGTCCACGATTGGTCTTATTAAGGTGGCCATTTCTTAAACATCTTTCGATGACCTTTTTTGGTCTCGGACTGGAAGCAGACGAAAGTCTTTTCGACCCCCTGATGATAACGATGGCTGAAGTCGCTCGAGGAATGCCCAAGATTAAGCTACTTGAACTCTGGTTTACAGGACAAGATATAAAAGCACGAGACGCGGGCAACTTTTGCTACGCCGTCGACAACAAAAATGCTCACGCTGTGTGGAGTATGAATCGGGAGATTAGGCTCTCTGGCATTCTCAAAAGCGAATGGGACACCACGGCCAGACGACACACGTCGCGCGGTCTCACAACAGAGGTCCGCAGGACAAACTTTGTCCCTGGTGATGTGGTAGAAGCTCTGTCACCGGCTCGAGAGGCGGCAGCTCTCTTCAGCGAACGCTCTTACGCTACAGATCCCTCTCAGAAGCAAATGTTCAAAATATCATATGAACATCGATTTGAATATAGACAGGAGTATGAGATTTGGGGAGGTGACATATTTCACAGACGGGAAGAAGACGACAATTATCCATGGTCGGGAGACGAGTCGGAGGAGAATTAACCAGTCGAACTCAAGTACACGCCTAGATGTAGACGAGAGTCATCTGGATCTTCCCTAGAGGCCCGAAACAATTGCAAGCGGGCTCTTTCGTACGGATCTGGTAATTTCATATCGGATTAGCTCGAATCGTTCGTATCAACTGACAGTTCAACTGAGTTTCACGATGCCAAATACGCTGTTCAGTGCATCTCTCTCACCAGTGCAACGTATCGTGACTCGTAGTTCCTGACCCGCCTCTTGGAACTGACCAGACGTCTACGTGTCGCGACTCATGCTCTAAGCCTAGGTCGTTTTGTGATTTCCCCGGCCTAGGGTTGTACGGCGAAGGCTGATTGGTGCAATAAGCTTTAGAACCGTCCGGAGTCCGTCTGGACTCCGGATGAACAGTTTCAGGTCGCTATTAAGGTGTAGATCTACCTAGTTTCGGACCATCGTAAAGTCGCCGGTGGGTTGGTACAATGGCCCGCCGGAAGACTGCGGACAGCTCCGTCAAGTGCACATCAGAGCAATTGAAGACGATCATAAAAGGCTGAGCACGAGAACGTAAAGTTAAGCATGCTTTTCATCTCATTATCCTATCGCTTGCCACCTAAAGTTTGATTAATAAGTAACTATCGTTAACCTTCATTCCTTGTCAACAAGATCAGAATGCACGTCAAATCTATCGCCATTACCTTTCTGGCTTACGCCGCAGCGGTGTACGCGGTGTCATGCAGCGGAGATTTCTGCGGAAAAACCGACTGCAGGAAGCAACCCGGAGAACCTAGCTGCATCAACATCACTGGCGGCTGCACATGTCTTTTGCCTTAAGAGCGTATCGTAGGTTCCTTATGGTAAGTGTTGTTCTTATGATTTGCCATATTTGATCTGACTTGAATTTGTGCCCAGGACTGCCCCATTAAGGCTGGAAGAAATACCTCGTCGCAATATTTAGAACTTAGAACAATCAACTAGTTTCACAACATTATGCTGCCGCGCCGCGCAACTTGATCATCGTTTGCTGTCCCGGCAGGGGGCCCTACCTCATTGGGATATGTTCCCCTTCTACCACTCCTGCCAATTGGATGTCAATTCTGCCCTGCTTTTTGTCTTCCAAGTCGTCGTACCTGTTGTCGTGCCTGTCATCATTCCCATCGTTCCTACCTAGCGTCATTCGTGGCGGAGATGTCGCTGACTACGACATGCGGAATCCCGAAGTTCTAATTTTAAACGACGGAGTACCGCTAGACCCATTACATGGCAAGGTTGAAGAATGCCCATCAAGCTGCTTCCCTTTGGATGGCTAAAGGTGGCGATTCGATGCACACACCTGACGGCTCGGTGTGAGTCACCGGGCACGGGCTCAAACCTCCTCAGTGCCTCACCACAGGGCAGCTTGCTTGGTGAGATGGCGGGACATCATTAATACCCGGATTTGTACAAAAGTTCAATGACAGTTTCTCCCGTCTTGTCTTGCGCATCAACGAATTATATAGATTAATCACTTAGTTTGTAGCGATGGCGAATTTCAAACCCCGTTTTCTCTCGGAGCCTCAATTACGGCGTCACGAAGAGTGTGCCGTCGAAAACGCCAAAATGGCCGACTGCTGGAGCGGCGAACAGGCGGTGTTTCTTACCTTCAACTTTTCGGAGCAATACAAGTGTCGCCAGTACACGCTCATGCCATCACTGCAGATGGATATCATGACCCCCGCCGACAAGCCCACCTGGCCCTCATCGGTCGATGACGACAAAAAGCCCTTGCGACAACACTGTCGGCGAACAATTCGGATGCTGGAAGGGACTAAGTGCAACAAGAAAGTGCGACCAGAGCCGTGGTACATACGGGTGGACTCGAACCAGACGTTTGAGCTGTACAGCGACGATGCGATGAAGAAGGCGCAGGGAATTATCGATGAGCTGTCGGCGGATTATGCGGCCATGTGTGTTGTGACGCATGACATCCGGCACACGACGAGGGCGCTGGAGATTTTTGATATGAAGCTGCCGGCGAAAGCTGTACTGGTCGACTTGATCAAGGTGTTGGAGCATCAGACGAGGGATGATGGAGTCCCGGAGGAATTGGCGGCGTACACGGACGACAACATTGCGGTGCGGAACGGGCGGTATGATCGCAAGGCCGGAGTGTCAGGTGGGCGGCTCGGGATGCCGTATATTCGGTTGCTGGAGATTGTCGGGCCTGCCGCCGAGGCTCATCGGCGTGATTTCCAAAAGGCCGAAAAGGAGGATACTGCGTTGAAGAGGATCGCTGGACGGCTGAGGAATGGGTAGATACCATGACGGTTCTATCATTTTAGCTAAATGACATTGGTTTTTGGGATTCATCGAGTCTATCACATCATGAAAGAGCTGCGTCAAACTGTGATGGCATGACTTCGACGGTTAAACGGATGAGTTGCATCTAGAGTGAGAGTGAGTGAGTGAGTGAGATGGAATTGTGAGTGACAGAAGAATCCCCCGCACAGTTGAAAACGCCAATGGACCGTGCGGCACTGTCATTTTTCGCTGCAGGAGCGACGCGTGGGGGTCCACTTTCCTCGTTCCAGTTGGCCGATTTTGTGTCTCCCCCATCATTCTTTCAGGGAAAGGACGGCCGAGATGTGTGGGGAAGGGGGGCCCTTTTTGGGGGAGCTCGCCCATTCCCCGCGTTGACCCAGCCGCCTGAGGCGGAACTTTGCCAATCTCATCCCCAATTTCCACGATTTCTATCGACACATCTTCAACTTCGCGGCGCACCTCACCGTGTCCTCACCGATGCCGACTCCACCGTGTCCAACGTCCACCGCCCATTGATACGGCGATAGTTCCTGAGCGAAGGCTGCCTCAGCCACGACGAGCAACCCACTGCCACCGACCATGTCCCCATAGCCACCGTTCATGGCGAGCCACCCTTCTCCAACCCAGCATGGCGTTGCTGGCAACTACAAACGCGCCAGTCGAAGGGGCGCACCTCGACGATTCGTGTGCGACCATCCGGGATGCGAGAAGCTGTACTCGAGGGCGGAGCATCTGCAGAGACACCAACTGAACCGTAAGAAGCTTTGAAGCCCATGCGCGGTCTCACCTGCGCGTCTTAGATGTGCCAAGGACAGGTCAATTGACGCGACTCGCAGACAACCCTAAAGAGATCTTCATTTGCGATGTGCCGGGATGCGACCAAAAGTTCGTTCGAGCTGACTTACTGAGCCGACACAAGAAGCGACACTCATCTTCATATATCCCCCGTAACCGAGCACCAAGTTTTAGCACTTCCTCTGCCTCTAACGGCCTGTCTGGTGTCGCCGTGTCGTCGCCAACGGCTGCTGTCCCCGCCCGACCGGTATTCCCTCAGCCAGTCCAGCCATCGTCGTCGGCCGGCCCGCACGATGCGGCCATCCTGCTGACCCCCGACTCCAACGCCACCCCAACACCTACAACGGGCGCAACTAATGCATCATTAACGGCCAGAGTTGGCCAACCATCAACATGGCCATCAATAGACGATATCTCCGTCAACATGATGCGCCCGAAATCCGATCTATTCGGCCGGGATCAGCCGCCGATACCCGCAGAATCATCAATCATGCCGTCTTTCAATGCAATGGACTTTCAATCGGACGAAGCACTATCCCGAGAGAACTTTGCCGTCTGGTTGTTCGACCCTCAAGCAAGTTTCAGCGACTTCAATGGCGTCGCAAACCTCCCTTTCCTCGAGGGAGGCTTGGAATCGACCTTCAACAACAATATCCACTATGACTATGAGTCTTTGACCAGCCGTTCACAGCTAGACCCGACACCGCCAAGGCAAGCCGATGTCAGCGATGAACTCATTGGTGAACACCGACGCCAAGAAGTTTTGAGATGGCTGCAGGTCTTTCGTCAGAAGCAACCGAAATACGAGCACCGCATTATCAACTTGGTGCAAGAAAGTGGTGGAGATCTGCCCGCACTAAACCTCGACATGATGCGCGACTGTTTACAAGAGTACTGGAAGAACGTTTCGCCAAGGCTACCCATCGTCCATCAACCGACATTTGCAGCAAATCGATGTTCCATCTTCCTACTCATGGTCATGATTGCGTTAGGAGCTGCATCTTTGAGCAGCAGAGACTCGACGGGAAACCTGGAGCAATACGGAGGGTTCGCCGATGTCGTCATATCCAGTGTTCGTTGGGAGATTCTCACAGCAGAAGAGGCATCACCACCGGTCGGTCTGGCAATTGCGCAATCACTGCTACTCCTGGAGTTCTACGAGAAGATGTTCTCGTCAAGGCGATTCCATGAGCGAGCTCACATCTATCACTCCGCCACCTTGACCCTCCTCAGGAGAGGAAGTCCTCTTATTGGAAGAGCGGGGAGTGAATCGCCGCCGGAAGAACAGGCCCCCACCTCCAACGATGCAGCATCATTGGATTCTAGGACGTGGTGGGTGCGATGGGCTGAGTCCGAGGCGATGCATCGGGTCGTGTTTGCGGCTTTCATGTTGGACATTATCCATGCAGCCATGTTTGGCCACACAGCGGACATGGCACCCCATGAGATCCGACTTCCTCTGCCTTGTGATGATGCTCTTTGGACAGCTGCCACTCCTGACGTATTCCGCCAGCTCGATGGCAACTACCGCATGTACGGCATCAAACAGGTTTCCTTCCTCGATGGACTGAAGAGCGCTCTACATGGCCAGGAGGTTAAGACACATACCTTCGGGCGGATGATCATCATGTCAGGCCTGCTGAGCGTTGGGTGGCACCTGTCCCATCGAGAATCCCACCTCAAGTGGCTTGACCTGCGTACACCGAGTACTGAGACGCACGACAGCTGGAAGAAGATCTTGCTGCGGGCATTCGACGAATGGAAGGAGAGCTTTGACAAGGCTGTCGGCGCGAACGACACTCCTGAAGCACCAGGTCAGCCATCGAGTCCTAATGGTCCGATTCACTCCGCCGCTGCACTCTATCACCTAGCATACATCAGCCTTCACGTTGACATCGTCGACTGCCAAGTATACGCCGGCGCTAAGCGTTTGGTCGGACGGAAGGTATCCACACGAGATCACTCCAATGCCGTTGCGCGGATGAGGACCTGGTCCAACGCAGCCTCAACACGGCAGGCCGTCCTCCACTCTTTCAAACTGCTCTACCGCGTCCTCGTGGACCAGAGAGGACCTAAACGACGAACGAGTAGTTTTGGTTCACTTCCTGAGCCGGTTTCAGTCTTCTACTCATGCCGCACCGAGCCTGATCCGCATCGCCCATGGATCATGTACTATGCGGCGTTGACGATCTGGTCATTCGTTCAAGCACTTGGCATCCCCAATAAGAACGCCCCACCTGGACGGTACAGCGAGATCGCCAGGTACCTAGCCCATTTTGCCACTCTGGACGAGCTGAACGATGAATCAGCGATGGACCTGAATGAGAGACTGCCAGAACTCCTCGACTTGTTGAAGATGAGCCTCGAGCAGTCCCATTCGGAGTTGCTGCGGGAAGCTAGTGACCGACTGAAGCTCTGTCGAGAAATGTTACGGTAGTCTAAGCCAACAAGTGACTCATGCACAGGGAATCGTGGAAATGTATTTCTTGATCATAGGTTCTTGTTCGCGTAACGGCGACAAACCTTTTTGTTTGGGGGGACCTTGCGGAGCTAACCTTAAGGTTTCTGCGGCGAGGCTCAGGAGGTCGCCGGTAGGCTGAGAACCTCACTGGTCGCTCATATCTACGGACCGGTGGGCTATAAAAGTGCATTCAAATTCAGGAGTTAGCTTTATCAATAATACCCTACCTAGTTCAAAATAATTTGACAAAGGCTTCTTTGATCACCTCTCTTGTACAGCAAGTGGAGAGCATTTGATAATGACAAGAGACACTGGCAACCTTTTACATCCAGGTCGGGTCATCGAGTAAACCCCCCGACTCGCCCATCTAGTATTACGTCGAGGCACGATATACCCACGGTCTCAGACACTATATAAAAATTCACCACCGGAAAATATCAATTCGTGCCATGGATTTCATGTTTCAATTCAACGGCCGAATCTCATCGTAAACTGAATGAAAGTTGAGCGTTACTGTTTGGGCCAGCTATTCAGGCGAGTACCCAGTACAGACGATAACAAAGATAACAACAGCACTGGCAATACAGATATTAGAGATTTAAAGTATTAGAATACTAGCTATTAGGTACCTTAGTTCTGCACCCGGATAGCAAAACTCTAAAAGTTTGCTGATATGTTGTAGTGGAGATAGCATAGCTAAGAAGTACGTATATTTAAGCCTACGATTATTATGAGCAACTGAGTTTGAGTTGACATTCAACAGCTACTTCCTTCCCATCTCCTACCGTTACACCAACCCCAGATCCCCGACTACTGCGACGCAAGTTTCCTGTCAACTTCATTCAATATCACTATGGCGCCGTCTAAACCTGCACACGCGATTGTCAGGTACCGCAAACATACCCCCTGCCCGGAAAAGGGGCGTTTCTGCACCGGATACAGCAAAATCTACCAGGCCAAATGGGATGAGAACAAGGAAAAATGCATCATGTATCAACTACCCCCCGAGATTATTCTCTCTATTATGGAATGCCTAGATGCGCCTAGCATGTATATGGCACGGCAGGCATGCTCTTTGATATGGTCTTTTTGCAACGACCTCTCCTTCAAAAGGTTTCATTACATGCTCAAAGACAAGAAACGTAACGTCATACCCGGAGCCCCGCCTGGTTTCAAACATGATGCGCTCGCTGAACACATGTCGGATATCATCAAACGTCTACGACCTGACGGACGCTGTCGCGATTGCCAATATGTCTATGACATTTGGAAGCCAGAGTCGTATTGGCGGGCCTCCAACTTTTGCACGGTCCGCCTTGCGTTCCACAAACGACTGTTCTCACCTCTCGATGAATATGGGCGCGAGTGGGAGAAAAGGCTTAGATTTTGTCCGCACCGCCACTTATCGTTCCCTGAGGCCTTTCGTCTGCTGGGCATGTCCCGCAATGATGATGCGCGTCAGGTCGTCTTTCGATGCAATGAGTGCAGTGACGCCCTGGGGATGGGGGAAGGAGAGGAGCCGCCAACTATATACTGCGACACGCAGCAAGCGCAAAACGAATGGACCGTTAAGGTCGCGACTTTGACCAAGGGACAAGTCGTGACCATGGACCTACTGCGACAGAGCCTGAAGAGAATCGACGGTTGGCTATGCCCGCACGCCCAGTCGTCGCAGGATATCCTGATGAAGCCATTTTGCAGACGCCGTTGCGTTTGCTTCCGTGAGTCTACGGGTACAGTGCAACGCTGCTACAGGCATTCGCGCCCGCGTGAAAGGTACGACTGCTGCGCTTGCCTGCAGATAATTTCCAAGGACGAGGCCGCTGTTGGGATGTTCATGGCTAGCACAGCGTCGCATGGCGTTCACTGTAAGATGTGCGACTTTCAGTATGACTGGGTTTTAGATGAGGACAGGATCCTGTTGAGCGCGAAGAGAGTTATCGTGCGATTTCCTCAACATGCCGAGGGTTGCGTATGTAAGCTTGATGTTGCATCATAAACGTTTACGACTGAATATTCAATTTGGACCCCGAGATGTACGATGGGAATGTCTCGGCCCCTAAGATGACGGATTGCAAGGACAAGAAGTGTAGGGTTTTCGGATTGGCGTATGCCCCTGGGTCGAAGTCGTAATGTTGGCATCATCTAAGACTTTATGTTCGTGGATAAGGGTCAGTTGGCTTGAAGGCGTGCTGGTGTCCAACACGGGGCTATAGTCATTTGATCACGGCGAGTTCAAGTTGACCTATTGACAAGAATGGTGAAATTCATTTGTACACACTTGGAATATGTCTGAAGTATCCGTAATATTCACGTCATTGCCCAAGTTGAGCAACCAATAACATACTTTACGCCGGAGTATTCTTTCCATAGTCGAGCCAGGCGTTTGCATATTCCTAGGATTGTATTCCCGCGCAGCCAAAGATATCAAAGTTCAACTTGACCACATCCAAGAGATCCAGTACTGCAACATCAAGGGTCACCTCGGGGCCTGCCCGTCTAGGGAAGGCGGAGCACGAAAGTAACCGGTGACACTTGAATGATAACGCGCGATGGATCCTCTGAACCCCACTTCCCTCGGCCGGAGAGACGAAGCGCGCAGAGACGATTGGTTCACGATATGCAGGGACGGAGAATACGACGCCGCTAGCGAAGAAATGGCGAATCCAGAACTCGAGGTCCTCCATGGGTTCCGGTCGTTGGAGAACCAGAGTCTTCAGCGAGGATCCTTGCTGAGGAGCGGGTAAAAAAAAGAACGGGGTGGTGTTTTGCTACAAATCCCACCCCTCCGCTAATCTTTCGAGACGGACATTCAACTCCGACAACCCGCGCCCGCCACAGACGACACGATTCGAAGAATTGTCGTGATAGTTACCTTTGATCCTTTTGTTGTGAAAAATGGCTGAGGAGTCTGAGACGGGACAGGTCGCCGCACCTGCGCCTGCGCCGGCGCCTGCACCCGCCGCAGCCCCGCCAGCCCCGCGACCTGAGCCGGCGGAGGCGGTTGAGATCGCCGACGAGGCATATGTCAGTCCCCGCTGCGACCCCGTCGTACCGGCGCCTTGGGATCAAGAGATTGCTGACAATATCAGGCCACGGATGATACGTCGTCAATGGACGAGAGAATGTGCGAAATCTTTTCCCTTACCTCCGGTCGCCTTCTCAAAATGCTAAATCTGTCAGCTCATCCTACACTGCTTCGCTCACATCCAGCGTCGTCGACTATCCCATCGAGTATGGTCGTCGTTATCATGCGTATCGTCCCGGATGTATGTGCACTTTAGTGTGTCCTTAGTTGCCAGTTGAAGGCCTTACAAATCACAGTTTGCTGACACCCTCCCTTCACGTAAAATAGCTTACAAGTTCCCCAACGATGAGGTATGACCTTCGCCGCACAGGGAAACACTGCGGGCCTGACGCTGATCCTGGAGTTCCGCAGTTCGAGATGGACAGACTCGACCTCGCGCACGCAATGATGGTCAAGGCGATGGGCAGCGTCCTCTTCCGCGCCCCGCTCAAGAAGGAAAAGGTTCATCGTATCCTCGACATCGGAACGGGCACTGGAATCTGTAAGTCTTAGTGCAAACTGAAATCCGTCCGACAAGGTACACATGCTCATCGCACAATTCGTCAGGGGCTGTCGAGATGGGAGACATTTTCGAGAATGCCGAGGTAATTCACACCCCGTCGTCACTCACCGATGAGACACGATACTCACGCAATGACAGGTTCTTGGCATTGATTTGAGCGCCATCACGCCCGAATGGCATCCCCCAAACGTCAAGTTCGAGATCGACGACATTGAGGAGTCCTGGGTCGGCCACAAGAAGTACGATTTCATCTTCTGCCGCTACATGGGCGCCTCGATCAAAGACTGGCCCAATTTGATGAAGAACATTTATGAGTGAGTAACACACACCCCCATTCACCTCTTGACGGCGGGAACAAAACACTAACAACAACATTAGCAACCTCGCCCCAGGCGGATGGGCCGAGTTCCAAGACGTCAACACCACCTTCTACTCCCAGGACGACACCTACTCCTCGGAAACCGCGACGGCCAAGTGGATGAACGGCTTCATGGAGGCCTGCTCCGCGACGGGCCGCGACCCCAGCGTCGGGCCGAAGCTCGAGGGCTGGGTGCGCGACGCGCAGTTCGCCAACGTCGTCGCGGACCGCATCCGCGCGCCGCTCGGGCCCTGGCCCAAGGACAAGTGGTACAGCGAGCTCGGCATGATGAACCTGATCCTGACACTCAACGGGCTCGAGGCGCTGTCGGTGAAGCTGTTCTCAGAGATGCTGGGCAAGACGCAGACGGAGATTGCGGTGCAGCTGGCGCTTGTGCGCAAGGAGCTGAAGAGCAACTCCTTCCATGCAATGTTTGATATGTAAGTTGTGTTGGTGATGATTCTTGAGGACGTTGCTGATTTAATTTAGTCATGTTGTTTATGGCCAGAAGCCGGCTCAACCTTAGCAATAGGGGGCATGTATTCATTCTGCGAAGGAGCTTATTACAGCATTACAAAGTTTGCGATTAATCTCGAATCATATTACTGATTAAAGCCAGACAACGAACATAATAAAATGTGTGGTAAAAGCTGATATCAAGCTAAACTATCAATAGCATCCTCCACGCCTTAATACCAGCTCAGTTCCCACCATACGTCTGCAGCCAAAACCCAAGGAAAGCATAACCCCCGGCGCAGCGCACATTAGAGTTATTCGGGATCATGTACACAAACCCGCCCTGGTTCGGGCAGTACCCAAAGCCATAGGTGACGGGGTTCCCGCTAGGCGAACCACTCGACTGGCAATTGCCGTAGTAAGCACCGTTCGTGCGGCCGGTGTAAGTGCACGTGATGGGGTACCCTCCGGCGCCCTGCTCGGCGCTGAACACCCTGTCATTAGCTGTCGGGGGGTCCGGGAGGTAGAAGTCCATGAGTAGCTTGGACGGGCTGTTGTATTTGCGCAGCAGGCCGGCGTTGTCGACGTAGAAGGGCGTGGCGACCGAGGCGTCGCGGACGAGGCGGAGGGCGCCGTCGCTGTCGGAAGTGACGTAGAGGCTCCTATCGCCACTGCCCTGCAGGATGAAGGGTGTGGGCGTGTTGGTGGGCGTGTAGGCGGCGAAGACGGTGCTGGTGGTCGTCACGGTTGTGGTTGCGGCGGGAAGGGTGGTCGTTGCGGCGGTGATGCCGTTGCAGGAGCAGGCGGAGGAGTAGCGCGCCGTGGGGCCAAGGGTGCCGATGGTGGACTGGCAGGCGGTCTGGATGTAGGATGGCATGTTGCTTGGCTTGTTCTGCGAGGGCGCGCAAGACGGGCTGGCAGCAGAGGTGGTGATGGCCTGCCGGGCCTCAATCGCCTCGCGCCTGAGCTTGCGGAGCCCCGGGTAGGGGTTGCTCAGGGTGGTGGTGAAGGAGGTGATGGTCGCGGTCTCGGTGACGGTGGAGGGGCACGGCGTCTGGGTGATTTGCATGAAGGAAGAGCAGTCTGCGGAGGCGGAGGCTGGGCCTGGCTTCGAGCCGAGGAGTGCGCGGAAGCAGTTGTCGCGGGCGCAGGTTGCCTGACGGCCGAGAAGCTCGTCCATAGGGGAGGCGGCTACATGGTTGGCGATGATGCCGCTGACCAGAGCGTTGAGGAGAGTGGACTTCATGGTGGTCAAGACTTTCTGACGTGAGAAACAAGAGAAGGATAGAGTCTCTGGTGTTTTGGGAAGGTCCTTTTGTTCTGACTGTCGAGAGAGTGAGGACCAATATGATTCTCCTCGGGGTGGGATGACTTTATAGACGGTGATCGGGCATGGAATCGAAGCAACAGAACCCAATTTGAATACGATATCACCAGACGTGGACGGAGATGGTTCAGCTGACAGGAAGAGAGGTTCACCAAGCCTATCCGTCTTGGACATAGGGTCTCCCAGCTGAACATCGTGAAAGCTAAGGAAGCCCCATCACCTCGCTTCGCTGAATCTCATGCCTCGCGTAAATCCATCATCGTGGTACTCTCCATTCGGCGGTTCCAGAAGCATGCAAAGAAAAGATAGTCATGATGAAGTGGAGTTGCTGAGCTGCAGAGGTCTCGCCAAGCCCGAGTTCCTCTAAACCGCTTTCCAACACAAGCCTTGTATCTTCCCAATTAGACATGCCCATAGCTGAAAAGGGTAATGGGAAGAAGCATCTTCTGAGACTGAATCCCGTAGCTGAATGGCATGGGTATTTCAGCAGACAGGGGCATCTCACTTCCTCCGCATTCCAGACTCTGCCCAAATTTACTTTGCCATGTGTACCACCGGGGCAGACGGGACCCCGGGGACGGTCTGGCCGCCATTTCGAACGGTTGAGGCAGAGCGGGCCGCATGCTTTTTGACAGGCGTGGCGCTCGGTACCTAACTTCTCCGGCACTAGGTCACTCGTGCAGCTGTGTAATAGTGTGGGCGCTATGCCGTTAGTCTCCGACTAGCTGGCTTTGGTGGCGGGCTGAGTGCCGGGGTATCAAGAACTCCAACGAGTCCTTCTCCCGAATCGGAGTTGTCTAGGCTCAAGTCATCCAAATTGGGATATCAACGCGGGTCAGAAATACTTTCCAGAGGGCAATTTGTGCAGTTTACGTTCGTTTAATGGACATATTCTGTTCAGAATTCTAGACTTTGTGCGAAATCCCCCTGCACTTCATTGGTGCACCGAACAGCTTTGCACCAAATGCATTCTCGGCGCGTCGTGTCTTGAATCCTCGCGAGGTCATCATTCAAGCCCAACGACACATCACGTGGTCAAAGCCGGCGAAGAGACTTCCTCGAGAACGGAATTGCCGTCTCGGAGTATCTTATCCTTCCAGCTTATAATCTCTGTTAAGGCAACCTACAACGGTCTTAGCCCCTTCAATGATAAGGTATTCAGCGTCGGAATGAGTCTCTCTCATCATACCTCCACGAAAAGCCTCTCAAGTTCCGCATATGAAAACAACACGTCCCTATTTATACGGCATCACAACAAACCTCGTTGGAGAATGCCCGTTAGTTCAGCTCACCAAGCTCCTTCCTCGGCCACGCGCTGTGAGTTGGCGGAACGAGCGTCTTATCCCACGCCCACTTCTTGGCCAACTTATCCTCCAGAGTCCCCTGGAGCATCTGCACCACGTACTTGCCGAGCACAGGCAGGAACTTCCACCCGTGGAACGAGCCGATCGTGGCCACGTACAGGTTCTTGCTCCCGGAGTGCGGCGAGATGATGAAGTCCTCGCTGGGCGAGACCGCCTCCCTGGTTACCAACACAAATGTCAGCATTTTGATCTTCTGCAACATCACGCTTTTGATATGGAAGCCCTACCAGCAAATGCGGTAATTCTCCACCTTCCAATCGTCGCTCAGCTTGCCGTAGATGCTCTTCCCAGCAAAATCGACATCCTCTTTCAGAGACTTGGGAACATCGAGCTGAGCGTAGTCAGGCCCAGATGGCGGCCGCGATATCTGCGACCCGTTCTCGTGCGGCTGCGTGTTTCTGAAGATAATCTGCCCCCAGAACTTGAGCGTCTTGTCGCCCGAGTGAGGAACGCTTCCGTTGCTCGCCCCTATCGTGAACCCCATCGTCAGCCAAACACTCACACAGCATCCTACCCAAAACTCACCCCGATCAGGCGGCACCATCGAAATCCCAACCGGGCCCCCGTAAAGATTCTCATCCTCCACAGGCGCAAACCCCTCCGTCACAGCCGCAGCCACAAACCTCTCCCCAGCCAGTACCTCCGCCCTCCCGCTATCAGCCAGCAACTGCGCCGTATACGCCCCGGTGCTCAACACCACCTTGCCCGCCGTGATCCTATCCCCCTCCGCGGTAACAACCCCCGTCGTCGCCCCCTCGCCATCAAACTCCAACCTCGCAACCTCCGCCGTCACATACCTCACCCCCAACCTCACCGCCTCCGCAATCGTCGCCTCAAGCGCCTCCTTCGCCTCCCCCCACCCGCTCTTCCGATTCACAAACACCTCCCTCACGCCCGTGAAATCCCCGCCCTCAAACACGCCTCCAAACTCCTTCCTCGCCTGCTCCACACTCAGCGCCTCCAAGCCCGACTCCACGCCCAGGGCCTTGTAATTCTCCCTTACGACCTGCGAAAAGTCCGACGGCGAGACCCAGCTCGCGCCGCTCTCGTGGTAGAACGGCGCCCACAGCGGGTCGGCCGCCCAGAGCTGCTTCGCCTCGAGCGCGAGCCGCATGTACTCGATGTCGGCGTAATCGGCGCGCACGACCTTGTTCCAGTCCCAGGAAGCGGCGACGCGGATGGGCGCGGCGGCGGCGTTGCGGTCGACGAGGGTGATGCGCGCGCGGGGCGAGGCGCGGATGAGGTGGAGCGCGGTAGAGGCGCCGAAGACGCCTGCGCCGAGGATGAGGTAGTCTGATGACTCGACCATTGTTGTGAGAAGTTGGAAAGAAGCAAAAAGGTAAGTATTGCTGAGTCCCAGCGAATCAGTTGTCTTTGAACAAAGTGAGTTTTCTCAGTTTAGCATTCCAAATGGGATGAGATAACGTCGTGAATGCTGTTGCCCGCGGGGCCGCTCGAGGTTCCCCATCTTATCATGTGACGTCATGTGATGAGACGGGCACGCAATCAGCAGACGGTGCATGTTATCAATTATTCCCGCGATCACAGAGTGATAATGCAAGTGGAGGACAATATCGCGATTCGTGCAGATAAACAGTTGGTGATAGTACTTGTACTCTACCACAGGGACGCCGAGCTATGCAGACTAAATCAACATGGCTAGAACAAACCGGGCTAAAAATGACAATGGAATGATGACATGCTTCGTTCGCTCTCAAATGCATAAAAACCAAAAACACGGCTCGTACATCTGTATCAAAGTGGCCCATGTCATCTGTACATAAATAAAACAATCGAGCTTGCAGGACCTCACTTTGAGCCACCACTCAGAACCCACTTCTCCACCAAGGCCCAGAGCTCGGCGCCGCTGCCCTCGTTCGGCCCAGCGACGGCCCGATCGCTCTCGGCCAGCAGCTCCTTGATCTCCTCCCTGTCGGGCACCGAGTAGCTCGGCGGCTTCGTCGTCTCGCTTTCCTGAATCGCGAGCTTGACCCACGGCTCGAGGTACGGCTTCGCGGCCTCGGGGATGTCCTGCTTCATCGCCCACGCCATGGCCTGCGCGGCCTGCAGCAGGTGGACGGTCATGCGGACGACGCGCGCGGTGAGGCCGCCCATCATGCAGAGACGGGTGAAGAGGTCGTTGGTGGCGGCGTGGCCGTCGTTGAGGAAGGGGATGAGGGCCTGCATCGTGACGAAAAGCTGGCGCGTGGTGTAAGAGTTGACGGTGTACTTTTGGAGGTAGGCCTCGGCGAGGGTTGTGTCGGAGAGGCAGTGCTGGAGGGTGAGGGATTTGACGGTGGTGGCCGTGTCTGTGAATGGGGTGTCGAATTTGGTAGAGGGATGGAGGGAGGTGAGGAGGACGTAGGCGATTTCGTTTTCGTGCATCCTGAGTGTGTGGTTAGCCGTGAATATTATGAGATAGGCACAGCGGCGGCTCACCTGAGGAAGGCAGTGGAGGGAGTGAAGTTGAACTCCATTCGAAACCGCTTCGGAAGATCCGCCCTGAATTGTTGCAGCTTGCAATACAGGCTCTTCCTCCGTTTTAGATCCTCTGCGCTGCCCTTGATGTTGTCTCCTGATGTTATGTATTGCATGATCTCATACTGGAGACATGCAAGATTGCTATTGATGGTGGCTATGCCGGGTACCAGGGGAATCTGTGTTGTCGATCCTAAATATGGCCGTCCCAGTACGTCCAGATTGCCTCTGTTCTCGAGTGCATCCGATCCATTGTTGTCGAATAGTTTGGGTATCGGTGGAGGTGGTATATAAGATACTTGGTGGTAAAAGTATGAAATGCGACTGCCCGTCATTGTCAGAGGGATCTCCCACAAGAGAGCCGGGAACAAAGGCCGGCCTACCTTTCCATGAAGAAAATCGCCCAGACTGCCTTTGATATAGCAAGTCGCTCGCTCGCTTCCTGAGGATCGTCCTCTTTCAGTTGAGAAAACCTCCGCTCTGGCCTGAAGCGCTTATACCGCTCCCAAGCCATGTAGCGATACATCTTCGCCGTCGGCTCATCGCCGGCAATGCTGGCTGACCAGTCAATGAGCACAAGCGCGATGATGGTCGGCAGCGTCGCGCGGCCTTGGCTCTTCTCGACTAGCTGCATGACTTCGTCTCGGAACCGCCTTGCCAAGTCTTGCCCCGTAATGGCGCCAAACTGCTCGGCTCGTTCTACAAACGGCTTAAAAAAGCACATCGTCAGTCCCGCCATAATAATATTACCGCCGCACTGGATCTCGAGCAGTGGGTACACTTACACTTCGCAGGGCGCATATGGCGTTTACGAGGATGGGGGAGCAGTACTTTGCCTTCTTGACGTTGCCGGCCCGCATGTCGGCGACAAACAGGTCGCGGTCGACGGCGGGGAAGGCGCTGGCGTTCTCCCAGCTGAAGAAGTCGGTAATGAGCTCAGATACGAGCCCGTCGTCTGCGATGGCTGTCCAGGGTTTCGCGGGGACGCGGATCAGACTATTTTCCATGGCCTTGTCGTTGAGCTTGGCTAACCTTGAATCGCTCACGCGCTCGTTGGCGGCGGGCGAGGGGAGCAGGATCTCGGCCTGGCGGATGGACTCGAGAACCTTGAGCGGGTCCCCGGAGACGCGGATGCGGCGGAAGATCTCCTGGGCCTCGTCCTCGGTCTTGCTGCAGACCATGCGGAAGAGGTCGCGGTACTGGGCGTTCTCGTTCTCGAGGACGTTGGCCTTGCGCTTGAGGGCGAGACTGACGGTCTCGCCCTGGTTCGCCTCATAGTGGCACTCGACGTTGCGTTTGGTGCAGTGCTGGCATTTTGGCCTGCTTCCGTCACACTGGCATGAGGTGTTAGTATTTAAGTCTTGGGTGGTGGTGGATGAGGCTCTCTCTCACCTTTGCTTTCCTACGTCGACAGTTGTCGCAGGCGACGGCAATGACCTGCCTCTTTGACCCCGAAGTACCCGACCGAGGCTTGGCTTCGCCGGATGACTCGGTACTCGGACTCCTTGCCTCACTGCTATCGGACCCCTTCCTCGGAGGCTCAATCGGGAAGCCGTCTGGGCCGTGGGCGGAGTGTGAGTGTGTTGTCGTCGTTACCGTTGCCGTTGTTTGCGGCGCCGGCACGATCCCGGCCTGCGTGGTCGTAGCACCTGGCGCGGGCAGGATCACACGGCGACGTTTGGAAGGGAGCGACATTACAACCGCGAGAGGGGCTTTCGTCGCGCAAAGCCTCGCTATTTCTTCCGCATGAATCAGAACGAGCGTGATGATGGGTGAGAAGTGACGGGGACGTGAATCGAACGAAGGGGGAAAATTGGCTTCCAAGGTTCGTAAAGTGAGCCCGAGCCCGGTGGTCGTTCGAGTTTACACTACACGGGCAGTAACAGCGCTGAATCTCGATCACTGATCAGTGGGACTGCCCCTGGGACGCTGGAAACCGCTACGGGTGGGTCCGTCGGAGCGATGCTCCTATTGGCTGCGGCGCTGGCTCCGACCAATAGGAGGCCGTCGGAGCACGCTCCTACACTCTTATGACGCCCCTCTGCCGCCCGCCGCCAGGGCAAGGGCACCTAAAAGTAAATGGGACAGGGGATACCCAAGATGGGGCCAGAGGGCGACGTGCAAGTCCACGATCTCAGTAGAGAATAATCAGAAAACAAACAAGTGTGTTCAACCGATCATGTGGACGCATGTGTCTGGTCAAAATCACGTTGGGCACCTTGAGCATTCTTCAGTTCAGATGCATCCAAAGTCGGGGCACTGTCTCCCTTCATTGGTTGGTTGGTGCGTGTGTGGCTGTCAAGTGTCATGATTCTCCGGGGCCCCAGGGGTAAAAGTCTAGACCAAGTCTGGAAGGACCGGTCAGAAGCCTGCCCACTCCCCTTTTGCCTTTGGTCCCAATCATCATTGACGCCTAACTTCATCGGCCATGTCTGGGCCAAGGAAAGGGGGCGTCGGAAGAATGCACTTGGCTACGCGCGTGGCATGCATGTCTTGCCGTGTGCCGTGTTCCACACACACGCGTGCTTCTTTGAGAAACTGACGTAACTCCACCAAAGGCATCCAACTCGTCTGGGTTCTGATAGGCCTTAAGTAGACTTACTACTGTCTCGGGAGTTTACGGCACTGCGTCAAGTTGTCTTGCGTTTGGTGCTCTCACAAATGTCTTCATTCTCTGACAATGTTGATACAACATGCAACACATTCTCAAGTAAATCATACTCTGGGTTTGTTGTTGGAAGCAATGACCCCCACTATCTCTATCAGGCTGACAATTCAGGGGGACATTTAAGGTTGCCCCAGATTCCTCATGAGATCTCTTATTCAGAAGAGATGATATCATCTTATTACGAGCCTTTTCCTAACCCTTGGAATCCGAGGAAACAAGCTCTTAACACGTTCTCGATGGAAAACCATGTTAACGGTGTAATCCCCATAATCATCCGAATCAGCTTCTGAGTAGCTCGCGGTGTCTGCCGTTTCATTTCCGTCATACAAATCATCAGTGTATTCGTTTTGTGGCACCTGTGCCTCAACTTCCTGGCCGCCGGTCGTTGTGTCGGGATTCTGTACTCCTTCTTTGTCCAAGACATCTTCCTCAGGGACTTGGTAACTTTCTGCCCCCCTCTTGGGCATCTTTTCTAACCGAAGCCCTTTGATGTGGCCGATTCGTTCATAGACCTCTTCATTTGGCTTCTCGGGGTCATCAACCCTCCCGAGCGTGATGATGAACGGCTGGACCGCGCACTCGTAGTCTTCAGGCGAGTAAAACACAACGATGGCCTCCCACCTATCCTTGGCCATCATGAGATCATGAATCGATTTTTGATCTTTGTCATCCGGCAGAGTCTCTAGGCCGATCTTTCCCGTCAGGTGGTATTTGCAATCGCCAACGTCTATCGTAACCCTCCCTTCGCCAGGATGGAAGGTTAAGCCGCTGCGAACTGACCATGCTTCCAGGTGTAGGTAACGAGAGAGTTGAGCGGAGGAATTCTGCGACATGTACTCTGACAAAGATACAATCTGACCGTTACAGTATTCGAGCCGAACGTCGATTTCCGGGTCTGGCATCAACACATTGTTCGAATTACGGTCAGGCACATCCAGGAACCCAACATTGGCTCTGCAGGAAGACCAAGACCATGTAGGAAACCCATGCCGTCTTCGAAGATCGGGACTTGCCGAATGCCATGCTAAGCTGAATCTAAAGACGGCATCTTCGGAAGCGAAAGTGACGTGACTCAGGGGGCCAGGAGACGAGCCATCTAACACATTCAAATTGGCCGCAAATGGCATTCCCCATGCATGGAAAGCGGCGTCCTTGGACTGATCCTTATAGTCATTGAGAGTGGCGGTGATGGCGTTGAGTGCGTCACTTTCGAACGTGAGATTTCGTTTTGAGTAGTGTGAGATGTGCTCCCACGCAGAACGATTGCGAACACCAAAAAGACGCTGTGAAGATGTGTTGGCTTCCGACGGATGGGTAAGACTTTCGCACTTCTGGCTCTCTGCACATACGAATGTGACCTGGTGGGTGTCGAAGATGAGCTGTCTGACTGAGAACACACCCTCTTGGTATCTTTGATAGAGTTAGATTCAATTTTAGCAGCATTTCCGCGGTACAGAAGTATGGAGTGCAAAACTTACGTCCACGCTCTAGTGTTCCACTTGATACTTTTTGAAGAGTGTGCGAAGGGGTCAAGAGCTGAGGCCAGCAGACGTCCTCCGACGTTGGCGTGGGCCTGTGTTTGCCGTCTTCTGGTCGAGACACCCGGCAGCCCAAACGCTGAATCACTCCCCGCGGCCGCGATTATGGTAAAAATAGCCTGCCGGTAGATGACATGCATCTTGGATAAATGATCGCTGAGGATTTCGCAGTCATCTTGCTTGATGCAATATCTAAGGTAGGTAAGTTGTCAGCATCCAATCTTGTATCCCACCAAAATTGAGCCTCTGGCTTACCTATCAACCCAGAGATACACGAGACCCATTTCCCTCACTGCGGCCATCGCATCTTCGATTACCAATGGCATGCTGAGGAGGCCGTCTGAAGGCTCCAATGATGCCTGGAAGTCGTTCGATTTATCCGGCTGGCCCCAGACATAGCTCAGCGCTACGTATGACGCCTCAGGTGTCGCAGGCTCAAGACTCCTAGTGTTGCAATTGATCAAACAAAACCCGGCGATGCTGAGTTCCTCTTTAGCTGACCGGCAAGCCTAGTGAGAGTCTTCACAGGTTCGGACGAAGGATCGCAGCAACGTCCAGTCGATAGTGGGTGGCACGAGCCGGCCTGCCCCCGTCTTTGGGTCAGAGCTTGACAGTGGGTAAATACTTCCCAGATAACTTGCAACGCCACTCTTTTCATCTTTCAATCTCCCAACCTTCAGAGCAATGAAGCCTACATCGGGTATATCCATGTCGGCCGTCGTCGGGGGGCAGCGGTCGTTGGCTGCGGCGGCGGCAACGTTGGCATTGCTGATATCGGATTTGAGAAACAGCTCCTCATTGTGCATTGCGCCATCCAAGATGAAGCCGAGATAGCGCGCGTAGTCTGAGTGGCCGATGCCCTCCCACCTGCTACTGTTCACTCGGTCTGCAAATAAAAAGTACCCGTGGACGAAGGGGTCGGCATTGTCATGGTTGCACAAGAGGTCGCAAGTATCGTGGTATGATGTGAGGGATTCGTCTGAGAAAGGTCTGTGAACTGCCTCAGCTAACAAACGACACAACGGGCATTCGCTTGATAGCATGTCATGCGGCACGGCGCCCAGTTTTGTGACAATCTGTGGAGTCTCGTAGTTTCCTGCAAATATTTTGTCCAGATCGAGACTATCGCATCTCCGACAAAGTGGCTGTGCTACTTGGGATTCCATCGTCGGATAGCTGGTAACAGCTCCTTGACTGGGAGGTGTTATGATTTCAAGAGACTTCGTGGTGTGAGACAGAGTAAGCATTAAAAATGAGCGGGGTAAATTCTCGCGGTGGTGCTTGATTTGAGTTACAGCCAATGACTGGAACAAAAGTCCCATAATATTGATGCCTGCCTCACTCGCTGTAAGGACGCAGTGAGAGCTCCACTCGGCGATGAACATGATGACTTCGGCCAACTAGGCCCGTATCAAGAACTAATTCTCAAGCAACTGACTTAGTTCATGGACACCAGTAGTATGAGACAATCCTCAATAAGTTTGAAGCCTACTTAGTTCAGCAGGTTTGCCTTTCGCTTCATAAACAAAATCATTGAATTGCCAGACATGGTCTGAACGCCTAGCTCAATGATCTTGTAAGCTAGGTTGCCGACTGTCCGCCACCTTGTTACGGTTACGACATAATGCATGAGAAAGTCCAATGAATCTATTATGGATGTAATAAAAGCAAAGCAAACCGAGAATTTTCTTGAAGCGTTTCTCTAGAATTATTCATCTCGCTGTCGTTTGTTCCGATGGTAGGGTTTCACGAGATGAAAAGCCCAAGAACTAGATATGGGCCACCTGGACAAGAAACGAAGGACAGGCAGCATGGCACATCGAACTGTCCCAACGACGAATTATCCTCGGTTACACGCTCAAAGGGAAAGAGATTTCGCACATCCGGCCTCCTCCGAAGCGGGTTTGCCTTATTGTCTCAGTCTCAGATTACTCGTGTCTTGCATCCCGCCCCCATCTTAACGCAGGAGGCTCTTGGACTCGCTCAACTCCACGAATGAACACACAATCAGATACCAAGCAAGGGCTTGTCCGTCGTACGGACTCGTGCTGACCGCAAGGCGGTCTGCGGCTCGGCAGAGTCCAGACCTCAACGAACCGGTGGCTCCTCCAGGATGAGGCACTGAGACCTCAGCCACGTGCTCAGATCATCGCGGGGTTCCTGCATACAAGCAAGCCTCTCAAACGTCCGTGGCTAGGAAATGACACACAGACTAGAAGGCCGTCTGAGCACAATCTGGGAGTACCCGGCCGATATTCGTTCTACCAATAGGGCCAATGGGATGTACTTCCCCTCGCAAAAGTCTTGGAGAAACTCAAGGCCGTTCGACGAGGCGTCAGCCAAGCCACACAACGCTGCTCGCCATTTCGACCGCCAAGACAGAACACAGCAGAACAGGCGTCCGGCGGTCGGCGAAGGGACGCTAGCGCAAGGCATTCTATTGGCTAGTCCGCATCGTATCTTGTCAATCCATGCCTGGCCATCTCGTCTTTGCACCGACTCTGTGGCTCATTATTTCGCGAAAGAAAGTTCACTTCCGCTTCCAACGGCAAGATTTAGCTTTATAATTCAGGTGATAATGAGGGGTTCACCTCGAGTGGCGGCAAAATTCCAACACAAAGTTTCCTGCCAGAATATTGCTCAGCGTCTGCTGTACTGCCATCCGGTGTTCCAGCGCAGAATGCTGTCCCAGTCCGCCGGTCCAGCACCCTAATTCCTGCGCCAAGCATCATGGGAAGAGAAACGCGGCGTCAAGGGTTCAGAATCTGACGATGGCTATGCTCTCTTTCCTTCCTTACTTCGCTAGCAGGTCTTGGCCGGCCGACTCCAGCGTCTTCCCAAATATGCGTCGGGATCTCGCTGACCGTTCAGGAGGCTGCAAGCCACCCACCTCGGAGAAATGAACTTTCGTGAGATGCAGCTATCCATGGACCCCGGAAGCGCATGGAAGAAGTTTATAAGCCTGCTGCGAACCCTCAAGAAGTGGAATTATTCACCAATCCAACCTCATCTACCATTTGTTGCGCTGTCGCGATTGAGAGGCGAACATTCTCTACACAGCTTGCGACCATGTTAATCATATCGTCTTTCGTCGGTGCCTTGCTGCTGGCATCTGAAGCCTTGGCCTGCGCGGGCCATGAGAATTACCATGCCATGGGGATAAAACGACAAACTGCTCCTGTCCCTCCCAAACCGGCAGACTGGGCCTATGAGGCTTCATTTAATTGGGGTCGCATCAACCCGAGTAAGCGAGCAAGACTGATCTCATTTCTGAGCCTCACTCTAACCAGCCTCAGACTACAGTCTTTGCCAGACAGGCACTCAACAGTCACCAATCGCGCTGTCATTCAGCCACGGCCTTGCTCTAAGCCACGTCCTAAAGTTCAACTACCCAAACAAGACCGCTGGCAATTTCTACAACTGGAACTACGGGCCGGCGTTCACCGTCACGCACCCTGAAGGTGTCTACACGAACAACCCATCCTTTACTTACGATGACATGACGCTCTACCTGAAAGGCTGGCACATCCACTCACCAGCAGACCACACCGTCAACGGCATGCGGTCCAAGGCTGAGTTGCACCTCGTACACGTGGACGAGGAGGGCCATGAGAAGGCTGTGCTGGCTATCCGCCTTGATCCGGGCAACGCCAACAGCACCTTCTTCAACCAGTTTCCCAAAATGATTGGTTTCAACGACGTGGGCATGCAGCAGGAGATTGCAATCGACCACATGCCCGCTCTGGAAAGCGTCCTCCTCTTCAACGAGTTCTGGACCTATCAAGGCAGCCTGACGAGCCCGCCTTGCCACGAGGGGATCCGCTGGTTTGTGTCTCGTCAGGTCATGTTCACTGGTGTCGAGCAAATGCGTGATATTTTGGGCGCAAGCACGTACAGCGCGAGAGCTGAGCAGGAAGTCTGGCAGCATCGCATCAATGATTAGAGAGGATGATTGGATGTGCCTGGGGCTGAGGCAAACAAAGTGTGGCAATGACGGTGGCGCAAATGGAGCAGGCGACGACAAGGGTGGAGGAGAAGTTGCAGTCGGTCGCGATGTCTCGCCTGTCGTGATGATCAACGGTTTTTTCCTTGTGTTCTCTCTATATCTCCGCTAGCATCAGATACCATCTAGATCTCCTATCTCAAGTTGAACACAGAAGGATGTTTCAAAACAGACTGTCGGTATTGACGTGCGGTCAATTTGAGCTTAATTTCTCCTCCAGATGCTAAAACTTCTCCACTACCTTAGCGGAAACAGGCGGAATCGTCCTTCCCCTGGGCGGTGTCCACCTCGGCCGCTCCCTCGAGCCCGGAGCTGAGGCTGACCCCGAAAGAGCGAGAAGATCACTGCCGGTCATGAGTCGCGGCGACCCCGATAATTCATCTCGTCGTGAACCTTCTTGGATGCCAAGACCACGGTCTCATTTCTTCCTTTTTGCCCAGCCCCAGTCACACCACTCCACCCCTCGTAACGTCATGATGGTGTGAATCCGCGCAACTGTCTCCGGCCCAACCTTCTTCTCCCAATCTGCCGTTCGTCGGCCGGGCTTCCACGGCAGAGTTGAGCTTCGTAACACCAGCGAACCCCGCCCGTGTCGAAGAGCTATCAACCCGGCCGGCAGCAGATAAGTCTAAAAGCTTGCGCGTGCGTGTAAGCCGGTGTTCCCCCCCCCCCCCCCCATCACACAGCACTGAGCCAATCCCCAACAGCCGATAGACCGAACGCGGATTGGCGGCTTGTTTCAAGTTGAGCAGACTTCTGCGGATTGAGCGAATTGGAAAGAAACGCATCTCCCCACAGGTCGGGTGGTGATCATTTCAACACAGCCCTGCTCAGCGCAATCACCGTGGCTGAGATCCCGGGCCGGGGTTGCTTGGCCGTTGGGACGAACCATCGCTGTTGGCTCGTTCCCTGATCCGCCCTGGCTTGGCAGATGCAGCTCTATATAATTAGCCCTGCCCAGCAATGATAGACCCATCAACTGGTGGATTTCGAGCGATAAGGTGGAGTTGTGATGGCGCAGAATTTTGCAGACGAGTTGGGACTGAATTGATTGACACGGGACAGGACGGGAATTGTTGTTGACGTAGGTATTTGGTTGAATAGATCGGCAGGGCCGCGTGGTCTCCTCCGCGGCGGCTCTTGTCTTCCCCGCGTGATCTTCTCCGTTTCCTCGACCACAAATGTGAGCGATCCTGCTCTTCTCCAGTCCGTTCCGGCGCGTGAGATTTTGATCCCAGTAAGAGGAAAACCCAATTCGGACGTCCGCTGCCCATCTCGATGCGTTCCGACACCGCTTCCGCTCTCGGCCTTTTGGCCGGCCTCATCACCACCACCGCCGCCCGGCCTGACCTCCGGTATCAACAGATTCGACGACAGAACGCTCAGGATTGTCTGGAGGACTTGGAGGATATCTTGGACGACGCGCCGACGACATCGCTATGGCCTGCGACAGCCTGCGACTTCACATCGACCCTCTCAGGGGCCGAGCTCACAACCAGCTATGCGTCATTCAGGAGTAAGATGGCTTCGTGGTACAGCAATGACTTGGACGACATCACCAAGCTTGAGAGTAGCTGCACGCAATACGTATCGGTATTCGACTCGATTCGATATTGTTATGTGACGGGACCGTACCCAACAGAGTCCTCGTCAACAACATCCGCATCGGCAACGGCGACGGCGGCAACCACCACAGCAGGATCGTCGACGGCTAGCAGGACCTCAACAGGAGCTACAAACACATCAACAACGAGTGCGACATCAACATCAACGCCGGATGATGGGGGAGGTCTAGATCCTGGCGCGAAGGCTGGTGTTGCCATTGGCATCGTCCTAGCTCTCGTACTCATACTGTTCATCTGCTGGAAGTTCTTCCAGAGATACCGATCAAGCAGGTTAGATGGAGCTGGGGAACATTCGATGAAGGGGGACGTCGAACCGCAGATGCACTCGGCCGCAGCGATGGGCATGGCTGGCGCAGCTGGGGCCGGTGCCGGTGCTGCTATGGCGGCGGCGGCAGCCCGGACGAAATTGGCACCTCCGGAAAACTCAGTGTATGCTTTCAAGTCGGAGCTGAGCGGCGACTCCCGGCCGATCTCCGAGCTTGATCCGGCGGCTGCCGTGGCTGCTAGGCCGTCCGACCCGCCCCGGCACATCGCCGAACTGGATCCGGAGCCACCTACTCAACTAAGTGAGCTACCGGCTGATAACTACGATCCGACGGCGAACAATTCGCCCCCGCCAGCATACGTCTCTCCGATGCCCGACGGCTCCAACCGAAATACCCTAGACACGGCTGTATCGCCTCTCTCTCCAGATTCGAGCACAATCCAGGGACAGGGACTGGGAATAACAACGGGTGAAGAGATATCTCAAGGATCCAGCAATAGCTCTGGAAACGCCCCTTTGGTGCCACAGACACAAAACGACACTGTACAACATGGCTGGGGTCGAGGTTGGCTTCGCAGGGAATGAGAAGAAAAGGGCCAGTAAAGAATAACGCCCAGTGAATGCAGAAGAAATGATTTGGGCATGCTATGTGGAATAGGAAGGGTTCGTTGATCACCAGTCACAAAATGCTTTCCGTGAGGCCGACTACTAGTAATCCGCGGTGGAAGAAACTGGGCCAATTTCAACGGACAGATGGAACTTTTCATGATGTATTGAGTGGTAGAGCAAGACTGCTACGCCGACAATTAGTAGATACCCTTCGAACAATAAACATTTCAGGAGAAATACGCTCAGCATTTGTCTACTTGGTTACCTTATGAATGAGATGTGTAGATCTAACTTACAGGTCTCGCCCGTGCACAGTGCCACTTGATGTAAATTGCCTTCTCCGGTGGCGAGTGTTCTTGCATTGGGCGATGAAATGCCTTTTAAGACTCATCTGCCTTTACGGAATATTCAGCGCTATGCAGTTCCATTGGCTACTTGTTTTGATTCCAAACATATTTGAGCTATGAGAGATTGGGGGCCATTCTTAACAACAACGTCCGTCTCCGAGCAATGCTAGACAGGTCTCACCTAATTGCTCTGCCTCATCGCCAAGACGAAATCTCTTCCAAAAGACTGCGCCAACATGTCATTCACGAATGCCCAGCAGCAGTCTGTCTAATTTTCTCTTGGTAGGGAGATAAGCTAGTTCGTAGCTGGTTCTTGGCTCTCCAAGGAACTACTTCGGATGCGAAGGCCTCCGTTATTTGCCCAGTACGCCAGCGAAAGTATTTGCAGCTTGCAGCATCATAGTCCGGAGAAAAGCAGACATGATCGTCTACCTAGCCTAACGTTTGTTCGTTTTTCTGCATCCAATTGACCATACTCAGGGCGCCAATATTGTTAATCAGGCTTCGGCACATCACCGTTGGATTGAGGGCCAAGCAATCGCCAAGGAGCTTGTCCAATATTTGGCGCTACCGGACAAACCTAGACAAGACACAACAACTCCCAATTCTTCTCGGTAAAAGTCGCTTCCGCTGCCGAACCCCAACTGATCGGCGGTGTCATGACCGTAACCCCAGCACGGCGACGCGCGCGTCCCCGGATCGGGGGACCAGAAATGTTGCCAAGGGGCCCCGAACCATTGCCGGTCAGATTTGCAAGCAGGGTAGGAACTTCGCAAGCCTCTTGGCCCATTCATCACGACGGTTTCTCAAGGCCACAGCACCGGAGTTCAGTCCTGGGTGATGTCGACCCGTTCCATAGCCCCTTGGCTCAACCAACACATCACCAGAGGCGGCATGTCTAGCTTGTGAAGATCTTGGATTTTGGCGGAGGTGTGGGATTCCGAGAGTCGGTTGTTGCGGACTTCACCAACGTCGAAACCGAGTATATAGAGTGCAATGTCTCCATCGTTGAATCAGGTTTCAATTGGAATCACACAGCATCACACTCTAATACCTTATTGTAACTTAATCCTATCAGTCATCATCTATCTGTATTTCTCACCAAATATTCAATCCTCACCTTGTCACTCTCTAAGACCCCCTTTCTTACAAATACCAACAAAATGAAGTTCGCTCTTGTCCCCGTGGTCCTGGCTGCCGCCGTTGCCGCCACCCCTATCAAGATCATTGAGGATGTCACCCACATCATCGGCTGGCATAAGAAGGGTTCCGGAAACAAGCAGGGCTGGGGCTCCTCCGGTCCCTTCCACTTCACCTCGACCTACCACGTCGTCGCCACCCCTGACCAGGTCGTCGACAACAACAACACCGCCACTGGCGGTCTGGCCGGTGCTATCGGCTACTTCAACTACGGCATTAACTCCCAGGAGGATGTCATCTGCTACAACATCACCCTGGTGAACTTCCAGGGCGAGTACCAGTCGCCTGCCTTGACAGCCACCCACATCCACGAGGGACAAAAGGGCCGTGCCGGTCCCCCTCGGTAAGCCTGATGCCAGGACCTGAGGCCGTAGGAGTTCTTGACTAACTAGGATTTTTCAGCATCGCATTCCCCAACCCCCAGCCTGTCGAGGGCACTGAGAACGTCCGCCGCAGCATCGGATGCTTGTCCGGGCCCTTCCGCACTGGTGTCAACGCCACCGGCACCCAAACCGACAACGGTGAAGGATTTGAGGTCCGCCAGATCGAGGAGGACCCGTCCAAGTTCTTCACTGATGTTCACTCGAGCCTGGCTGTCCCGGGTGCTGTTCGTGGTCAGCTCAGCGACGGCGCCAACCGCAACTGCGACTAAGTTGTTGGGTTGTGCTAGTGAATGCTGAAAGCCTTTCTTTTCTTCTGATCGTGTTGATATATACCCTTGACATGATATCTTCTATTAATATACTACACATATTTTGAATACTTGACTCCAATGCAATTTCGCTACGGGACACGAACGCGATACTGCCCTAGGTGGTGGTCCTCTTGGATGGTAATTTAGGGCTTGCAGGCCAAGATCCTCGGCTTCACGTACCAATCGAAACAAAATTTAGCTCCAACTCTAGACAGCGATTGAAATCAACTTGCAAAAGCATTGGTACTCGTCTCACACGAATTGACAAGCATCTGAAACACAATACCACACCCCGTAAATTTAAGTATGAGTATGTAGCACAAATACTACTCCTAGTAATCCGACGTTGAGTGACGCGGAGCATAGGGTTTACATAGTCTCCGAATTTCACACGCCAGGTGTTTCCTCGTCTGTTTCCTCGCATAGCTAAGCATGCCCCTCACAATGATTACAAGCCAGACATGCATTTCCAGCAAACGACAATCAGTAATGAAATTTAACTTTCGAAATGAGTTATCAGCACAAGTCGAACACGCTCGCTTGTCAACCGAGTCTGAGTCGTTCTTCATAAGTAATTTGGCAGTCCTGCTGTCATTACAGATATTGCCTTCCATGGACCAAGAATGATAATTATGACTTCCTCTACCGTCTTATCCTCACTCCACAAGCGCTCCAAAGCCAAGGTATCTATGCACGTCCAGCGGCGCCGCCATTTGCTTGAGGAAGGAACACTGCGAACTCCCCATTCATATTCGCCACCTTAAGTGTCAACTCATTCTCTTCGGCCTCGAATTCGAGCTCTCCGAGCGCTGGGTTGATGATAAATGCGTTCGCTTCAGGAAAAAGGCGACCGATCTGACCCTTGCTGATGTCCAGCTTGTCTAAGGCTGCGTTAGCTTCGCTTGCAATGCCAAGAGACTTTTCAGAACTTACTCCCAGGATTCAGAATATAGTCAATCTTGGACAATGTCATGCCCTGTGCGCCCTCTGCAAGATTCACTTTAAATGATACTGCTTCGACGGCCGTGAAACCTGCCGGAGGTGGTGCGGGCGCTCTGTTCTCAGTGACTGTGAGGGTGCGTCCGATGGCATTTTGGAACTCGACTTCGAAACGACCGTTTTTCTAATCTGAACGTTAGCTTGTGTGTCCTTTTGCTCATGTTAAGGCACCACTCACCCCCGGTGGGAAGAGAACGTCTTGCTTTACGCCTGCGCCGCCCAATCGAACTGGGACATTGAACGCTCCTTCAATTTCCTTCTCGTTTTCCTTTTTCTCGCCCTCGCCTCCTGCTCCAGCTTCCCCACCCGCTGCAGTTCCGTTCTCGGCAGCCCTTTTAGGACTTTCTGCTGAGCCGGCTGCAGGTATCCTTCTGAGGAGGCTCCCTTCTGTTGTAGCTTCTTCGCCTCGGGATAGAATACCGGTCGTTGATGTCGTTGAGATTGGCAATGATGTGGCGACGAGAAGTTGGGTCGAGAAGAGAAATGCCCGTGATAACTTCATGTTGGAATATTAGATGTGCTTGCTGAAGCCTGAAAGTGGAAAGTTCAGTATGCGGAACACCAACGCTGTTGGTTGACTGAAAGCACACAAAGCTTCTTCAATTACTGAGGAGTCGTACAAAGTAAGGATAAAATGGGCAGAAACAAGATGTGGCTGAGAATATGATGCAGCGCGGAACTCAAATTGGTTATATGGCCAGACGAACGCTTTTACAGTCAAAGTCCGCGTGGACAATTTTGTGTAAGCGCAGCTGGGAGGGAGCAGCCTGCCAAGCGCAACGGCATCATGAAACCCACATGGGACCACAAGGATGAGGCCCTTTCCCCCACCATCCGTAGCGCCAAGCGCGCCAAGGACCACTGAGGAGAGAACAAGCGCTTCGGGAGCCTCATCGAGCGCCTAATAGGGAAATTCGGGGCTTGAGTTGACTGCAGGAGGCGGCTGGTCAGGTCAGTTTTACTCGAGATCCGGCATTGGCACAGCTTGGCGGTATGGCAACTCGTCTCTACTTGACATTTCCGGACGCGGCTCATTATGCGGAGAAGCTTGTCACCAGATTTGGAAGATATGAGTGTTTTTCTTGCCAACTCGCATCCGTACGCAGTCGTGCGCGGCAACGGTGTCATTCAAGATTATTGTCTTCCCATTTCGCTGACTACCTATGTTGCAGTCGCGGATAGTGGAGGCACAATAGAGATTTAAGCTTAACGTTATCCGTGACCTCTCATCAGTGATGTCGCTAGTCGCAATTCGCTCGTTCAGCCAGCGGCTGCACCTCCTTGGAACACTTTTCCCCGCGAACCAGCACCCAATTTCGGTTGAATTTGAGAAGGGGAATCCGAACCCTCCTGTGAGTCTCAGATGACAGCTGTCGTAGGCTAAACTTAGACTCTCAAACGTGGTTCCTTAGACTGTCAAATCAGCACTCAGGCAATCCCTGTACTCCGAACCCCAGTCACCATCCCCACAAGCATACCCAAGGTGATGGGCCATGAGCATGCGACCAATTGCTCCGTTCGGGGGCCGTTCTGGACAACACCTGTCGGTTCAACCTTCTCTTTGCTGAAACACGGACCACATCGCCATGAGCAGCCGAGCCAACCCCGTAGTTGATTCACGCAGGGGTTTGGACTTCATTTCCCTCGTGTGCAATGAGTATCACTCAGCAAAAAGAGGTTTACTTCAATCTCAAGTGATTGAGGGCCCTTGCTCAGCAATCCGGTGGCTACTCAAGCTTCCGTATAGCAATTGCAAAATTTATGTCATGAATCATGACCTCGACGATGGCCGGCGGCATTGCGTTCGCCTTGGCAATCAGCCCAGTTTGACTCGCCCCTCACATCCGGCGAAATCTTCAGCAGCATAGCTCCGGCCATCTTAACAGGCTTCTACCCAGACCAAAAGAGCGGGAAGCACGCCCTTTCCGCAGTGTCCTATGAGGCTTTTCAGCGTTCATGCAACGATCTTCCTTGACATCAGAGCAAGGCTGTATTTTTGGCTCAGAATCAACACGATGACGATTGCGATTGATAAAAACGGAAGAAAATCCATCTTCACGTAAGTCGGTGGAGCAGCTTTCGGAGCCGACAACTCCGGCCCTATGGGATTTACCGGGGCTCGAACAGCAAACCCGGAGCGAAGTGCGGGGTCTCGGACCCGCTTACGGTGAACCAAGGTACCTATTCTCCTTCCTTATCAGTCAGTCTGACTTTGTCCAACGTCTTCTAGTCCCCCTCCCTTGTCTCACGCCAAAGTGAGTCACAGTCATTTCACGTCGCGAAAATATCTCCGATTCACCTATCCAAGCGTTCAAGCACCGCCATTGCGGACAGTTCTCGGAAATGGTGACCAAAAGAGTGGCGCGATACGGTGACTGGGACAGCCCCATCACGGCTGACACAGTCACCTCCAAGAGCTGGTCCGTCACCTCGCCCCGTGTTCATGTAAGCCTCGTGAATCAATGGCTATCGCCCTTTCTGACGTTATCTGTAGCGTGCATCCGGTCGCGCGTACTTCAACGAGTCCAAGGAAGACGGTCGCAATGGCGTTGTCGAAATCACCAGCGACGGACCCAAGGACGTGCTCCCAGCACCCTGGAGCGCCCACAACTCCGTCTACGAGTACGGTGGCTCTCCATACGATGTGCTCTTTGACGGACGTATCATCTTCTCCAATAGTGGTGGTGATACCACCGGCGTCAACGTGCTTGACCCGGATTCTGGGGAGGTGAAGCCAGTCACAGCAGGTCCTAACCTCCGATACTCCAACTTCAGCGCGAGCCCGACGAGCACTTGGGTGGTGGCCATTGAGGAAGACCACACTATAAACACGCCACGAGAAGTGAAGAACTACATCGTCGCCATCAATGCAGACACCGGAGAAACAAAGAGAGTCGTGCAGGGCGCCGACTTTTACTATACACCGCAGTTTAGCAAAGATGGTGCAAGGCTGGTTTGGATGGAGTGGGACCAGCCCAACCTTCCATTTTCTGCAAGCAAAGTCTTTGTAGCTGACTGGAGCCCGTCTGCTACCGTCGAGAATGTGACCCAAATTGCAGGCAACAACCGCGAGGGCGCAGCTGAGCCTAGATGGGGTTTGGATGGAAGCTTGTTTGTGTGCATCGAGACTGACGGATTCCGTCAACTTCACCGCATTGCCCCTGGTCAAGTAGAGCCCTCGCAGATCAAGCTTAAAGACCTTGAGAGTGCCGAATTCGGTGAAATCCGATGGTTTCAAGGAAGGTTCGTTTCAGAAGAACATCCACGAGAAAGCGGATATCGTTCTAATAATCTTCTAGTCACACATATGCCCCACTGTCTGATCGATATGTAGCAGCAGCGGGCATCTTATTTGGCGAGGCAAAGCTCATTCTCATTGATCTCGAGACGAATGACTGGAAGCCTATCGGCCCACCCGGCCTCTGTGCCATTGCGTTCGATTCAGTCGCAAGGTTGAATGATAACACAGTGCTGGTTATCGGAGAACAGAAAGCCTCCCCTTCGGCTCTCTACAAGATCGATGTGTTGAGTGGAGAGGCTACCACCGTGAGACGAACTTCCGATGCCGATCTGGACGAGGGGCTCTTCTCAAAGCCCGAACTTGTCCAGTTTCGTTCGAAAGGCTCTCCTTCCCGGATGATCTATAGCACTCTGTGGATGCCGCGCAACCCAAAGTTCACGGCCCCAGATAACACCCTACCGCCGCTAATCATTTCATCCCACGGCGGTCCGACTGGATATACGGGCTCTGGGCTGAAATTGCGCACTCAATACTTTACAGCTCGAGGCTATGCCCTTCTTGCTCTGAACTACACCGGCTCCACTGGACACGGACGGGACTACCGCGAGGCACTGTTCCACAATTGGGGCATCGTTGATGCAGACGATGCTGCCGAGGTCGCCAACCATCTTGTAGCCGCAGGCAGAGTTGGTAAGGTCGGAATCGTCGGTGCAAGTGCGGGAGGCTACAACGTACTACAGGCCCTTGTGCGCCATCCACGCACCTTTGATGCAGGATTTTGTGTTTGTGGTGTCAGTGACGTCAAGAAACTCGACGAGTCTACTCATAAGCTGGAGTCGGAGTACATGGGGGCTTTGGTCCTCGATCCCGGCATGACTGATGAGCAAAAGGAAGAGAGATACAAGGAGCGAAGTCCTCTTTTTCACGCGGACAAGATCGAGTCGCCTTTGTTCCTGCTGCATGGTATCGAGGACACAGTGGTGCCCATTGAGCAAGCACGTCTTATCTACCATGCTGTCAAAGACAAGGGTGGAGATGTTCGCATCAGGGAGGTGCCTGGAGAGGGCCATATGTTTGGCAAACCGGGGAGCCCGCAAATCTGGCTAAGTGAAGAAGAGACTTGGTGGAAAAGTTATTTGTTGTGATTTTCCGAGGAGCAGTTCATGTTGCTGGGCTTGCCAAATCGCGTTCTCAAAATTTCCCTTCGACTAAGCTCGTGACTCTACAAGTAGCTGACCGGAGCAACATACAATGAAGATTAGAGATCCGCCTAAGTAGCGAAAGTCGTTTTGTACAGCGTAGGTATGGTGTTCTTAGACTTTTATTCCGGAATTCCGTACCTATTCTGCAACGCCTAATGAGTAAGTGAATAGTGATAAACTGAGCGACTAGTTAATAAGGATGATTGAAGTATAAATTTGATATTCTTATACAACAGCCGCCGTAACGTGAAAGACATGGATGGTGCGAAATCGTGCTAACTGACGGTGAGGTGTATGCTTGAGTGAGAGGAGCGGCGGTCCAGCTTGGTGCACCATCGCCCAGGGGGGAAGTGGCGCATCGGAAAATGTTACGTTGCCATTGGTGACTTGTCGGATTCTGTAGCCAAGCGAAAACTCTGGATGAGTCTTGCACCAGGCTGCTTAGTCGTTTGTTTCGAAGAACGTGGTTCAGTGACATGTCGTATTAGCCGCCCCCTTCAACATTGATTAAGACGCCTCATTCACCATAAAAGCCACAGTCAAGCACCAAAGTGTGGCCTGGTGGTGGCCAACAGGCGAAATGGCAAGGTAATCCAAAGCCCTTTCCAGAATCTTGACATGATTGGCCACCTGCATAATGCTATGCAGGGTCACAAGTCTGCCTTGCTGGCTGTGCTGACGCTTATCTCTTGGCTATCGAGCTCACAGTACAGCCTGATCTCCCCCCCCCCCCCCCCCCCCCCTTTCCCCCCAACGGCAAATCCCTTTTCCTTTCAATCATCTTCTTCTATTGATACTCTCCATCTCCGGTATACAACGCCTAATATCTGACTCTGCTCTCATATCACGAACCACGAGACTTCTGCGACTCAACTACTGCTAACGTTGGCATTTGCCGCTGCGATACGTCCGTACCGCCATGAATTCTGAAAAGAGAAAACCGGGTCAAGATGAATCACCTAACGAAAACGGGGTGAAGAAGACTGCACTATCACACGAGGCCTACACTGTAGGCTGGGTATGCGCCCTACCCAAGGAGCAAACTGCCGCGATCGCAATGCTCGACCAACGCCATCCCAATATTCCCAATATGCAGCCCCCGACCGACACGAATGCGTACACCCTTGGATCGATAGGTGGCCACAACATCGTAATAGCCTGCTTGCCCAAAGGCCAAATTGGTGTTGTCTCGGCAGCGACTGTAGCCACGAACATGGTGTCGACTTTCCCGTCCATCAAGATTGGGCTGATGGTGGGGATTGGTGGCGGCATTCCATCCAACAAGGTCAGACTCGGGGATGTTGTTGTAAGCACTCCGACAGGAACACACCCAGGGGTGGTGCAATGGGATTTAGGGAGAGCGAAAGATGGCGGCATTTTCGAACGAACAGGATCTCTCAACAACCCACCTAATTTCCTGTTGACGGCATTGGCTAAGATGGAAAGTGCCCACGAAATGGAAGGATCAAAAACCGACGAATACTTGGAGGATCTCGGCAGTCGATTTCCAAAACTGGCTGCGAAATACTTACGGTCTGATGCCCTCCGAGATGTTTTATTCAAGGCAGACTGCGCTCATGTGGATATTGAAGACGTATCCTCCTCTGGCGAAGATGAATTCGATGCCTGTCGGCATTGCGACAACAAGAAGGCCAAAGAGAGGAGGTTGAGAGACACCCGTATCCATTACGGATTGATTGCCTCCGGCAACCAAGTCGTCATGGATGGTATTTTCCGGGACAAGCTCAACAGAGATCTCGGCGGTCATGTTCTCTGTGTAGAAATGGAAGCAGCCGGGCTGATGACGAATTTTCCCTGCATCGTTGTACGAGGAATTTGTGACTACGCGGACAGTCACAAGAACAGACAGTGGCAGGAGCATGCGGCTGCCGTGGCAGCGGCATGTGCCAAGGAGCTTCTGGCTCAAGTAGAGCCCGGGTCGGTTCAAGAAGAACGATCGGCGCGGGATATCCTCAACGATAGTAAGTAGATAATGTACAGCTTTTCATGAAACTATTCATTGGACGAATCGCTCAAACTTCCAATAGTTCGACACAACGTCCTATCAACTGCGTCTCATGTAGAAGGCATTCACAGGCATTTACTTAAGGAGGAAGATATTAAGATACTCGACTGGCTCACACCTACCGATTACGGAAAACAAAACAGCGATTTCTTTTCAAGACGCCATCCAGGGACCGGCCAGTGGTTTCTCAACTCCAAGCTTTTAAGACCTGGCTGGCTTCTCAGGGCAAAACGCTCTTCTGCCCAGGCATCCCTGGGTCTGGTAAAACAATAATCGCATCTGTTGTGGTGAATTTTCTCAGGGATGTGTATCAAAGTCAAACCATTGGTTTGGCTTACATCTACTGCAACTATCAAAGACAGAATGAGCCGGATCTGCGGTCATTCTTGGCCAGCATTCTAAAACAGCTTTCCCAGACGCTCTCTACCCTGCCTCAGTGTATTAGAAGACTCTACGACGAGCATGCAGATTCTAAAGAAGACCCACCCATTGAGAAGTTGATTGATGCTATAGTTATGGTTTCAAAATCAATTCTCAACGTCTTTGTCCTCGTCGACGCACTTGACGAGTGTCGAACATCGGATGACTGTAGGTCATGTTTTACATCCCATCTCTCGAGAATCCAGGTGGAGGCAGACGTCAATATCATGTACACGTCACGACATGTGTTTGAAATCGAGACCTTATTCGATACCTGTCTGCGACAGAGGATAAGCGCGAAGAGCGACGATGTTGGCATGTTCATCGACAGTCGGTTACAAAATCTCCTGGAACGCGTACAAGGGGGCAGTCAGCTCGGAAAGACCATAAAGTCTGCAGTATTAGGGCTTGTGGACGGAATGTACGTATTCCCACCTTGATCCAACCCTTGATTGTGTCAACTAATCTAGCTTCCCAGGTTTCTCCTCGCACACCTTTATTTGGATGTTCTGCACGACACAATAAGCGTGGCAGAAGTGCGCAAGGCGTTGAAGCAGCTACAATATCGAAACTCAAAGTCAGACAGAGATGATGAGAAACGCCATATCCTGGAGCAAGCATACGACCAAGCTATGGAAAGAATCAAGATGCAGAAACCAAATTTCCGGAATCTAGGCATAAGAACTCTTGCCTGGGTAACATTCGCAGAGCGACCTCTTACCAAGAATGAACTCCAGCATGCCCTTGCTATAGAGGAAACAGACACCAAATTCGACCATGAAAACGTGAGGACGATTGAACTGATTCTGTCTGCATGTGCTGGACTAGTCACAATTGACAAACAAAGCAACGCAGTTCGTTTAGCCCATTTCACCACACAAGAGTATTTCGTGGGAAAGCAGAACGAACACTTTCCAAGTGCTCAACGGGATATCACGTCCACTTGCGTGACTTATCTGCGTTTTGAAGGGCTCTGGAGGCACTTATTTGACAAATATGCAGAGAATGTTATAAAGCTCTTCGACCACCTGGCCAACCACTCAGAAGGTTCTGTCAAAAGTCGATGGGAGGACTTACTCGGAAACCACCCAAAGACGTGTGCGGCTCCAATTTGTCAGTTGTGGCCGTATGCTGTCAGTAAATGGGGCTACCATGCATGCAAATCTTTGCATGTATTGCCGCATTTCATCGACCCCTCTACCAAAGGCAAATGTGTTACTTACATATGGGCATCTAGCAAAGGTTACAGATATGGATCAACCTGGAAATCTTTGCCTGAACATGTCCTCGGTGCTTTGGAATTGCACACAACGGATCGTCCAAGACCAACAGCCCAAGGTCCTGAGTTCAAGAATTTCCGGACTCCCCGAATGACCAGACGCGACCAAATGGAATATGGCATTCATGAGACCATTGAGTTCATCGAAGACAGAGCAAACATGAATGTTTGCAAGTTGAACGAGAGTGGAAAGTGTGCATTGACACGTGGGAGCTACATTGACAACGTAACTTGGGCAGTAGAACTCTCGAAGAAATGGCCGCCGAGGGAGAAGGACAATTTCTGCCCTAATATCCAAACAATAAGCGTTACATTTGCAATGGATTCTCCAGTCGTTCTTCGATTTGGCGACTCGAAAAGTAATTGCGAAAATGTTTCGGCTTTTCCAGTGTCAACAGCGAGGATGCACCAGCAGCTGCAACAGGGGCCTTGAAGGTTGTGGCACAAGACATAATCCATGTACATCAGAAGAAGAGGAAACGGCCACTCAGACAGGGTACCTGTTATCTTCAGATATCGTCTAAGCAAAGCAGCATCAGAAAGAAGCAACATCATCTCTGCGCATCATAAGTCAAATCATTCGGGAGCTTACGATTCATACAACGTTGTCGTTAACTCATGCAATTACTAGCCTTATGAAGCCTTGCTGCTCTCACCCTTCTCACCACCCTTGACCTTCTCATCCTCTCCGTCATCCTCAATCTCAACCGTCGCCGCCGCTCCCTCCAAACCCTCCTGATTGCCGCTCTCCAGACCTCCAGACTGCGCCAGGAACCAATCCGCGACCTCCCTCTTGCCGTTGAAAAGCGCCGAGTCAAGCGGGATCTGGTCCTTGTCGTTGGCAATCGCAGGCGACGCGCCATTCTCGAAAAGCAGCTTGACGACCTCGAGGTGGCCGCCCAGACACGCCCAGTGCAGGCCCGTGTTGCCAAACTCGTTGGCGGCGTCGACGTACGCCTTCTTCTCGTCGGCCGGGCGGGGCTCGAAGGCCTCGATCAGCGCCTTAACGACGTCTGCGACGTATATTAGCAACCGTATCGGAATCTCCGGCGTCGAAAATGGTGAGCGCAGGGGTTTGGGAAGGGATTAGGTACCGATGTGGCCGTTGCCCGCGGCCATGTGTAGGCAGGTGTTCTTGCCCTCATCCTTGGCGGCTGTGATGACCTCGCCGACGGACGCGGCCTCGCGCTCCGACAGGGCCTTGAGGGTCTCCTGCAGGTCGGCGAGCTCGCCGGCACGGGAGAAGTAGACCAGGTCGTCGATCTCCTCTTCTGAGAGTTTTGGCGCCATTTTTGATTGAGATTGTCCGGGGTCTGGGCTTCTGGCGTCGCAAAGTGAGTCTTGAGAGGTGAAGTAGAAATTTTTGAGTGATGGTGGGTGGAAACACGGTGCGTAAATGATAGTGCGTACTCTACACTGTGCGCTGCCAGCGCCTCTGCCTTCACGGCAGGATGAACCATGCGCCAGTCCAAACAACCGCCATCTAAAGTGAATAACAAAAACAAAACCCCCAGAAAACCAGACGCCGCACCGCCGAAGTCAAGCTCTCGCCATATGTGCATCGAGCCAGTTTGAAATGTCACCGGCATCATCCACCGCTTGTATCTCTGCCTTGACGTTCAAAAATAGCATGATCTGCAGCTCCCTTCGACACTCGATGTTGTACTCGTCCAAGTCGTCGGGTATGTTTCCCAGCAAGGTCTTCGCAATCTTTCGGTCTCTTTCTTTGAGTGCATCGGTTGCCTCGAAACTGCTTTCAGATCGCTGTTGCCTTGAAAAGGCAGAATCGTCGTCGGCCACCAGATCCCGGCGACCAAGAAGATCATCGCTCTTGATTCCAAGCCACTTCATGCTTGGAACAGTGACTCCGACTTCATGAGCATGGCCTCGGGATCCATGGCTGTAACAGCGCATGATATTGACGCCATACGGATCAAAGTCAACAAGGCCGTAGATGGGGATTTCTGGCTTGGCCGAGTGAAGTAGGTGAAGGAATTGCTTCGTTTGTAGATCAGGAACGCCCTTTCCCTGATAATGATATTAGAATAGCATCAAGATTCAAATACCACGAATCAAAGCGAACATACCGTAATTAGGATACCTTGCCCGGCAGATGACGTGTCCTAGTATCGTGCAGCGGCCAGCGTACGGAAGGTGGCCTACCATGGTCAGCATGCCCTCTTGACCAGGAATCTCAAGACCTTGCATCTTTCTCGATTACGAGCACCCACTCAGCCTGCTGGAAATCAATTCTAGAGATATTTCTCGTCGTCAGGATTGTGACTCCCTGGCTTGCATTAGATGGATTAGGTCCCATGCCGAGTATCAGTCTTACAGTATCGCTTGCAGATGCACTGACACTAGATGAGTCTCTCATATGTAGAATAATCGATCCTGCTAAGAGACCTTTGGCGCTGGCAACCTGAGAGGGGGTAAGACGTTTGTTAGGTGTGGTGAGGAGGGACACTGACAATATTCAGGTCATCCCGCCCTATTCCAAGGGTGTAGCTAATGTCGTCGACCAGGCCATCGACAATGGCCTGAGTCTTGAAGAGATCGGGACATTGATAGAACAAATTCCTACGCTCTCCTGCCTTTAGCAAATAGGCCTTGAGGGAAAGGAGCCTTGCTAAGTACGGACCTCTTGGTGACCGGATTGCCAGACAGGAGGGAGCTGTGGGAGAGATGGATGATCTTAAGCACTTGAGCTAGTAGCTTCGTCAGCTGGAGGACCCAATATCATATATCAACATGTGCTTACTAAACTTGATGCTCTCGTGCTCAGTCCGACCAGGGAATTGAAGGACGGATGGCGCGGATCGAGAGCGGGTTGCGCGGGCTGCGCTAGGAGGGTTCCTTCTAGACCCTGGACGGGTTTTGTAAGGTACACGGAGGACTTCTTTGTTCTCGAGTGATTGGTAGACCGAGACAAGTATCTCCTGCAGCTTTGCGATGGCTATGCCGACAACATTGTTGTCTGGGTCTGGATCTGGTATGTCGACGATGGGGCTGGACTGGTGAGCAGGCTGTCGGGTTAGTTGGCCACGGCGACCAGTCATGTGGAGTGTAGCATTGTCCATTTGGTCAACGAAGACTGCCTGACTTGAGCAGTGCCTCGACGAACCTCCCGCAACTTTGGAGGCGGACGCCAGACCGTCATGGATGTTGGTGCATCATGATACGAATTCCCCAAAATGGCGGGGAGGACACTGGACCATCGCAGCTGAAAGAGCACGAAACCTGCCCCACCTCTTCAGCCATTGGCCAATGGGATGACGCCCGCCGGCACCCTCACCGTCACAGAAGGAAGGCACCGCACACCGAAGGGCCTGAGCATCGGTGGCTTCCTTCCCTGGTGGTGTGAAGTCAACCGGCAGATCGCCCCGACGAAACAAAAAAACGACACTGGACGGGACCGTGGGCTGGTTCGTGCCCACAGAGGCTTCAGGCACCCGAGGCCGCTGAAGCTTATCCCAAAGAGCCCCCTGGTGCCGCCCGCAACATGGCACCTGTCAAAAACGCTTAAGCGTATCCGTTTACGTTAGGTTGGGCAAGCAGGTGTCCATGATCGGCAAATTGGCGCTGTACATGATCAAAAGTCAATTGCAGAGACGAACAGATCGAATTTTTTGAATTGGATATTGCCTTGGCGTCCCCCTAGAAGCGGTTGATTGAGTGCTGACCTGCTTTCCCAATGATCCAATGGGGGGAAGACCCCTGAGCGCTCTGTTTGGTGCCCCCTGTGCTGATTAAATCATGATTGGAGCAGGGGTGTCGTACGAGGATGTGGTGGGTTATCGCCGAGCACATGCATCTTATCTGCGTCTGGTCACTTTTTTTCTGGACACCGCCTCAGAGAGACACGCAGGGGACCGCGCTCTGTGTGCTGACTGGGCCGCCGTTTAATAAGTGCATGAACGCCCACCGTCACCAAGGTGCCTCTCGCCTTCCGCCCCCCTTCCGTGCTCACGACACCTTTCTCTCGACCCTGGGACCTTCACACTGCTTTCCCCAAGGTTCGAATCACCGCCAAAATGGTCGTCGAGAAGAAAGCGCCCTCTGTGGCCTCGAGCAACGGCAACAGCCTTAAGCCAATCCTGTCCCGCAAGCGTGTCGCGGAGGCTATCGCAGAGCAAGAATGGCCCAAGAGACCCCGCATCGAGGCCAAGACAGATCGCACCAAGTGGCGCATGAAGGACGAGGACGGTCGCCATATCTGGAAGTATCTCGAGGACGACGATGCCTCCAAGGAGTGGCCCCAGACCGCTGCCGACAAGTACTTCTTGGGTCTTCCCACAGTCAGTAGAGCCCCTCACGCGACATGCGCCAAGTGCACCACTAACCTGCTCTCTGTGTATAGGACCTCCCAATCCTCCCCGAACCCAAGAATCCCCTCGAAGCTACCCTTAATGGTCTCGAATACGTCGAAAAGCTCCAACTGCCCTTCGGCGACTGGGGTTGTGAATACGGCGGCCCCATGTTCCTCCTCCCGAGTACCGTCATTGCGCTCTACGTCACCAAGTCGCCCATCTCCTCAGCAAAGGCGACCGAGATCAAGAACTACCTCTTTGCGCGCGCACACCCTGAGCTGGGCGGATGGGGTCTTCACACCGAAGGCATCAGCACCGTGTTTGGTACTTCCCTGAACTACACCACTTTGCGACTACTTGGAGTTGACGCGGAGGAGCCTGTTATGGTCAAGGCCAGAGCCAGACTCCACGAGCTCGGCGGCGCAACCCAAGGGCCTCACTGGTCCAAGTGGTGGCTTGCCGTCCTCGGCGTCGTCGATTGGGAGATTGTCAACCCCGTGCCCCCTGAGATCTGGCTGTTGCCCAACTGGGTGCCCATTCACCCCTGGAGGTGGTGGGTCCACATCCGCCAGGTCTTCCTGCCCATGTCGTACATCTACTCTCGTCGCTGGAGTGTTGAAGAGACGGACGTCATCCGCTCTCTCAAGAAGGAGCTGTTTGTGGAGCCCTGGGCAGCGATCAACTGGAAGACTCACCGAAACGACATCGCCCCCGTGGATAACTACCACCCCAAGTCTTGGCTTCTCAACACCGTCAACTGGCTGCTGGTCAAGGTCTGGAACCCCTACCTGCGCACCAACTACATCAAGGAGCGGGCCGAGGCGTGGACCAGCGACTTGGTCGACATGGAGGACGCCAACACCGACTACCTCGGCCTGGCGCCTGTCAACGGCCCCATGAACCACGTCGTCTGCTACATCCGTGACGGCCCCGGTGCTTACACTGTTCGCCGACACACCGAGAGACTCGAGGACTCTCTCTGGGTCAACGCCGAGGGTATGCTTGGCAACGGCACCAACGGTGTGCAATGCTGGGACACCGCATTTATGATTCAGGGCGTTGTCGCGGCGGGTCTCGAGAAGGAGGCGAGGTGGCGCCCCATGCTGGAGAAGGCACTCGGCTTCCTTGACCGTCAGCAGATCCGCGAGAACTGCAAGGACTCGGACAAGTGCTACCGTCAGCAGCGTAAGGGTGGCTGGCCCTTCAGCAACCGTGAGCAGGGCTACGCCGTGAGCGACTGTATCTCGGAGGCACTCAAGTCTGTCATCATGCTGCAGAAGACCGAGGGCTTTCCCCAGCTTCTGGACGATCAGCGCATTTTTGACGCGATTGACTGCATCTTGGTGTACCAGAACGAGACGGGTGGTGTTGGCTCGTACGAGCAGCGCCGTGGCGGTGAGTACATGGAGATGCTCAACGCCGCCGAGGTTTTCGGCCGTATCATGATCGAGTACGACTACCCCGAGTGCACGACTGCTTGCGTGACTGCGCTCTCGCTCTTCCAGAAGCATTGGCCCGATTACCGCAAGGAAGACATTAGAGTCTTCATCCACCGTGCCGTTAACTGGATTCGGTCCCACCAGAAGTTCGACGGTTCCTGGTACGGCAGCTGGGGTATCTGCTTCACGTATGCCGGCATGTTTGCGCTGGAGAGTCTGGCTAGTGTGGGCGATATCTACGAGGCGAGCAAGGTATCGAGGAGGGGCTGCGACTTCCTTGTCTCGAAGCAGAGAGAGGACGGCGGATGGTCCGAGAGCTACAAGGTAAGGAGTCCACCGTGTGAATCAGAATTGTCAACTGACATGACTAGGCCTGCGAGACCTCGGAGTATCACGAGCACCCTAGCGGCTCTCTGGTTGTGCAAACCGCCTGGGCCTTGATCGGACTCATGGAGGCCGAGTATCCCAATATCGAGCCCCTTCGTAAGGGTATCCAATTCCTCATGGACCGTCAGCAGGCCAACGGCGAGTGGCTGCAAGAGTCCATGGAGGGTGTCTTCAACAAGAGCTGCACCATCATCTACCCTAACTACAAGTTTAGCTTTTCCATCAAAGCGCTCGGCATGTTTGCGCGCAAGTATCCCGACGAGAAGATTACGCCTGGCATCAGCGGCAAGGAGTAAGGGCATAAAGCATATCGCCATTTCAAGCATACCTATTTTAGAGTATTTTTAATTTTAATGAGATATATGATGACGTAGGGTTATGATGAACAAAGTTCAGGAGTTGCGATTCGCTGCTTGCTATGCAATGAGGCTGATTTTGTTGGAAGCTTTGCACACTGGCTACTAATCGAGGTCGCGATTCATTGAAGGAGCAGTCGGTGAGGGGCGACGGCTTCGGTGAGCAAGCCACCAACGGTCTCGGTCAGAAAAAGGCGGTCGCAGCCCAGAATGCGGGGTGGCCCAAGCTTGCCGGCAGAATCGCACAGTCGGCCCCACCACAGCTTCCAGAACAGTCTGACCCCTCCGCAAGGCAACCTCACCGTTTGCTTCATCCAGCACCCCATTGGGCCCGTACCCGTTTGCTTTACCTCACTTCCATTGAACCTTCTTTGTACACAATTTTTGCCGTTTATCAAGGGAGTCCTAGGCATTTAAATTTACCACGAACCGCTTTCAATCTCTGACTCTTTCCCCACCACACATCATCCATCCACATCCGCATCCACGAAGCAAAGCCAACCCGAACCCCGCCAAGCATGTCTGGAAGCACAGCCGCCAGCGCGGGCATGGCCGCCCTCGAAAAGCGCGACTACGACCTCGCCATCTCCAAGCTTACAGACGCCCTCAAGACCTCGCGCTCCCCTCTCTGGCTCGCCGCCCGATCCAAGGCCCACATTGGCAAAGGCGATTTCGCCCGCGCCCTCCGCGACGCAGACTTCTCCTATGCCGCCGCCGCCGCTCGAGGCAAGCGCGACCTCATGCGCGATGCTCAACACCGCCGTGCCGTTGCCTACATGCGCCTCGGCCGCCTCGCCGATGCCGACGCCTGCGCGATGTGGGTGCAGCGCATGGCCGAGCAGGCTGGCGTCTCGCTGTCCGACGCGGCCCTTAGGAAGCCCGAGACCGACGAGAGAGGCTTCTCCACCGCCACAAAGCAGACTACCTTGGATTACAGAGCGGATATAGAGCGCAAGAAGCTGGCCCTCGGGAGCAGCTATCTCGCGGACACAGCGCCTGCCGGCCTCAATGCGGCGGTTGCGTTGCGTATGCAGATTCTGGGGCAGATGGACAAGCTCCCTGCGGACGATGAGAGAAGGAAGGTGACGGCCTCTTTCGCGCCTAACGTTTCGATCGATGACTTTGAGAAGGAGGAGGCGGCGGCTGCGACCGCCAAGACTGACAAGGCTGCGGACACAAAGGCCTCGCAGGAGGATAAGGACGAGGTCAAGGCCGCTGCGGCCGAGTCGGTCAGAAAGCCTGCCGTCCAAGCTGACGTGCGTACGGACTTCTATCAGACCAACACCGACGTCATGGCGTCCGTCTATGTCAAGAATGTCCCTAAGGACGAGTTCAAGGTTGAGTATGGAGAGAAGGAGGTGAGCAGACACTCTGGCATCCCATCCAAACGAGAACTAATGTTTCGCAGATTCGTATGAGCCACATCCCAGGCCACGAACCTTGGTACACCATCCCTCTCTACGGCCCTATCGACCCCGCCGGCAGCAAGCACAGCGTCAAGTCTGTCAAGGTCGAGTTCCAGCTGAAGAAAGCTGCCGTCCTTAAGTGGCCCAAGCTCAAAGCCGACCCCTCCGATGTGAACACCACAACCACGACGCCGACCCCTGCCGCTACTGCGAAGCCTGTCGAGCCCGCCCCTGCTCCCGCTGCGGCTCCATCCTACCCGACCTCATCCAAGTCCGGCGCCAAGAACTGGGACACAGTACTGGCTGACGAGAAGGACGATGATGAGGACAAGGACATCAACCTGTTCTTCAAGAGCCTGTACAAGGGCGCGAACCCGGAGCAGCAGCGCGCCATGATGAAGAGCTTCACCGAGAGCAACGGCACCGCTCTGAGCACCGACTGGAACGACGTCAAGGACCGCACCGTCGAGACGCAGCCCCCCGAGGGCGTTGAGGCCAAGAAGTGGGAAGCTTAGGAGATGGCCTAGTGTATTGAGTGTTCGTCGTTTTTCGGGTTATCATTCATGAAAGGGGTCACGGAACGTTATTCATCAGAGCATCAGAGCTCCAAGCTCAAGGCGTGGCGTTGGAATCATCGGGTAGTCAAAAAGTAGCTTCTCTTCAGTTGGGAGTGTTTTAACATGCAAGAGACAGAATGTCATCTGTCGTTAGTCTACTTAAATATGGTATCTGGATATATCGTGACATGCTCTCAGTATGCAACTACGTTCGGCTCTCTGCATAGCGGAACTCGTGCAACTTGTTCAACGTACTGAGGAAATCCTCGTTCGCTACGTACGTGCCCTTCAACCAACGACGACCGCTGTCCGCGTCAAACTCCCGGCGCCCGTGCAGCACCCTCTGGTTGTCGAACAGGACGCACTCGCCGGGCTGCAGCTTGCGCTGGAACATGTGCGCCTCGTCCTCGAGGATCTTCTGGAACATGCGCGCGCCGCTGTGCCACTCGCGGAAGCGTGCGCGCTCCTTGTTGTTCTTGGGGATGTGGAAGGGCGCCTGGAAGGGCGGGGACCACCAGACGTCCTGGACGTGCTTCTCATCATCGGCCCACTTGAACACGGGCCGCTCCTGGCGGTAGAAGAAGCCGTTCTTGGAGTAGTGGTAGGGGACCTTGACCTCGCCGAGGGCCCTGAGCTGCGTGCCTTGGCGCTTGCGCATCACGCGGGCGGCGAAGAAGGCGTCGCTGAAGATGGACTCGCCGCCGGAGCACGAGTTCTCGAGGCAGTGGAGCAGCTGGATGCGGGGCGGGGACTCGAGGTAGAGCATGTCGGAGTGCAGGCCGAGGTAGGAGGAGGTGTAGGCGACATTCTCGGCGTCGGGCTTGGAGATGACGTCCCAGGTGCGGCCGTAGAAGGTCTCCTTGAGGGCGCCGAAGGTGAGGCCGATGTCCGCGACGGCGGTTTCCGAGTGCGGCACGCCGGTGAGGAAGACGAGGCCCGTGGCGGCGAGCTCCTGGGCGCCGGCGCGGAATGCGTCGCCGCCGGCCATCCAGTCGGTGTAGGGGATGGTCTGCAGGCGCGGGGCGAGGATGGCGTTGTCCCAGAGGAGGCGCTTGACGGGGTCCTTGGTGAAGTAGACGCGCGTCGGGGCGAAGGGGATGGAGTGCTCGGTGGCGATGCGGGACATGCTCTGCGGGCCGGCGGCGGGGAAGACGGAGACGTGGTTGGCGGCGGCGGCGCGGGGGATGTCGTGCTGCCAGGTGATGTGGAGGGAGCCGTCGGGGTGCTTGGTGACGGTGTCGAACTTGAGGGCCTCGGGGATCTCGGCGGAGGAGAAGGACTTGTTGCCGGAGGAGGAGCTGACGCACTGCGGGCAGGGGCAGCGGTCGCGAAGGTAGATTGCGCTGAGGAGCCTGGGCTTGTTGTCGTAGTCAAAGGGGCGTTGGATCTGCATGAGGTCGTCGGAGATGAGCTCGTAGGTCCATCGCTGGGCTATGCGGCTGCGCTCGCGGCGGATTGCTGTCGTGAGGGTGTTGGCGTTGCGGAGGTATGTGCGGACGGAGCGGTCGAGGTCGGCGAGGGTTGAGGACGTTGTGAGGGGTTCGTAGGGCTCGAGGAGGTCGGATTCGGAGGAGGTGGTGGTCTCGGGAGACTCTGAAGCTTCGGAGGCGGGGGTTTCTCGCTTTTGGCGACCGAAGACCTGGCGAAGAGAAGCGACTGCGCCCTCTGCACCCTGAGGTCTCGGGGAGGTTGTGTGAATGCGCGCGGCGGGTGCGTAGATGTGAGATCTACTGCTTGAGCTGAAGCATAGCGCAGATGCCGGCCTCGTCGCATTGAGGGCTCGCGATGCGCGCGCCGCGGAGGGGATTGAGGTTCTCATGGCGGGCTGTCGTCAATGGTGCGTCTGAGGGAGGATGGAGGGGGGAGAGACGAGGCGAACAGCGAGCACGACGCTGCAGCTGATGAAGGATGTATGACCTGGAGACGTTTGCGCTCTAGCTGGAGGGAGATTCCATGGTCTGCTGTGTCGAGAACCGAGGCGGGGTGGATGGGCTACGGGAAGAAGAAATAAGTGGACGGTGGCACGATCTGGAGAGCTATGAGGGGGCACTGGGCAGGGGTTCGCGCCGGTTCGCCCAATGTCTTGCCGAAAGCTGCCCCGCGGCGGAAGCAGCAAGTGAGACTTCAGGGGAGCTACAGGCCTTTCCAGAGAAGCTAGTTGCCGTAAGGACGGAACGAACCTCGGTCGGAGGGCAATTCTGGGGAAACGAAGAGGCGGGGGAATGAAGCACTGTGCCACACAAAAGCGCGAATCGCACTGTTTTCACATGAATTTTTCCAGGTCAAGATCTAATCTTATCTTTTCCATCAGCATAGATTGCAACTTCAGACGAACACTCACCTTTTTTTCGCAACATTTCCCATCAACTTGTTCATTGCAACTGTTCACACATTCACAATCGATGACACTACGTGAAGGAATTACACCCACGAGCTTGAATACTAGTGCAAATTTTCACATGCCAAAGATGTGTTTAGCTTGTTAGCGGCCTCGTGAGTCGTGACCTCCACTGCTCCTTCAAGCGCCCCAGCCGGACGACGGGAACAACATGCGGCGCAGCTTAGCCTCCTTCACATGACCGCCGCTATCAATGTTTCTGTGGGAAGAAAGCGTCTGGAACGTATATGCTATGAGGGCCTTAGTTCTGTTTCTCTTCTATTTCCAACTCGAAAGCACCCTTTGTGGTTTTCAGTTTCATCTCTGGGAGCGTTCGGTTAGCGACTGTCGCGGCTACATCCCATTCCAAGGTGCTAGGATAACAGACACGCCATATAAAAGTTTCGACCTGGTATTTTTGTGTCTACGCGACTTCATTCCGTAGTGATGATAGCGATGCTAATAAACCGGACAACTACAGCAATAACGACAATAAAAAGAACAGCGACGACAATGATAACAACGACGACGATGACGGCGACGACAACAGGGACGACGACAGCGACGATAACAATATCGATAATGATATGAGTGACGACGGTAAAAGCGACGACAAACACGACAGTAACGACGAAAGTAAGAGGATAGGAAACGTAGTCGCTCTAGCACAAGAAAATGAGGGGGCCTCAGTAGGATATACGGGTTACAGGCGTGTGTAGCAGACAATGCTCTGATAGCTAAATGACACTGCCCGGCTGGCAAAGCTCTGGAAAGAGAGGATCCGCCGGATAATATGCGGTGGTGAAAGAAAGGTAAGAATTGCTAATAAGAAGAAGTGTAAGTGTAAGTAGAGTCCTAATAGCCTGATAAACACCCGTTCGATGTTGTCACCTGGAACTGCATTGCATGATCGCGTGTTAGAGAACATTAAATTAAGAATATTTGGGAATTCCCAGCTGTGCCTAAATCAGTCCATCATGTTGTAATTCTATTGCGTAGTCTCCTCCATATATCCCTAGCCTTCGCCTTCCATGCTTCGAGGCGTCTTCTACCCGATGAAAACGATCTTCTGCCTCCTTCATCTGCTGTCGCATTACGTTTGCTCCATGGCCGTCTGTTATGTTGTCTAACAGCACCCTGTTGGATGTCCCCTTCATGCTCTGAAGCAGCACCACGCTGCCATTTTTCTTTGAGCGGCGAGGCTTCTGGTACAGCTGACATGCTTGAATCAGGCGTCATAAGAAGATTCGATTCCTGTCCCGAGAGTGATTCTAGTCTCGAGTCGGCTTGGACGAGATGCGTGCGTAGTGAAACGCTCGACCTCTTCCCGGGCCGACTGATTCGTTGCCTCGATGGGCTCAGTTGCGCCGGAGGCATTACCCCAGTAGTGGGCGGGTTCTCGTTCTCTCCATCCTCGTGATTTTGGCTTCCGTTGCCATTGAGTGTGTTGGGGTTTGAAATGCCTGAAGATCCCAAAAACTCCGCCTCAATCACGTTCATATCAGATTCTGACTGGCTGTCCAGTGTATTGTTAACATCTTGAAGCAGCGTAAGATTCACCCTACCGTATTGGCTGTCCTCCGTAAACGGACGAGGGAACGAAGTGCGGGGAATTATTTCTTCGGCGCTTCGGTGACCTGGTCGGTAATATGCGGAGCCCTTGCATCTGGAGAGAATGGTGTCCAGTCTCTTGACCAACTTGGCCGTGTTGCAGCGGTTGTCAGGATTAGGCACTAGCATACGCTTCGAAACCAAGTCAAGGAATGCTCTCAATCCCTGCGATGCATATTGGTGGTTTTTTAAAAACGCCACCCACTAAAACAGTTAGTCAATCCGGTCAAGGAATAGGCATATCAGCTTCTGCTTACCTCTGTAACAGAATCCTTGACTGTGGCTCTACCTCGGTCATCGAAGTTGAAGAATTTGTCTTCCGCAAGGCGAGTGTATCGCTTGTCATCGTCACTCTGTCTCGCGGTGCTGAAGCTTTCGTATTGACCCCCCCGCATGAGAAACGACTTCTCACCAACGGCGTCGTAACCTAGGAGGTGCCAAGTGACGAACTCCAGATAGACACAACCCAAAGTCCAGATATCATACTTATGCGTAGCGCCGATTCCGTCCTCTCCGTGTACCTCAGGTGGACGATAAGTCTGAGAAAAGCCCTTGACGCTGTTTGCGTCGGTGACGAGGGCATTCGGAGCATGGAAGCGCATAAGTGTAAAATCTGCAAGCACGAAACGACCCTTTGCTTTCCGTGAACCTTCTAAGAACAGTATGTTCTGAGGCTTAATGTCTCCATGGCGACCTTGAGTTTCCTCATCCACCTTGCCATTGATGTCCTTGTCGCGGATATGGACTTGACATAGCCCCTCAGCAAGTCCGCGACATTGTTGCAGCAGCCAAATGAAATTATTTGCTGAGGGGATATCTCGCCTTTCAGTTTGCCAAAACTGTTTCAAGTCGTATTTCGCCCATGGAAATATCAAGTACTTTTCGGATCCTTGCTCGTATGAAAAGAAAAGCTCGATAAGGTTTGGGTGCGTTCTCCCTGGCCCACTGAATCGAGCCAATGCATCTCTCTCGTTTTCGAAGTTATCGTCGCCTCCCTCGGGCTTGAATAATTTGATTGCATAGTAAGGATAAGTATCTTGGTCCTGATAACTATGGTATAAGTAAATAAGCTGCCGACTCGAGAATGTATGCTTACCGAAGAGTCTCTTCGCCTCTGATGGTGGTCGTCATGGATACTGATCTTTGAAATTCGTCCGTGGGCTCCTTGTCGTGTTTTGCTAAACTTGATTTCGTTCAAAAATGGCATACGAGCTTGGGGATTAAACACGTGATGCTCTATCGCCGTGAAATCGATGAAAGGGGCGAGCACCACCCATTGCCATCGACAAAACTCGTCGGTGAAATATGGATTCTTGGCGTCGACGAAGATTCCATGTCCTGCAGTCAAAGGAAGATCCTCATCACAAACATTGTTTGCGATAAATCTGACTATGTGGCCTGGCTTCTCTATGAGTATCAACACTATCAGTATCTTGACGCGTTTCGAGTCGCCTCCTGCGGGGCAGATATCTCGTTCTACGTTGATATCTTCAATGAGATGGTTGTTGCCGGCGGTAGTGGTTTTCAATACGTTGTTGATGTCGTCCATGGACAACATTCGCTCTGATTGACTATCAGGTAAAAACTGCTCGGAGGTGCTGACGTCTCTTGGTAGAAGCTTTTTCCGAATCTTTGAAGCGACCGGATGCTCTGCTTCCGAAGCCGTCACATTGGTTCCTTCAGATGAAATTGACTCTGTTCGCAAAACGGATTGACCATCGGCAGTATCAATGTGCCTGTCTTGCCGTTCTGACTCCATATCCGTGATAGGACAGGCGCGTTCCCGAAGGATCCGGCTGTAAGAATGAGGTAAGCTATAGCCTTGGGACTCTATTGGATATCAAGACGCAGTACGCACAATCGGGCCTTTGGCTGGAGGCCTCAGGGTTCCAATGACCCAATATCACAGGTTCGCGCGCTCCGAGTGGCGCGATCGATGTTTGAACAAAGCTTCAAACGTGGCGGCAATGCTAGAGTGGCTTAGAGAATAGAGGCATAATTCTCAACGCCTAAAGATTGGAAATCTGTTTTCCTGGAGTGAGAAAACAGCGAAGGCTGCGGTACCCGTTCGACATCGGCAATCCATGTCAATGATATCCCAGCGACTGTGATAAGTGGGCAAGTACCACCCAGGCCAGCAAGTGGTCCCTCTTTCCACCTCCCCTTCCTCGAAAGGTAAGTGCACCCGTTGCCCTCGTGGGGAAGAGTTCTCCATTGGCTTATTGAAATGTACGCAGATATGACCCAGACAAAAGACCTCTGCTGCTGTAGCCAAGCCCAACTGCATACCGGTCTGCAGTTATATATGTTTCCAAGTCTGATTATTTGCTGGTTGGGATAAGACTGAATACGCACTCCACCTCATGCATGTGGCAAAACGGCTGGAACAGGCCATCAAGCGGGAAAAAGATGAACGGCTTAGGTTATCATGCCCGAAAGCATACCACATGCAACAGAAGACACTTTGTCGGGCCAGTAGAAAAGTCTTCGGGGCTGTGGGATATTGTGTGTGTGGGCGCTAACCCCTGCAACTAGGTTGGTGGCGCCCCGTTCAACCTCGACGAGGCTCGGCAAATGTCAGCTAGATTGCAGCCGGGCAGATTTCCGGCAGGCAAACTCCAGCCAGCCAGAATCCTACGAGTTTTCTCTGCCACATGACCTTACTGTATAAAAGTCTCTCGGGACCATCGTTGTTACAAGCTCCCCAAAGCTTCTCCCCTCCTCACACCAAGGGTATTGTTTTCTTCCTTTCCGCCACTATCGCACTTTGCTTCTTTGAAACAGTCATGGACACTATTGAGCGTCGCATAAAGTCAAGTGCTATCAAGAAGCCTCAACATCTCGTCACAAATTTACAGACATTTTGCAGAAATAAAGGGTTCCATGTGGAAAGCCTGGAACTGCGTAACGATTTCTACATCATATCCATGAGACCACAATCATCGAGTCAATCTAAGATATGATAGCCAGAGCAAGATGTGCGGTTTCCCATGAATCATCGCTTCTAATGTGCTGACAAAATGCCAGCGTACGATAATCGCGCGAAGAGATCCGCGGGCAGGCGCCTGGAGTTGGACATGGAAAATCATATATGTGCATATTGAGGCTACGTAATCTGAAAACATAGGTCATTGGTCGAGGATAGCAAATAATTGGACATAAAAAGTGCATCTTTCTGTCAGAATTTCGAACACGATAAAAGTGATTTCAACGCAGTTCACGCTGACTGCGATGAGACCTCAACGCTGCATGGGCGTGCGCATCACCCCTAGAAGCAACATTATCTTTCTGGCTTCGTTGCAAAGGGTTTGCCAAGGATGACACGCCGTCGGTCATCACCGAGGACTACTTCATAGCCAATGCAATTTCTCGGTTGCGTATTTCCATATTCCCGTCGAAATCCCACGTCATGCGTGTTGAGAAGTGGGTGGTGGGGCGTGGTGGTTGCGGTTTACCAATGGACATGAATTCCCGCCCCAAATTTGAAGCAGGCTGCGATGCAAGACAACCTTTTTCTCGGTTTGATTCGTGGAGCTGCACATGCGCACACCAACTGCATTTAAGTACTGCGTATGAGTCTAGCTACGCCTCTTGGCGGATGTTAACCCATTTGTGGGCCAATAAATGTGACCGCAGACACATGGAATCAGCTCTCATTCTTCACACAATAGGTCAGTGCCCACTCTGATGGGTGGCCACCCTTTTCGAAATGGCGCGGGCTCACTCACTTTCTGTCACAAGATTGAGAGTTCTGGGTATTACTCATTCCACAGCCTGATGAGGCTGATTGCTTGACGTCTTTCGTGGGGGCCGACCGATCTCACCTTTTCTCTTTCTTTTCTCTTCTCTTCTCATCATGGCACCCTCGATATCATGCTTGCAAGTCACGCCGAATATTAAAGAAATCTTTGATTGGCTTCGCCGCGGGACTTGTGAAACCACGAACATGGAATCTGGGCCGGTTGATGTTTCTTATGCCAGTATCAAAGAATTGTTGGTCAACCCAGATGGCGCGCACAAGCACGACAAGATTGAACACTGTAAAGCATTCCTGCCGCGGAATGCTATGCAGAGGTTGATACAGAGAGATTGTGTGAAATCGACATTGAGACAAAAATTTCGGAGGGGGCAGGGGGCCACGAAGCTGATCGACTTCTATGGCGCGGGAAATGCAGGCACGGTATTTCTGACCCTTGCTCGAATTGAAGCTCCTCACGACATTTGGAGAATCGTGAGAAAGGAGAAGTTCACAGACGACCACTTGCCAGTTCGCAGAGACAAAAACGACGGAGAAATTCGGAGCATCAGAATTGACGGCAGGATGAAGAACTCAGAAGAGCAGCCGTTAACGCAGTTTTCGGGGTGGAATCCTAAAGTTCGGGACGATTTCCTGGAATGCCAGTGGCTATTCATGGTACCCACATTTCACGAAGATCAATTCGCGTATGAGTTTGCCTACGAGTGCCCTCTTCCATTCGTTGATATCAAGGACGGCAAAATCTACAGGGGCTATTTTGGAACAGTCTTCCAACTAGGATTGAGACGTGACCACGCCAATTTCCCGAGATCTGCCATCGTAAGATTGAACTATACCTACCTATCAGTAATTATCACGCGTTCTGACTGTCTCACAGACCCCCGGAGCCAAGCCGGAGTACATCGAAGTCGGTTTGAAAGTAATGACCATCGAACAAACTGATACAACCGATACGGATGTAGAGAAGTTCTACAGCAAGGAGAAGGAAACTCTCAAGACAATGAGAGATCTGAACCATCGCCATCTTATCACTGCCTTCGCAGCATACAAGAGAGAGCATTTCAGATGCTTCATATTTCCGTGGGCTAGTGGAGGCAATCTCGACAGTTTCTGGAAACGTAACTCAAGCAAGCTTGATGGAAATCTGGTTACGTGGGCTGTCAATCAGATGTCTGGAATTTCAGACGGAATCGAGAAGCTACACGGGGCTCACATACGCCACGGCGACATCAAACCGTTGAACATTCTCTTTTTCTCGGAGTCAGGAAATTTGGTGGTAGCCGATGTCGGTCTTGCGAAAGTACACGAAACGTACACAAAGGACCGCGAACCGGGAACAACCACCAACCACGGAACCAACAAGTATGAGCCACCGGAGATGAATGATTTCTCACGAAAAGTGACGAAGATCTCTCAGAAGTACGATATTTGGAGTTTGGGTTGCATGTTCCTCGAGTTCACGATCTGGCTGCTGTATGGCCAAGGAGGCCTCGGAACTTTCCAAGATAAACTCCAAGCTAATGGTACGGGGAGACTTTGGGTACAAACCTCACGTGGCTATGTTCTGCATCGAGCTGTAAAATTGTGGATTGAAAAGCTCAAAAGCCAACTCGACCAAAATGGTGTGTTGGGGAAGCTGGTCTGGCTTATCTCCGGAAAGCTGCTCGTTCCTGTGGACGACCGCTACACCGCGAAAGAATTGGCATATAAGATGAGAGCGATTCAGACGCAACTTCCAATCAAGGGATTGAATGACCTTGGTCCTGGACTGGAGCTTCTGGCCAAGCAAAGATCAGGTAATATGCCCGAGTCTCAGGCCGATCAAGAGCTCGTCTCACCATCCGATGAAGTAGGTCCTGCTAGATGAAAAGAAGAATTGGGTGGCTTTCACTGACACTAGTGGGGTAGTACGTGAGTAAACCATTCCTAAAACATCTTTGTTGCTTTTGGGCCAATTGATCCTGACCAAACCGCCTTAGAATGTCAGTTGAACACCAATACGTTGAATGGAGCTGCTGTCTGATTTGAATATAGCCAGTGAGTAAAGGTCGCGCCGTGTCTGTAAGAGCCACTGCTGATCCGTGAAGCGCACAAGCGATCTTGACGATGAGTGGCGAACCGTTCCCCAGAACGGGTGGGCCCGAATCCTGATCTCGCGCCTGAACTGGGCGACATTGAGACCAGAGGCCAATACAGTAGAGCTTTGCGCTTCTTGTAGCATCGTTGATTTTCTTTCGTTCCACCTGTCATTGTATCGGAGTGTCACTGATCTGGATCGGGGTGCGGCGGCGTGTCCTGTCTGCCGTTTTCTCTACCACTGTCTTTCGAAATATTCGCTCAATCGTGACGAAGTTGTGGAGTTATCCGCAGACAAAGATAAAGGCCTATTCATACTCTCTCATAACGCCGTTCCAGTCATATCGATATATCTCGATCCGGGTATGTATTGCTTGCAAGAATCAGGCCAGCATCTAATTTCGCTCAGAATCCTCTGACCATCAGCTGCCCCAGGTGCAGTTTGGACTGCCACTTCTGCCTGCGCCCGGTAGCTCACAGCAGTTCGATCTCCTCAATGAATGGGTTCGCCTTTGCAATGAGGAGCATCACTGCATCGCAAGTCAAGTAGATACTGGAGAAAGAAACATTGTACCGACACGACTTATTGACGTTGGAGACGATCAAGCCCCCAGTCTGCGTCTTATCGAGACGGAACAGCATAGAGTGACTGGACATTACATTGCTCTAAGCCACTGCTGGGGAGCTTTGCCAAGCGGAGAAAGGGTGTGCACATATGCTGATAACATTGACAGCTTCAGGAAAGGCATACCCTTCCACGCTTTACCAAAGACTTTCCAAGATGCAATCACAGTCACACGTGCACTAGGAATCCGGTATCTCTGGATCGACTCCCTTTGCATTATCCAAGGGGATGCCGAAGACTGGAAGTCTGAGGCAGGAAAGATGGAGGACGTCTTTAGCTCAGCTTACTGTACAATTGCTGCCAGCTCTTCGACGTCTTCTTTGGATGGATTTCTCTTTGATCGAGCCCAAAGGGCAGCAATAGGCATCGAAACTCCCCAAGGCACCTTGTACCTGGCCGAGTCTATCGACGACTTTGAGGCCCACGTCGAAAAGGGTATTCTGAACACCCGTGGCTGGGTACTTCAGGAACGCGCCCTGTCAAGAAGAACCATACACTTTACATCTACCCAGGTGTACTGGGAGTGTGGACAGGGCGTACATTGTGAGACGCTAGCCGAGCTTGGAAAGTAAGTTGCTCTCGGGAACGACCAGGTGCGCTAATAATCAGCTGACTGGATGTTCGTTACAGCCGGCAATCGATGTTCCTCGGCGACTCCAATTTCCCAACTTATGGGCTCGAGCACTACAAGGACGAACGCATCCGGCTTGTGCAATATTTGTATCAAACCTACAGTGGACTCAGCCTCACTAAGGCTTCTGATCGTTCAAAGGCGATTCTAGGATTGCAAAAGCGCCTAGGCTACACGTTTAAATCGACAGCTAAATACGGAGTTATCTCAGCCTACTTCGAGAGAACCATCCTCTGGCAAGCGGACGTCCCAGCTTCTCTGTCAAAAATAGACTACGAACAGGGTCAGACAGTTCCTTCATGGTCGTGGATGGCAGTCATGGGAAGAATTCGATACATGGACATTCCGTTCGGCGAAGTGGCATGGACGGGCGACCTTGAAAACCCATTCCAGTCAGGCTTTGATGATACCGGGTGGCATGGACGACTGATTGCTAAGGCTAAGCGACTCGCGATCGACGATGGCGAATTTGAAGAGAGGTGCAATGTCGATCTGGGTCTCCACAAGTTCCAGCCAAGCAGCTGGAAGTGCGTGGTTGTAGGGGAGAGCAAGGTCGCCAATATGAACGGCGACAAGAACCAGTATGTTCTGCTTATACGCGAGAGGTCATCCGGCGTAACACCGCCCGTTTATGAGCGAGTTGGTGTAGGCATACTATTGCAAATGCATGTTGCTATGGAGACTGCCATAGTTTACGTTGTATGATGCCTTGGGGAATTTGAGGGGTTGCCAGAGTGCACATACATTTCAATACCATGAAACAAACTTGGGTTGATGCTTGGTACTGGCCCGGACGATGTTGTTCTTCTATTATTGTTATTAGTAGTACATCCCCTATCTCCTGTCGTTATCCATGTCATCGTCGCTGTTATCGTCTATGGCGACTCCTTCCCCGAATAGCTAGAAGTAGAAGTATTTGAGAAGAACGACATATGCTAATTAAACTTGTAAATGAAAGAATGATGTCACATTCTGTTACATTCGTCTGCCCGGTTAGTGAGACTCTTTGGCTTTGGGGCATGAATAAGACAACTTAAGCGGATGGAGGTGTTGCCAACTTTCTCTCGTCACTTGGTGGCCCATGCAGAACAAGCGGGCAGTAATTCGCACCGGGCGACTTAAATACGCACATGAATAATCAACCTCGCAAAATCCAGGTCTCACAATCAGCGCCTGACAGCCTTCGCGCGTTAGTCCATGTACTCGTCCAGGCAACTCCCAAGTTTGCGTTCAATCTTTGTACATTGTATCTAACAATATTTACATCTAACCACACCCTCAATTACCCAACCTCAACTCTAAGTACTCCACCTCAAACAGTCGAGCTGTTAATCGCCTTCCAAATCTCATCGCTCAACGTCTTGTTCGCGTTAAAGTACGACGCCAGCTGCGTCTCCTTCTGCAGCACCAGGTCCGCCACAAGACGCCCGAAGACGACGCTGCCCTCGGCATTCAGGTGCGTGTTGTCGTCGGCCTTGAGGTTGTACGAGTGCGCCTTGTCCTCGCCGATCGCCTGCACGAACTTGCGGCTGTTGAGATTGAGGTCGATGTACGTCGTCTTGGTCTCTGTGGCCGCCGCGATGGTGCGCTCGCGCTCGTTGGCGAGGTTGTTCGTCACGACGCCGTTGGAGAAGCTGCGGCGCGTGAGGGGGGTGACGAGGATGGGCGTCGCGCCGAGGGCCTTGATCTCCTTGGCCAGGTTTCCGAGGTTTGCTTGGTACTGATCGAGGGAGATGTTCTTTTCGGGCTTTTGGTCGTTGTGACCGAACTACGAGGCGATCTTCGTTAGCGGCTTGTTCTCTTACACGGTGTATCCTGCTGAAGCAAAAGCAGCGGAAGATGGCTGGCTCACCTGAATGGTCACGTAGACGTCAAAGTCCTTGACGCTGTCGGTGACGGCCTTCTTGACCGTTGCCCAGTAGCCCCCGCTGACATAGTCCACCGTCGTGCGGCCGTTGACGCCGTAGTTGGTGCCCTTGGCCGGGCTCTTGAGGAAGCTGAGGAATCCGTTGCCCCAGCCGCCACCGCCCTCGGACTGCTTCGCCGTCGTGGAGTCGCCGGCGAGGTAGAAGGCGGGAGGCTTCGCAGCGCGCTTCTCTGCTGGGGGCGCAGCCATAGCCATGGCCGGCAGCAGGGCGGAAAGGATGGTTTGGGCCTTCATGTTGTGATAGTCTACACTGGGGGTCGTCCGGGCTGAGAGTCGAATAGCTTCAAGATACACAAAACAACACTTACAGATACGAGGAACGAGGAGCAGCCATCTCGGCCTCTTATACGAATCCGGTTTCAAGACTCAAGGAAAGAGACACTCCGTAGCTTTCCCCCAGAGCTGCATGACCCTTACAAACCTAACCCTCGTCAACAGCATTGCCAAGCCATGCGACCAACCAGATTTTCGGACGCTCCTTTCTGCTTCTGGTTCGTTTGATCCGATGTGCGGTTGAGCCAGGGTTGCCATTGCAAACAGAATGGTGCAATGCAAGCTGTGGCCAGCTGGTCTCGACACATACATAGCACAGCGGCGTGGAATTCAGCGAAGCAAAAAAGTTAGACCCCTGACGCGCCGGGGATGATGCTGGGAAACACGGAGATGTGCGGGGGACCCAGGCTTGCCAGGACGGGCATTCGCAGCCTGCAGCTGCACTTTTTTAGAGTTTCTCCGTCAATGGGAAGGGAGAGCTTGTAATGTGGCCCATGGCAAGCTGTGTACTTGGCACATCTCCAATTGGAGCTAAGCTTTTGAGGGGTGTTCAGTGAGGGGGGCACTGACATGGGATGGGTTGAAATGCGACGCTTCGTTCCGACGGAAAAAGCTGGGGGACCATTCTGATCTCGGATCTACGCTAGCTACGTAAACTTGCAGGACGCAGGACGCTGCAGCGGCAGTTTTCTCCCACTTGGGAAAGGAAGCGCTGCATGTCGGACGAACGGACGGCAGTTTGTAGCTTCTCGCGGGCGAATCCGAAAAGTGAGCGAAAGAGATCGCGGGGAAATCCTTCCAGTGCGGATAGATTAAACGTAGATTGGGAACGCGAGCAGGGGCGAGTACACGAGGAGTGGAGTTCGTTCGGCCCTTGAACATATTTCACCGTCGCAGTTCGTCCGATTCGGGCGCGAGGTTGGACTAGAACTGGATCGTGGAACTGGGAGCCGCCCGAGGGGCATCCCAAAAGGAGCAAAGTGAAGGAGGGGCGTCGGAGCTGGGATGCCTTGGTCGGTGAGCTGGCCACGATCACGCCGTAGCCCGTTGGATGGCCGTGATTGAATTTGACAGCCGTGACTCGTGGAAATTGTGGGACGACACAATATGTTTTGCAGATTGCCTCATTATCATCATACAGCTCTATACCGCAAACGGGTACGATGTGTTTGTGTTTTGAAGGGGGTATTCTAGTAGGAAACTTCGATATGGGCGTGCTGTTGCGCCGAAGATGCCGTCCTTCCCGGATGTTCCGAATTGCATACTCATACTCTTACAACAATGCCCTCTCGTCTCGTCGTCCCAAGTTCCAGATGAGAGGGCATGAATGTCCCTTAATATTCGTGTTACATCATGTATCCATGAAAATTCCGTCCATCCCAAAGAACTCAAGCTGATTGCTTGGAAACTTTTGTTGCCAGTAGAAGGCCACTCTGGTGTTTTTTTTTTCCGTCCAATCCGTCCAACGCCCGCCCACACACAACTCATAAACACATACAATCAGTTTTAAATCATCGGTTTCGGTTACTAGACCACCGCTTGACCATGACTTCGCGGATCTTGTACAACTTGAAGACCTCCGCCGGGCCGCCCTTCTGGAGGGCCTCGTCGAACTGGGGTGGAGGAGGGATGTCGACGTAGACAAGGACCAGACTCTTCTGCACGTGAGACAGAACGCGCACAACACCGTGGAGCCAGTGCCAGGTCTTGCGAGGGAGCTCGCGATCGCTGTCCTTCCACCACTGGTCTGAGTATGAGGGCAGGATGATGGCACCGAATTCGGCGTGATCAAAGACAGGGCCCTTGGCATACAACATCCAGTCGACGCCGAACTTGATGCCGGCGCGGGGCACCCAGCCGAGAGAGCGGAAGTGGTGGTAGACTGCATAGTTGACAAGGAAACTGTCATCAGGGTGCAGGTCGGTGCTCGCGCGAGAGGGGAAGTAGGAGTACTGGCGGAAGAGGTTTAGGAGCTCGGGGGTAGGGATGAGTTGCTTGTTGATTGGGTTGACGACGCGAAGAGCGCCGAGACCGAAGGTGAGGAAGAATGCTTCCTCCGAGGTGAGTTGAAGATGTTCCTTGTTGACGATCTCAGTTGGTGTAGCCTCCGCCTGTGTAACATGTGTGCCATTTGTCTGCGGCTCTTGATCCGACTCCACGACGCTAGGCCCCAGAGATGCCCCATTGAGGGATGGTATCGACTTGCCATTCAGCAAAGCAAAGCTAGGGCTAGGAGGGTCGGACGACAGGTAGGTGGCCGACTCAACCTTGGGAGAGAATCGCACACTCTTCCGGCGTTTCATAGGTTTGGTAGGGGTTGAAGGAATATCCGTCGACGTTGTGCTCAGTGCCTTGGTACTCTCGGTGTCGGTGCCGTTGGCAATTCTGTCGTGATCCAGCAGATCGTTTATCAGATGACCAGTCGACGGCTTGGTAGACCCATCATGCTTGACATCTTCGGGTATCGTCGACAGCTTTGGCGCGATAACCTTGGCCTTGCCGATGCCGTTCGTTGTGTCGTTCGACTCGTAAATGACAGCGACGTGTGTATTCGGGAGTGACAACAGCTCCAGCGGGCCGACAGGCGCAGCGAAGATCGAGACAGGTGACGAGTGGCCGTTGACCGAGACGCCCGATCCGTTCACACCGTTCAGGGTGACAGACTCCGAGTCGCTATTCACCAAAGTCGACTCCGGACTGTGAATACCGTTCGTCGAGGCGTGGACGTAATCAGCTGCGGCCAACGACGCGTGCGAATTAGGCAGACGGAGGAGTTCGAGAGGACCGGTAGGAGAGGACGAGGCAGTAAGAAGAGGAGACAAGGGTTCGCCGAGGGCCTTGGCAATCTCGGTTGCTCGAAGAGCATCCTCAGGCTCGATGATCGTGGCCGATCCAAGGCTGGCCGTCAAGGGCTCAATGGGCGAAGAGACACCGTTGACTAGTCCTGTTTCGATGGCAGACAGAGAGTCGAGAGACGCAGAAGGCACAACACCTGGCTTAAGCTCGGTAGGCGTATTTATGGACGCATCCTTGGTCACATCTTGGGAGAGGGATTCTGGTTCGGTGGCCGGGTCGGCAGGGACAATTGGTTCAGGCAACGAGATCGCATCAGTCAAGGCGGGTTCATGGCCGTTGACGGAACTAACAGTGGCAGCGGTGGTCTTTGACGTGGCCTCCTGCGCTTCCTGGAGACGCGTTTGACGGATAGCTTCTTGCTCGGACTTGGCGCGCTCCCACTTCATCTGCCTGCGCTCTTCGCGACGATTGGCCGTCACGAGCTCGCTGACCTGACCAGGAACCAAGCCACGGCGAACCTGCTCGCGTTTCAGCCAGTTGGGCTCGCTTCGACTCAGGTTGCCCTTGCCATAGAATCCCTGCTCCCACAGCGCGCGCATGGACTTCGCGTCGAAGACGTTGACGGACTTGGACTCGGGGGACCAAATGCCTTCGTACACCACGGACGGCTCAGCAGGCGGTGGGAAGAAAGTCTGTTTCGTCCATGCGTACAAAACGTGGAGAAGAGAGATTGGATTACTCGGATAGAAGCTAGGAAGCGGAAAGGTTCGTATGGGCGCGGGCAGCTCGTAGATCTTGTGCAACGGCGGACCTCTCGGCCGCGGCGTCGAGACCGGGGTGCCCTGCTGGCCCGGCGTCCCAGCAGGCGAGGGCTGGGAAGCTGTATCTTTGGTTTGGGACATTGTTCTAGCAAGTCATGTCTGTCTTTTGGTCTGGTTAGCTGGATGTCCACGCGACGACAAGCTTGCAAGATCAAAGAAAAGTTGAGTAGTTTGCGATCAGATACCGTTGTAGTCTATATTTGTAGCATTCATCGAGGTTCAATGAAGACGCCTCTTAGCACAAATGGGAAATGGTGTCATCATAGCAAACGAGGTAGCAAAGAAGGCAGAGAGGAGGGACCTGACTCTTTCCTATGCGAGGAATATCGCGACGAGAAAAAGAAGGCGATGCCCAGCCCTGCTGCCGCCACCATGGACGAAGGGAAGAACGTTGAGAGGGAAAAAGCTTGCAACTTACTTATTGGAGGTATTCCACCCGTCCTGCCGACAGATCACCCGTCAATTGGGCCATTCAAGCCGAAAAATCACCTCACTTCCCGGAGGCAGCTCAATCCTGTTCGGCAGACGTGTGGTAGGTTGGGAAGAAAACAGTAGGTCGCAAGCGTCGCGCAGAAAATTTCTTGAGTAGAAAAAGGACTCCGCCGTATCCATTGTCGCTTGTTTCCGTCCCCACCGTCAGGTCTGACTCTTTTTTGTCCTCCGGAAAAACTCGGCATTGAGGTGTGGCTCGCTGACATAAGCCATCAGGGCTGTCCTCAGCTGCAACCGGATAGAGCTTGAGCCACAGCTCACCATCCTCAGCTCACCAGCCCCAGCTGAGTTCCTGCCCCAGGCGCGAGGCTTTAACCTGTGGCCCGTGCTTGCCTCCCCAATCTTAGCATTTGGAGATTTTGGTGGGGCCCGTCGAATTTCAATGCCACGCGACGTGGAAGTTGCTCTCCGATAATGCCGATCCTTTGGGACTTTGGGATGCTGCAACCTTGTAACCCGCTTCCTGGCTTTTGCTGACGCTCCTTTGCTTTTACTCCCGTCAACTTCAGACACGTCTTTGGATCGCCAGATTTTGCAATGACCTTCTGACAAGGGGCCCGCTACATTTTTTGCTTCATGGCGTTTGGTTCTGTCTTGTCTTGATCGCACCACTCTAATAGTCAACCTCTACGTCCTCCGCCTCAACGGCATTATCTTGCGCCATGATTAACCTCTCAATGGCGCCCCAGACGATTGCTGGTGCATGCGTTGTCTGGAGCACGTTTGTTTACATTGTACAATCCATTGGGATTTTCAGAATGTAAGCTGAGCTCTTTGATGCTGTTGCGCCGTTACTAAATGGCGATAGCTTCAAATCCTACTCCTACCCGCCGAGACCCGCCGTGTCGTCTTCCCTCAAGAAAGAAGATGTCCCGCACATCACCGTTATTCGTCCCGTCAAGGGCCTCGAGCATGGCCTCTACGACTGCATTGCTTCCTCATTCCGACAAAACTACCCCGCCGACAAGATGACTATCTACCTCTGTGTAGCCGAGAAGAGTGACCCCGCATACCCTGTGCTGAAGAAGGTCGTGGAGGACTTTCCCGGCTTCGATGCCCACGTACTCGTGGAAGATGAAGATCCTTTGCTGCACGGCCAGTCAGGCCACATCGACAACCTCGGACCGAACCCTAAGGTCAGGAACATTAGTCGTGCCTACCGCGAGGCCAAAGGCGACATCATCTGGGTCATGGACTGCAACATTTGGATTAGCAAGGGGGTTGCTGGTCGCATGGTGGATAAGCTTCTAGGCTATGAGGCCGACGGCAAACAAGTCAAGCCCTACAAGTTTGTCCACCTGCTGCCCATCGTTGTCGACACTGTTTCTCCTCGCGATGCTCCTCCCCGGGAGACACAGACCCTGCTTTCGTCAGGCCCCGAACCCGACTCTTATCAAAGCCACAACGGATCTTTGTTGGACTACGCGCGAACCCAAGGCGGTGGACGTCTCGACGAGATGTTTATGGCTACGACGCATGCCAAGTTTTACGGCGCAATCAATACCGTTGGTGTCGCCCCTTGTGCTGTGGGCAAGAGCAACATGTTCCGCAAGTCACATCTGGATCAGGTGACGGATCCCGCCCAAAACCCAACTCTCCTCGCGAACAAGAACCTCCCCAAAGGCATCGACTACTTTTCCGAGTACATCTGCGAAGACCATCTCATCGGCGACCTCCTATGGAAATCAAACCTGCCCGGCTTCAGGAACCATGGCCTCGTCGTGGGCGATATTGCTGTGCAGCCCATGGCTGGCATGTCTGTTCGAGCATACTTCAACCGCCGTGCCAGGTGGCTCCGGGCGCGCAAGTATACTGTTCTCGCAGCGACCTTGGTCGAACCTGGTGTCGAGTCCCTGCTCTGCTGTGGTTATTTCGCCTTCGCCGTGACCACGCTACCCTGGTTCGGCAAGACATTTGGCACTTCCCAGACTTGGGGTGCCTTCGGTCTTTACTGGTTGGCTTTCGAGTTCATCTGGATGACCTTCGACTGGTTCACGTACAACCGCCTTCACGCAGGACACACTATCGAAATCGATGAGAACACCCCGAAGTTTGCCAGAGGCACCGCAACTCCCGGCGGCGCCCCTGCCAGATCTTTCTTCGAATGGCTGCCTGCTTGGCTTGGGAGAGAATTCCTCGCTCTTCCCATCTGGACCTGGGCCGTTTTCTGCGGATCCACTGTGAATTGGAGAGGTCGGACTTTTAACGTCCGCACCGACATGAGTGTTGTTGAGGTTGATGAGACGCAGACGGGCTCATCAGGAAGCAGCCAGCGTTCAAGAAGTAAAGACCGTTTAGATTAGACGCGCGATGATAGACAATACCCCTACCTAATGTTAAATCCGGCATAGCCACTTTGATATCGAACTTCACCGTTCACGACTCGTGCCGTCCCAAGTCTCCCAGTCAGCTTCAACCATTAAATGTGGTACCCAGACTTTTGCATGTCATCCAACACCTTCTCAACTACCTCTCCGTCCGCCTTAAACGCCATCATCCCGGCTGCTTCCCTCGCCTCAACCCACTCCAGCCTCATATTCTCATCCCAGGGCACCCTCTCCACATCCCGAGGAACATCCTCTACATCAACCCTTGCCGCAAACCAGAACACAATCTTCAGCGCACCAGTGAAGACGCACGGGTACACACAAACCGACGACGCCTCACAATTCTCCAGGCCGTCCGTCACATCAGCATTCTCGCCCACAGGAAAGGTCCCCTGAAGCTTGGGATCAAGCGTGGCTCGCGTGGCTACCTTGAGAGGGAGCGCCTCGACCTGCAACCCGGTTTCCTCGCGCGTCTCGCGCAGAGCCGTGGCAAGAAGGTCTTCGCCGATTTCTTTGCGGCCTTTGGGGAGCCAGACGGTGTTGTCTGCGATGTCGCGCAGGACGGCGATTTTGCGCGAGACGGGGTCGATGGGGACGGTGCCGCAGGAGACGAGGACGTGTTGCGAGGGGAACTGGCGTTGAGGAGCTTGGAGAAAGAGGGATCTGGATGCGTTGGGGTTAGCTTCGCAGGCAGCCATGGCGATGGTCTTTGGGCTGTGGGAAGAAGCGTGAAGCTGGGTTCATGCTGTTTATTGCGTTGACAAGGACTCGGCACTAATCGTTGCATATGTGAGGCTCTGAGCTGACGGCATAGGATTGGTCCAGGTTTTGGTGAGTCAGACCGGAGCCAACCAACTTGTCGATAATGCGGCACTTTGGGTGTCATCGATTTTATTCCAAGCTGCCTACATTTTGCATGTGCCGTTCCTTTCTGGGAGGGATTGTTGAAGCTAGCAGATTGGATCAGAATAGTAGCATGAACGTGAAGGACTTCAAGGACAAGGAGGGCGTGATGAATCGATCACAGAAGGAACAGCATACAATCGCTACCTTATAGGAGTCAATCGGAAGTCTAAGTCGAAGGCCTTTTACACAACCTATCATTCAACAGCAACTCAGAGACGGGATGGAAGATGGGGTGAAGACCAAGACAGCAAGTTCAACAATAAATATTAACATTTAATCATGATCGTGATCGTAGATAATTTTATGTACATGATGAAGCATATCTCGAGACAGTACAGCTTGACCGTTTCGAACTACCAGCCTGATGTTCAAAGCCTCGTGTACAGATACCAGAACAAATCTTAGTTGCCAGGCTTGCGGATCCAGACAAGCAAGTTTCCGTTGCCGTACGCATACTCGGCTCCCTGGACGGTGTTGTCCGCGCGCGTGCAGTAGTCCATCACGAACCCAGCACCACGAGCGACGTCGTTGCTGAAACACTGGGTCAGCTGATTGCTCGAGTAACAACAAAGACGCAAACAGTGAGTGGACTTACCAAGACGAAGAAGTGGTAGTAGCGCCACCGCCGGCGACACCGGTAATCTGAGCCTGTCCGACCACGCAGAAGACGCTGGAGCCGGCCACTTGACAGGCTTGGCTACCCTTGCGAGCGAGGTCGTTGATGCACGTAACCGCGTCGGGGACCTGGTCATTCAGATTAGATGCGACGCGCTCAGATGCTCATTGCTTGGGGTTTACTTACATAGGCCTCAGTGTTGGGGATTGTGTTGCAGTAGTATCTTTTCTGGAGCAGCCCGTTCTCGGCAGCAGCGCTGGTCTCGTTGAGGGACGCGTGCCAAGCCTCGACGGCCTCCTCGGGGGTGAGGTTGTCACCGTCCGGGTTGGCGATGATGCCGTCGACCCACTTGGAGAAGGAGAAGACCTCGACGGAGTCGGTCTGGGTGGTCGGGGCAGCCGTGGTCAGGGCTGCCAGGGCCAGAGTAGCGAGGGCGGGGAGGGTGAAGGAGACCATCTTGAACAAAATGGAGCCTTTGCCTGTCGGGATGAAAGCTGCTGGTGGAGAGAGAGGATGAAGAGAGAAAGGTTGGCGGCGAAAATCATTTGTTTATATATCCATTTCTTTGGCCAAGTTCTTCATATGCCTCGTCTTGCTATGGATGTCGAGAGGTTGCCTGCCTGGTATCTGTGGAACTGCTCTTCTTCGATAGTTCGTACAAAAGATCTTTTCGATGCCCCGTATCAATGTCAGCTTCATTTACTATGTAGAAAGAAGTTACCAGGGTCGGTAAGGCTCAGTTGAGCTATCCGCCTGAGCCGATCCAACGCTGCATGTAAGCTGGAGGGTATGTATTGAAGAGGGAATAGCTTCACTCGCTTGGAGGTATCTTGTCCACCGAGCGAAGGCCATTACCCACTGAACGGCCCGCGGCATGCCGCCGCCTAAGCATGATCGTGTTGGTTGTTGCTGGTCGGACCTGAAAGCCATCTCAGGACTCCCCCTGCCGCGAGGATACCAGTGCGGATCAGCACCTGGCTCACGGAGTTGAATAACGCAGTTGACGCGCTAGACTGCAACGATAGTCTCACCACGCTTACCAACAGGGCGTATTGGAATGTCAAGGCTCCATTGCCGATCCATTCTCTACCCAATTGACGGCTTTGAGACAGTGAAGTGATGGACTGCATGGGCAGGCGAGAAGTCAGAGGTTCATCGCGTACATGCGGTGTGAGATCGTGGGGCGTTCGTTGGCGGCAGCCTAGAGTTAAACCCCGATGTTCCCGCCCATTTAACCCACTAAAGCCTGGCCTGGCAGCTTTGAGCCGTTCACCATCGGCGTTCCCAGTGCTTCAGCGGGTCCCCAATGTAACCTACATTCGGCTACTCGTCCGAAAGACGACTCGTATTTCGAGGACCTTCCATGTTGAGAGTTAGCTCAGCAGAGCCTTTTCTGGGCTGGGCAGACGTTCACTGAAGCAAACCAGTGTTCGGGATGCCAAAGATCTTTTCCTCGCTGGTGGAGTTGACGATCTAAAAGCCCCAACTTTTAGGTGACCCCTGGCTAAAATCATCTCTTTCGTCGCTGACATGCATAGTGCTGGCTGAGGTCAGTGCTTCACAGATACATGGGGCAAAAGCGAGATAGAATCAAGCATGAATCTGAGGAGGAAATCTTCATTCCAGACGCGAGAGACGATACATGTATCCATCATGCCCAAGAAGAGAGGACAAATACGTGCAAAAATCAGTACCTCACGTTGAAACACTCGGAGGTTGCGAGTGAAAATGGCCTCACGTTTTCTCTATGGCGCATGGTATTCGACCTGGCTTATGGTCAACTCGTCAGCCAATGGACTTAGTAGGACGTGGTACACGGAGCCGCAATGGCTTTTTTTCGAGTAAGTCACTGATACTAGGCGGCAGGAGATTGAAAATATCTCCAAGCCATGTTGAAGAAATCCGCTGTCCTCATATCAATAATGTCGATTCAAGTCATAATACTGTTAGCCCGGTCAATTATGCATCGATACACCATCCGAGTCCTCGGGAATTTAGTGGAACACATCTAGATTGCCGATTGCTCAATCAGCTCGACTCAATTCGACTCAATTCGACTCAATTTGACGCTCGCGCCGACACTCGCGTATTCTCGGGTTTACTCATTCAGCCGTGTTCGGAGATCAGGCAGGCTGACAGGCGACAGTGACGGAGCTGCAGGAAAGTTGCGTGTTGCTAAGCATATATACTTAGTTACGAAAAGCACGCGGTCTTGCTACTGGTGGCCTTCTCTGTCACAACGCTTTAGAAAAGCCCCCTTCAGCGCCAGAGCAACTGCTTGGCCACGTACTTACATTTAGTTGGTTACCTATTGTGACGCAGCAAGGATAGCACGTCCTGCCCCGCATTTTACATCGATGCAGAGCAACCCAATGCAGCCGTCCACAGATGCGGTATTTCTTGTCATTATGCACTTACGAGGGACATTTAAGGGCGAAGTACTTCTTTTCAGTGTCAATTCCGTCCGGGAAATGGTTGACACATGCACATCCCTAATCTTGCTCCCACTCTTGGCAAACCTGTCTCGAGCTGTACCTTAGTTCAAAGCAGGCTTACAACGGGAATGATAACCACATAAGCGACAAATATTAGCTAGCCGTTCGCAAAAATGGCGGCGGAGGTTCTATTTTTCAATGGTTCGTGGGCTCCAATCACAAGACTTGCGCTTTGAAATTGATCGTATCCCAGAAACGGATGAGACGTGGGAATGGACCCCTGCACCTGTCAACCTGCTCAATGACAACCTCAGACTTAAGAAGAAATGCTACTTGTAATTCAAATGTCGTCAAAATGAATCGGAAAGTAATTGACTGGCTTAACCCAGGTTTCTCCAAGATGAAGTTTCGTTCAAAGGAGACGCAGACCCACCAGAAGCGAAGAAAGACCAGTCAGAGGAGCACCGTCGCAAAGTCTTGCGATGGTTTAACGTCCCGGACTTCGTCAGTAATAGAGCTTGTGCTGGATTGAACGGCTACTTCGGATGCAAGGGTTCTATCAAAGATTCTTCGGATGGAGAATCAGAATTACCAGCTAATAAACTGGACAGTCTGAGTACGCAGAAACAAACCATTCTTCCCTCCATCTTATTGATACAATAGTCTGGAGGCGCCTAACATATCGTGCTTTTCTAGCAAATTGGACTCGTATTCCGACGAAAAAGATCTTAATGAGCGGCGAAATATGTAGATACGAAAGCGGTGTCGATTATGAGTGGTACGAAATGGATTTCTTCACCCGATGGACTTCAAAGGGTACCAATCAGATTCTGTGTATCGACACGCCCGGAGAATTGAAGGAACGCCTGTTCGAATCTCTGGCATCCTCAGGCACTCTTGAGTTTCGGGATCCTTTTGCACTGCTGCAACTGCTTTTAGAGGAGATCCTCAAGATCTGTGACCAGTATACCTGGAGAATGTCCAAGACGATCCGCAAACATGAGAGGGTGAGCCTTGCCGTTCTCCGGCTTTCATTCATTACGCCGGCTGTACCTAAAGGATTTTCCGAGCTGCACTGACCAAATGCAGAGCCGCTCAGCGGTTCTGTTTGAGGAACTAAATACTATTCGTAGACATGCGCAAGATCTCGAAGAAGTAGCGGCAGTCAGTGTCGAGACCCTGGAACGCCTGGCCACGAGGCAAGAAGTCAACTTTCAGGAGCTTAAATTGGAGGAAAACTACCGAGCACAAGCGATAGACTACCTGCAGTTTCAGGTGCAGATGATGAAGAACCTCAGGCGACGGGCCCAGGCTAACTGCCAAAGAATGGATGCAGAGATGAATTTGGTAGGATTATTTGTTCCAATTGCTATGTACAGATTGCTAAAGTGCAAACTCAGGGGTACAACTTGATTGCAGTCATGGACAGTCAGATCATGAGATCCGTCACGCTCATGACGATGATGTTCTTGCCCGCTACCTTCATAACTGTAAGCAAACTCAACGCCTAGTAAGCCTCAAAAGACTTTCTAGTCGGCGTCTAACTATTTTAAGGCCTTGTTCAGCACCACCTTCTTCGATTTTGACGAACAAAGTTGGAAAATATCCACTCGATTCTGGGCTTACTGGGCTATCACATTGCCACTGACCCTTGTTTTCATGATCTCATGGTGGGTATGGTTTGGGGGAGCTTCCAGAGAAATAAGGGGAAAGCTTCTTTCTAATCTGGAGGCGGAAAAGAGGAGGTGGAAAAGAGAAGCCGCGGGGTGAATAGACCACCAACTTGGTAGCTTGACTAATGAGAACAGCAAGAAACATTGACGCTACGTCACATTGATCTGAATATGGAAGATTTTGTTCTGGCAACAAAGCTATGCTTGATGAAAGACTACTGTCTTGCAGGCAAAAAAGGACAAGCGATGTACTTATTGGCCAAGAGCGACAGTCAACATTAGACTCGGTCCCACCAGCCTCGTCGGCAATGTTAGGCTTTAGCTCACTATCTCTGACATAATGCTTCGTGGTTTTCTTTACCATAAAATCGGGACATTGGTAACCGCCTCGGCCAACAATTCATATCTGAAAATACCAGTCAGGATGCGGTGCCAATGTGCATGATCAAACTGAGGCACATGCACAGCCATGACCTTGCCCACGTTAAACATTGCCGTAGTTGGTATCTTCTTTAGTTGGTCCCAAGCCTGCGCGCGCAAATACGTACCGATGCCCCAAAGTTACACCGCGCGATGAACATGATCTCGTCTCTTTTGTATTGGCGTTATGAGCAATTGCAATTCCGAAGTCAACCGGGAGATCGACGTTCTCCTTCTGAATAGAGAGATTCCAATGGAGGCCTCGTTTAGTGAGACTGCACGGTTGACAATTAGGTGATCAACACAGGACAACCCATATTGCTTCATCACACAAAGACTTTCAATTGAAATTAGCGAACGGAACTTCCTGTTGGCATGAAGTTGTATATTATGCAACCGATTGCCTAACTAGTTGCAGCCAAGTACCTAGGCTTAGTGAAACCTTGACAGAGGAAAATGCGAAAACAAAACATGGCCAAAGAGTTTAATGAGCAAAACAAAATGAGAGAATATAGAAAACGAAAGATCCCTCTATATCTACACTGGCTTCCTTGCAAGCTGAGGATTCATACTGATCAATATCCTCCAGATCACATCGTCTCTGTCCTCGTTCGTTCGGCTCCACCAGAGAATTGCTAGGCCCAGCATGGTGATTGGGATTGCGGCGGCGAACCATATCCAACAATCTTTCGCGTAAGGCCAGGAGGCGTTTTCGAAAGCGAAGAAGGTCATGCTGAAGAACCCCTGTGAATGATTAATACCTGTATTTGATCGAACTAAAAAGACGTGATGAGTGCATACAGAGAGGAAAGTCCCAGGAAGGAATAAGATTGACGCGTATCCCACAAATTTAGTCACATCTTTTCCGTCTTTGCGGTTTTCTCGAAGCAACTCTTCAACCTTCTCAAGTTGGTCAAGGTTGTTCCTGTGTAACTCCTAGAAGGTGTTTGCTGTTAGCAGGACTCTAGTTATTTGATTGTTGGATAGAATTCCCACCAAAGCAATCTCGTTGTCAAGTCGGTCGACAAATGCACCAGCACGAAGTTTCAAATTGATCACAAAACTGTGGCAAAATTGGAACAGGTCTTCCTGGCTGGTATCCTTCCACTGCGGGCCTTTCGCGATAGCCGCTAGTGTAGTTTCAGCAGCGTTCAGAGTCTCCTGGGAATGGATCAGATGGCGAGAGAGCTCGTGCATGTTGCGATAGGTTTCTTCGCGGTTGAACCTCTGGCTTTCTTGTTGTTTCTTTGAAAGCTTAGCGCTTTCCTCCTTCTGTGTGGCTTTGCGCTAAGAGCATGTGAGCTGGCTGCATAAACACTAAAATAGAAACCATAAATACCTTTTCGATGTTTCGAACAGGCTTTCGGAACCCCCAAAGAGCATCGTCATACGTATGAACGATCGACTTCACTAGCTGAGGTAGAAGAACGGGCTGCGGGGTAACAGAGCCTGCTCGGCAACTTCCTTCCAATGCCTTCTTTGCTAGCTGCTGCCATCGGAGTCCGCTTGCGTCATCAAAGCAAAGGAGAACCTCAGCATGCCTCTGGCTTCGCTCTTCTTCATTAGATTGCCCCCCGGCTGCATTCTTCTGGTGATCATCTTGCCCGTTCTTTCCGTCGACAGTCCAAAATGATAAGAATAGCCAGTGGTAGAGACTCAGCTCCTTGGCCTTTGGGTTTTCTTTGTCTTTGCGGGGCCTGTCTTCAGATCGGTGACTGATCTTATTAGTCCAGTTCGGACGTCTGATGTGTGGTCTTGGGAATGCCTTAGAATGGGTCGTTTGACCACTTGGTGGCAGCTCTACGCGTTGCGAATGGGTACCAGACTTGGCCAATGTCCCCGGAGTGCCGCTTGAAGGTGATTCGCTTGAAGGTGGGTTAAGGTCTTTGACTCTGTCTCCTTCTCTCTTTTCGCCAATGCAATCCAAAGCGTGCCAGATGCGAAGCAATATCTCATCAATTACTTCGTAAAGGTCCAGTCTTTTCTTCTTCTCCTCATCTGTTTCGTCTTGTCTAAACTTCGGAAATTGGTCTTTGTTAGTCTCCAACCACTCCTTAAAATCCTCATAGAGAAGCGAAGGGGTCTTCTCCATTGGAAGATTATCAAGTGCGGTATTGGTCAGTCCTTCGCTCGTCCACTTGCTGTCTGTTAGGATCGTGTATCTGAGATCCCAGAGAAGAGAATGAATAGTCTTGTCAGAGGTTGACTGCATGCCCCCTTCGGGCTTTTTCTTGCTAGGATATCCAACTAAGGCGTGGACCCAATCACGCGTTTCTGTGAGCGTCTTTTTTCTCTCAACCTTTTTGTCAGGATCATTCTCAATGCCATGAAGTTCTTTGACAAGAAATCGGCAACCATAGGCTACAGATTGAAATGTTAGTCAAATGAACATACCACTTCTGCAGTCGGTAAGAGCAAACCATGTTCTCTGAAATGATGATTCAAAAAGAATCCGTTAGATTCGTAGCCAGTGTTTGACAAGAAAAACTTGTCGATGTTGAATTTCTCGATCAACCGGTCACTGAAACTGTCCGACAGACCGTAACTACACTTGAGAATATCTGTGATCCGGGGAAGAAAGCTACGTATTCAGGTCAGTACTATGAAGAGGATCGAACATGTCGTAATGTAATCTAACATGACATATTTCTCGGAAGGGGTTTTGAACTGTAAAGTCAACTAGTAGCGACGAACCGGCTGAGACAAGATGCCTTACCTGGTAGCTCAGCAAGGTCTCCTCTGTGAAATGGCCCGATTGCGCTTTGTCTGATCCTTCTCTGCATACCGCATGCGTTAGGAAGTTTGGAAACGTGTGATAGTGGGGACCCCTAATGAATCAGCTACCTGATGGAAAGATAATAGAACTCCAAGGGTCTGGGAGAGCTGCTCTGAGAAGGCTTTGGGACAGCCGGCTCGGGATGGATCTCGTTTATTTGGGTCGCCGTTGATTGAGAGGCACCCGATGCATTTGTTGATCCTGACTGGATGCCCTTAGTGGGACCTTGACGATTTTCTGTCTGTACTGGTTCATTTGTCACCGACCGCTGTGGTTTACCGCTCGAAATGGCTGGGCTTTCTTCCGAAAATCGGTGAATTTCGTGCTTGTGAGCATCAGGCTGGCCATGGCCATTGTGTTCGACATCGTCCTGTGACATGCTGCAGGGTGACGACTTTGCCTGGTTGTGATTGGCTATCCAAGGCAGGCCTGATGAACCTCGGAGGCGCAAGAACGAAAGTGGACGATTACCAAAACCGAAAAAAGAGGACAAGAAAAAAGGGCCAACAGGTCAGCAATGCCTGGGCATCGCCCGCTTTTATGTGTGGTCATTTTGTCGGCGAGGGAAGGCTGCGACCCCTGGGTCATGGCAACCTCCATGCAAGCATCGGGAAAAGAGCGGCTGGGAAAGTAGAGCAATCGGTCACAGACAGGCCTGTAAGTGATGCATGCCGCGTTGTACTCGACATGGATATGATTGGCCGGGCCCTCAGTTGAAAATGTGGCCTGAGTGGGCGCAGCTGCATGAGGCATACTGAGAGCGGAGTGGCTGCCCCAAAAGTGGTTGTAGGTAAGCAGTCCGGCCCTTTCGCTCAAAAAAAGCACCGTCGACGTTTTCCTCTCACCAAATGACTCAACATCACCGGCGACTGCTCTCAACACACAATGACGCCCTTCAATCCATCAATTTTCGACCCAGAGTTGCACACTATGGGGAGCGCCTTGAAGGAATATGTATTTCAAAGAGTTCACCAATGCATCCAGAGCCCGGACCGAGAATGGCGGCAAATTCGCATAAGAGGATCTTTACGACGGACTCCGCCGGCATTGAAAGCCCAGTGGGAAACGGATAGACCGGCACGGCCATTCAACTTCCAGCGTCCGACGGCGGTGATAGACGACGACACAATCGACTTGTGTTGCTTCCCTTCTCAGAGCTTCGTTGAGCATTACAGAATCGTAATTGCCGCATACCTGTATTTTAAAGGAAAGAGCGACTGCTCTGTCCCTATCCCGCCGGCATCCACGGAACCCCTGGAGACCTTCCAACAGTCAAATTTGCGGGTCCTTGGACCAACTGACATCGTGATCTTCGGCGAAGTGCACTGCCTTCCCAATCTTCCGCCCGGTCGATGGTGGGAGACTGCTAGCGAAAGTCAAGAAACAGATGATTTGTTCGCATGGCAGAAGTTTACTTCTCCCACTGGAAGGACTGTCACTCTCCTCGGTTGCAAAGAAGGTCTGTGGGGGGAGGCCGGAAGCGCGATCGTTCACGCTTTGAAGGAGTTTTCCGGGATCAGTTGCGCCCTCTACGTAGGAAAGGTGGGGGCTTTGGCCGGGGAATACACCCCCAATGAATACATTGCCACTGGAAATGAAGCCTACTTCGACAAGGATACTTCCGTCACATGGAAAAGTCCGCTCGAAAGATCGCTCATTCGTTTCCCGGAGGTCGCTACAGGACGACTCGTAACGGTAGATTCACCACTTCGTGAAACCAAGGGATGGCTTCAAGACTGGAAAGATACGGCAACTTGGGTTGACTGCGATACTGGACACATGGCAAGAGCAGCAAACGAAGTGGGAGTTGAATTTGGGTATCTACACATTGTATCGGATAACCTGGCCGCCAAATCCAACTACGGACTTTCGAACGAGGAAATCGACGGTGTTAAGGCGAAGAGAAACAACTTGTACAAAAAGATGGAAGGGATCATCGACGTCTTTATCTCTTCATGGAATTCAGAGGCAGATTTGTCTAACGGCATACACTAGATCTTACTTAGATTGGACTGAACGTAGACATTTTGGCTGAAGCTAGCCCTTACTGTGTTAAAATATTTAGACTTGCATTCATAGATGAAATTACTAGAAAAAAGGATTTTGATGCTGTGCTGCAAGTACTCCCATCGTGACTCGGAGATCCTTACGAAATTTGACCAGAGAGTCTTTCTGTCATATAGGTAAATAAGTAAGATCAATTCGAGAGAAATGTAGTTGCAGCACCTCTGTGCATGTCCCATGAACGATATTTTGCACGTGCATGGTGTCGTGAGCGCCCTAGCTGCAAGCGGTTGAATTCTCCGTTCTGGGCTGAGATCCCTACGTGCTCAAGTCCAAGATTACACCTTAGTTTCGCAAGTGACTGAATCATGGCTTGATTGATGTAGCGCGCCCCTTTTATTACTAAGGTGGTCAATGAGTCTTTCACTGTTGAGACACTGACTTCAGAGGTTTAGCGGTGTCGTTGATCTATCTTTGCACCAATGAATGTGACTAGTGAGTCTTTAATGTTTTAGTTGATCAAACGTTTTAGCGCAAGGCACCTGGATTGTTCAGTTAGTATTTGCGAGAATACGCTTCGCTACTCAGGTTCCCTTGCTTTTGGGAGCAATTAAGGTTTCGTTGACATCTGGCGAGATGAGACCTCATCAATTACTATGTTATCCTACCGACGATGCCGAGCAGCACGAGTGGAGGGAGAAATAATAAATACTCAACTGTTGCAAGATATCTGTTGATTCCTTTCAATCACCACGCAGCCTAGTTTTACCTCCACTTCGCGCAAAGTAAGTACGCATTCCAACGTTTCTAAAAAAAGTCTGTACTGGACTGCATGTTAACACTAAATGACACACAGTCGCTTTTCCTTATATCGGTCACACCTAGCCAACATGCAAATTCCTTACTTCTCCATCTTGGCCACGGCCTTGCTATTTGGCCAGGCCCTCGCGGCCTGCGGTGAAGGTACCTTCAACGGCAAGCCGAACTCATACCAAAGAGTGTCAAACTGCGAACTGAAACAAAACAACGTCTACTTCTGCGGTGGCTCAGGAACCTCCGTCGTTTACAAGCAGAGTCAGCTTGTCCTCCGCGCTGGGAAGGTTGACTCAACGGTCTTAGTCGCGTGTGACGGGTACGGTTTCCTGTATCACTGTTCTGCAGGCGAAACGGGAAGATTCAGACAGCCTCAGTGCAAAGGCGCGGTGTGGGAGGTAGAGAATGTCAAGGAAATTTGATGGGCTGGTTGACATAGGGAGGGGCTCTAGTAGAGTGTTGATTACATGTGATACTAGGATTGTTACGATCATCAGTAAAAGAATTGTAGAAAGCCTCAGACTGATGTGCATGCATCAAGCCACCCAAGCTATCTCTTGTATAGATCTTCCAAAGCACGTGCAGCTTGTCCCATTCCTGTCAGAATTCAAACGACTTGCCAACCATCATCAGATTGCTTCAAAAATGTACCCAGGAGAATTGTGGAGAAGGATTGAGCGTTTCATCTTTCGCAGGGCATCTAATGGCGAAAACTCCAACTAATGCAATTGCGAAGTCCCGCAAGTCGCCAGTAGCGGCCCATACCTAGTAGAGGAAATGACGATGAAAGCACCAATTTCGTCTCTTGTCAACGGCTTCGACAACCTCACACCCACTCTCGAGGACTTCTAAGCACTTCAACAAGCTTACCCTCCCGACTATCAGGGCCAGGCTCGTCAAACATGTAGAGCCACTGGGCATTGACCGGAAGACTGATGAGAATACTCTCAACCCTTGAGCCAGGCACATTCAAGCCGAAAGCTGTTTCACGATCATGAACGAGGTTAAATTCGACATATCTTCCCCTCCGAATCTGTTGCCACTGTTTCTCTTGCGCATTGAATGATAAATCCTTCCTCTTCTCCACGATCGGTACGTAGGCCGGCACTAACGCATTCATAGTTGCTTGGAGGAATGCGAAAACTTCTTCAGGATTCCCGAAGTTCTCATCGAGGTCGTCAAAGAAGATACCACCTATTCCCCGCCTTTCGCCGCGGTGTGTAATATTGAAGTACTCGTCGCACCACTTCTTGAACTTGGGATAATAACCGACGTCATGTTCATCGCACGCTGCCTTGAGGGTCGCATGAAAATGCTTCGCATCTTCCTCGAAGAGATAGCTTGGCGTAAGATCACTGCCCCCGCCGAACCAAGCGGTCTGCGCGGAGCCGTCGTGAACAGTCTCGAAGTAGCGCCCATTCATGTGAACCGTGGGTGCCATCGGATTCTTAGGATGAACGACCATGCTCAGCCCCAGCGCGTAAAATTCCAGCTCATCCGTGTCATAGACGATGTTTTTGTGGTTCTGCCGCATCTCATCGATTGCGCTACGGTTGAGCTTGCCATGGACGATGCTGATGTTCACTCCGGCCTTCTCAAAGACATGGCCATCTTGTAGAACGCATGTACGGCCGCCACCGCCACCATTAGGTCGTTGCCATTCATCCACGCGAAATTTGGTTCCGTCAACCGCCTCCAGGGCTGAAATTATTTCTTCTTGCTTCCGTCGGATGAAATTCTCCATACGCACACGCATGGGATGCGAGCCAGAATCCTCGTCTGCCTTGAGAATCTAGTTAGTACTAGAGTGACTTCAAACGAGGGTCGTCACGCATAGTGGGATAATCTAACCATCTGAATCACCGAAGAGACAGCCATGGGGAGAGTTCCATGGTTGACATGTGAAGTTCTTCTGAAATCCAGCAGAGAAAGCATTCTCTCACGGGATGATCGCGCCGCTATGATAGTCACATTTGAATGCCAAGATCACTTGCGTTATCAGCCCAGCCTATCACCCGCACTGAGTGGAATCCTTGTTATTGGCACAAAGCTGTTCCGGGCTTCTATTGGTCCCAATCCCTGCGATTGCGGGGTTCTTGCCCTCCTGATACTCCAGTTGGGAAGGTGTGACGGGATATTGGCAGGGGGGCTTTGGGCTAATTTTCTGAGTCCCTACAGTGGCAGATGCCTTGAATACAGAACGATAATTTATACCCGGGCAGGGCGTGTTTCTCGTTTCAAGGACTTTTGGGAATGGTCTCGCTCAGTGACGCATTTAGCTGCTGTTCTTCTGCTCATGCTATTTGAGTTTTTCTCAACATTACCTGTTCATCTACGACAAGTTGACCAATGTGATATGTGATGCCTAGAGTGTTGGAAGTCACCTCGGCATCAATAGAGGGGTAAACACCAGGGTGGTGAGCAAATCACAGTCGATGCCGCGAATGCAGCAAGGATCTATATGCAGAGTACCTTTCTGGTCAGTGGGGACTTGCGTGAAGTGGCTTGATTAATTTAGCTATGAGCGCTAGGCGCGGCTAGCTATAAAGTAGTGTAGCTGATCCTTTATATAAAAGTAGGATTTAGGCTAGGATTTAGGCCTTAAGTCTAAGCTTAGCTAATTACTATCTTATACCCCCTTTTTAGTTAATATTTCTAATATTTTAAGTAAAGCTATTCTTATCCTAAAGTAGTAGTTTAATTAATTATATAGTAGTTTTATATTATTTCTATTTCTATATATCATTCTTATTTTTGTATTTTAATTTTAAAATATTTATTTAACTTTGTTTTAGTTTTTATATAGTTAATTAATATTAGAACTACTATTTAAGTTATTTCTATAAAAATAATTAAACAGCTATTTAACATAATTAGTATTATTTTCTATTTTTAATACTAAATTAAACTTTTAAATTAGTAATTTAAAAGTTTATCATTTAATTCTTCTTTATAAAATTAGTTTATAATTTAGATAAATCTAAAAACTATTTTCTCTAATTTAATTTTAAATCTTATATTTTAAATAGTTTTCTCTCTCTAAAAGTAATAATCTTTAGATTGTTAATTAATTTTATAATATTTCTTTTTTAATTTACTAATTATATTAAGTTAAGTATTAAATATAATAGTTTTTAATTAATATTATTTTAAAGATTAATTTTCTTATAAAACTTTTAAAGCTTAGTTAATTAATTTTGTATTTTTTTAAATTTTAAATTTATATTAACTTTATTTAAGTTTAAAGTTAAGTAAGTTTTATTAGTTAAACTTAATGTAGTTATAATTTAGAAAAATACTAACTAAGATATCTAACTTAATAATAAACTTATAACTTAATAAAATTAAAGTTTTTAATTACTTTTTAAGCTTTCATCATTAAATACCTTCTTATATAGAAAACTTCTATATTTAGTAGTTTAATTATTAAAAACAGTAAATTAAAGTAATTAAAATAATATAAATTCTAACTATAAAAGTTAATTAGTTAGTAAGATATAAAGGAATAAAGTTATTATATATAAAAGAAATAAATAAATAGAAAAGACTTAATTAAGATTAACTTTTAAGATATTATTTTTAAATTAAGATTTATTATTAATTATAAATAGTTTGAATAAACTTAGTATTTTAATCAAGCTATAATATTTCTCTACTATTAGTATTTTAATAAAACTATTAATAACTATTTTATTTGTTAAAATATAATTAATTTTAAAATTCTTATTACTAATATATTTAATAATTTAGTAATATTTAATCTTGATATAGTACAATTTAAGTAACTATTTACTTAATAGATAATTATTAAAAGTATTTATAGAATTTATATGTACTTAGAGGGGTAATTATATACAAATATTTATCTTTTTCAAAAGATCTATAATATATAGTAAAGCTTTTCTTGTAAGTATTAAATTTATTTATTTAGTTTTATAAGTTAATATAGCTATAAATAATTATAATATTAAGTTCTAAATAATTAATACTCCTCTATATACAACTATATAACTAAGTATTAACTTACTTATTTGTTTATAATTAAACTAATTAGTATTATAAAATATTGATAATTTAAAGTTGTTAATAGAGTAATTTAAACTACTAAAATAGAATACTAATTATTATAAACTATAGAGATATCTTTATATTAATCTTGATAGTTTATTATACTTTTTAGAGGTATATTATTAATCCTTAATAGTTTTATTTATAAGTATTATGATATTTAGTTATATACTATTTAGGATCTATTAGCTATAACTTATTTAGATTATTTTAATATTTATATATTTTAATAAATGTTTTATATTATTCTATAATCTCTAATAACTAAGTACTCCTAAGAAAGTAGAATACTTAGTCATATTTGATAATACTTTTCTTTATTCGTATATTATTAATATATTTAATCTATAAGATCTAAAGTTATTTTATTTTATAATAGTAAATAATTTTAAACTTAAGAAACTGTTATATTTTATTTAAATCCTTAATCTAACAGAAGTTCCATAAGTTATCTTTGAAGTTATTAACTTACTTGATATTAAGTATAACAATAAATATATTATTAATATAAAGCAATAGTTACTATAAAATTATCTTTATTAATAAGAATATAAAGTTCTTTTAGAAATAAGTTAAACTTAATTATTTAAAGATAGTAATAATTTATTTATATTAAAGAAGGAGAGATTCTCTTAAGTTATAGAGAGCTTTTTTTAATTTATAAAACTAGTTAGATTTATTACTAAACTTATAAAATTAAGTAATGTAAATATCTTAATCTCTTATAAAATATTTAAGGAAGCTATAACTAACTATATTAATTTAATAAAGTTCTCAATTCTAAGTATTATAATTAGTAAAACAACTTATAAAGTAAGAAGATTAATAATAATAATATAAACTATCTTATTAGTTTTATTTTAAAAGTTACTATAAATAATTTATTTAATTCTAACTTTGTTAAGTTTTTTATTTATAGTAACCTTTTTATTATATACTTATTTATTTAAGAGATATCTAAAGCTATCTAAAAGCTTCTTAAATTACTAATAATGTATCCTTTTTAAGCTATTAACTTAAATCCTTATAGTATTAAAAATAGCTAACTTTAGAGATCTCTCTTCTATTACCTTTTATTTCTTAAAAGTTATAAATAAGTAAATCTTTAAACCAAAAGTTTATAATAAGTTAAACACTAAAAAAGTAAAAATACTTAGTTCTTAGTCTATTTTATTATTAATTAAGTTAATCTTTCTAGCTTCTATTTTATTAAATTCCTTAATAAACCTTTTTATTATATATAATACTTAAGTTCTAAGTATTTAAGTTATTTAAATAAAAAAAGAAGTAACTAATTAATTTTAGTAATCTTATAAAAATGAAACTTTTATTATTACTTCTTAGTTTTCCTTTTAGTTTTCTTTATATTAAATAAAGAGTTTAAAATAAGATACTAAGAGAGCTTTATTATTATTATAAAGTATTAATTAGTAATTATTATTACTAAGGAGTAATAAGAGATTTCTATTTTAGAAAGATAATAAGAAAATATTACTCTAAAAAGTATATTAATTATTTTATTATACAAAAACTGCTTTTAGTATTCATTATACTTATATACTTATAGTATTAGTATTTAGTATTAATATATAACGTATATGCATAGCGAGTCGCCCATCATAGCGAGCCGCCCACCTTTCACTACCCTCCAGCCATTTGTGTAAGTCAATTAAGCCACATCGTACGAAATCAATTGAAACTACTCATCACCCTCTTCTTCAGAGGT